GTGGCGTAGCCGCTCTCTTGATCTCGTTTATCTGCTTCTCTTGAAGGGCTTTCCTGTTGTTCATTCGTTGACCCTTTTCCTGTGCGTCATCGTTGAGGGGGATCCTATCACTCATTATTCGCATACAAGCCTCGGCGGCGATGGGCGTTGGATTCCATGGGACGGGCTTACTTGACGGGGGATTTGAATGGCGACCCCGTGGCGCCGCCTGCGCGTGGCACCTGAGCGACCCGAGGCATTGCTGCAACCAGGCGTTTTGCGTGATGCGCGCCGTAAGACTGTCCAAGATGTGCGAGCAAAGCCTCTCCCGCGCGTCGACTTGGTGCTGGGCGAGGAGTATTTTTGTTTACTGTTGACTTTCTGTGAGGCCGGCAACACGACTATCGGCGGGAAACCCCACCTTGGGCGGCCAGCCAATTGTGTGATTGGAAAGTCACGGGCGCCACGCGCTACAGCTCCAACGCTGCATCGGGCCAGGTCGAGCGGTACTCCATACTTGACAGTACTTTGTGCCTTGCAGAGGGTGAATGGGCAGCCCAAATTGGCTTCTGTCAGCACTCAAAGCCGTGGAATTACGCGGCGACCATGGGCGACTAAACCATCCGGTTATTGCCACCTCAGTATCAGCCCTGTGCTGTCTGAGCCATGTGAAGTTCTGTGAAAGAACTTCTGTGAAAGAAAGTACTCCGGCGCCCACTGGAGACGCAATTGAACAGCACCCGATCATAGGCGTTGGCACGCTATTGGAACCTTAACTGGGGGCCCCTGCTGCCCGCCTACCCCATACGGAGCGCAGAAAAAGTCCCTGTGGACGAGCCGCCACTGAGGCCGCCCAACGTCGTCATTGAAATATCATTTGATGTTCTGGCCGCACCCACGCTCAATGGGACTTTGAGACACTCCGCCAACCCTTTGATTATTTTATTACTATAACCCCCGCCGCTCCAGCAAACCTGGCGAGCTTGCGACATGTCGATGCGACCAGCATGCGGACAACAAACGCCAGACGGGGCCGTTTGAGCTCCCGGCCGTTCTACACGACGGTCTTGTTGCTGTCTTTGCTGGCCGCGTACTCGTTCTTGGCGCATTCTCGACATCGCCATGGCCCTCGCGATGACACCTCGGCGTTGCTCCGACGCTCCCACGACCAGCCTGAATGTCGCCAAGTGCACACGGCCAAGGACCAATGCGCTTTTGTCAGGCAATACTGTGTAGATGAAGATGCCGGGCTTCTTCCCTACCTGCGGCTGTACTACTGCAGCCTTGGCAAGGCGCAGCCTGTTGCTTTCATCATTCTTGTTACCTGGCTGGGGCTGCTGTTCACCACCATCGGCATTGCGGCGAGCGACTTCTTCAGTGTCAACCTGAGCACCATCGCCACCATCTTGGGCCTCAGCGAGAGTCTCGCGGGCGTCACGTTTCTGGCATTTGGAAACGGCTCTCCCGATGTCTTTAGCACTTTTGCGGCAATGGGGTCCAACAGTGCAAGCATGGCTGTTGGTGAACTCATTGGCGCCGCCAGCTTCATCACAGGCGTGGTTGCGGGCTCTATGGCCCTGGTCAGAGAGTTCAGGGTGGACCGCCGGACATATGCTAGAGACATTTGCTTCTTCATTGTCGCCGTCGCCTTCACCATGGGGTTTCTGGCCGACGGGGAGCTGCGATTTTGGGAGTGCTGCGCAATGATTGGGTACTATGCCCTCTACGTGGTCGCTGTCGTTGGATGGCATTGGTATACTACGAGGAGGAAGAGAAGACTGCGTAGAGAAGGAGAGGCTCGCAGCCATTTCTATAGCATCGCCGGCCACACTGGAGATGAACTTGCGGGCGAGCCCTACCATGACGATCCCGAAGACGAACACCAAGAAACAAGTCGACGGACTACAGCAAGCACTGGGACTGGAGGCAATCTCTCTGCCTTGGAGCGCGGCCCCATTATCGAAATTGATGGCCAGATAGCTGAGACGCCTGGAAGCGAGGATAGCGAAGAAACTGATGAGGACCATGAGAGAATGGTTGCTGTAGAGGTGGCCCGGAGCATGCGAGTCTTGCGCCCCCAAGGCAAGCGGAGGAACACCATTACACCGATTCGACCGAGCTTGATTGGTGCGTTGGAATTCAGGTCTGCCTTGGCACACTTGCAGCGCGAGAGCAACCTTCAGCTTTCAGCAATCCCGTCGCGGAGCTATTCTGAAAATCATTTTCACAGAGGACGACGGGGTAGTACCAGTGCGCTCTCCAACTTGGTATATTCCGATGACAGTTCCGCCACCACCACCACGGATGGGAGGGTGAGGGCTAGGTCGCATGGAGCCGCTCCAGTCTCTTCATCTACCCATCCGGAATTACTAGGTCACAGCCGGGATCGATCAGACTCCAGTTTGCAGCCTCCCCAAGATGGCACCATCAGCCAAAGAACGGCAAGTCCTGCGCCGTCATATCAAATTGGCGGCAAACTCGCACCCCCTCCGGTCGATGGACCGACTGCAGTGGCTGGCAGCCCTCACCAGGAGCCACATGCTGCATCTCTCATTCCTCGCCTCCAATTACAGATACCTAGTCGACCCGCTAGCGTGAGTACTCTATCGTCGCCTGTCATGCCCTTTCCCCAGTATACCGACTCTCCTATGGCCATTTCACCTAATACGCGAGCTATCTCGCCGAACACGCAACCAGAGCAAGCTGGACTAGGCTTGCTGCCACCCCCAGCTACCGCTCGCGAAAGTCCCTTTGCCGCCCTCGACAACGCAGCAGCTACATCGCGACCAGTTAGATGGTGGCCGTATTCGATTCTTCCTGCTCCGCATGTGCTCCTTGCTACCCTATTCCCGACCTTGCAGGGATGGAAAGAAAAGGCATGGTGGGACAAGTTTGTTAGTGCCATATCTGTACCAAGCATCTTCCTCTTGGTAATAACGCTACCGGTTGTCGAGTCAGAGACGTCAGAAGAAGTTGATACTTTTGATGATGGCATCACCATCACCGATCGTTCTGCCCATAGGTCTATTGGACATATGGCTCCACCTATTTCGATCCAACCCGGGGAAATCGAGCCCGAAGATGAGTGGGAGCGATTTCGAAGATATTCGTTAAATCGCAGAAACAGCGATGCTGCCACCAATAGCATTCCGACACCATATTTGGCGCTGCCGGAAGAAGAACTTTTGACTGTATCCCCCCGTACCCAAGAGCCTGGCGCGGCTAAGCCCTTGTCCGAGGTTCGCTCCATCAGTCAAGCAAGCGAGGAAAAGATGGGATGGAGCCGTTGGCTTGTCTGTCTCCAGCTCTTCATGGGGCCGCTGTTTGCCGTCATTATACTCTGGGCAAACATCTCTGAAGATTGGGAGAATCCGAGAAGCTCTTTAGTGCACATGATTCTATGGACGCTTGTAGGATCTCTCGTATTGTTAGGAGCCCTGCTTCTGCTTACGACGGAGCAGAGGCGGCCCCAGTATCACTTTTTGTTCTGCTTTTTGGGCTTCATCATCAGCATAGCTTGGATTTCAACAGTCGCTGGCGAAGTGGTTGGAGTTTTGAAAACATTCGGCGTGGTTCTCGGCATTTCAGAAGCTCTGCTCGGACTCACTATCTTTGCTGCCGGCAACAGCGTAGGCGATCTAGTTGCTGATATCACGGTGGCTCGACTTGGATATCCTGTCATGGCATTGTAAGTACACTCACCGTCTGAGAAACATCTTTGTTCTGCTTGTTCATGTTTACTAACTGCGTTTCTCTTGCACAGATCTGCCTGTTTCGGCGGGCCAATGCTCAACATCTTGCTAGGCATAGGTGTTGGGGGCGTTTTGATGATGGTCCAAGATGCAAATCACCACCACAGTAAGCATCCGGGGGACGACTACGCTTACAGGCCGTACCGCATACAGATTGGAGGAACCTTGATGATATCCTCCATTACATTGCTGGTGATTCTACTTGGCTTGCTCATCTCCGTGCCCCTCAACAAATGGATCTTGAGCCGCAAGATTGGCTGGGTGTTGATAGCCATGTGGTCGGCCAGCACGATAGTCAACGTGGTTGTTGAGCTCACGGGTGCAATAGGTGACATTTCTTGATTGAGTGATACGGAAGGAGAGCAAGTTTATGTGTATTTATACAAGGTACCTGTATGGAACATTGTTTTTTGTTTTTTCTGTTTCTTTCTTTTTTATGGTGGAATGACATTATGAGGGCTTGATATGCATACACTGCATTTAGATAGTTTTAAACTTGTATACACCACGAACCTGTTTTTCCTTTGAGACGTTTTGACATACATACGAAGAATACCTAACTATCAATGGAATACGTGTATAAGCAACAGCGTTAGCATAGTAACAATAGACACCGCAGTTGAGAATACTCCATATGCTCTTAATCACTCTGATACTATTCGCTCGCGGAGTAAGCACCAAGCAATTGACTTTCTCTCCAGCTCAATTAGGTTTCGTCAGCTATGTTGGTGCTATTTTAGCTATTGCCATACGTGTTAGGTTGAATGTACCGCCATGTCATTGGAACTTGACAGATTTCGCATGCTTCTCCTCGTATTCATTTCCTTCGTTGACGCATCACATGAGGAACTTTGCGCCCAATATCCAACAATTTTAATCAAGACAAAACACAAGAGGCTGTGTAAAGGATCTACGTGTGAATCATTTTTGCTTTGTTTTTATTTCTCTCATTGTGAATTTTCAAAAAAGAACAGCTGTCTAGTTCATCCCATGTCTTTGCCAATAGACTGTTGACATGTATTCAGATTTCCTGTCCCAGAGTGCCGAAACGTGGCTCGTATGCTGAAATTAGTGGCTTGGATGTTTCATTTCGCGGCCTGGAGCTGTCACTAGCGGCCCCATGCACCGCCTCTAGGACCCCTGTAGCACCACGCTGTCGACCCTGAAGTTCCGTCACTGGTCTCATGCTGCTTTATCTTTTTGGCGGGCTGTCAGGATTTATTATCGCCTTGACCGCCCCAGCGATTTGACCCCTCAGGCTCTAAGTCAAGCACCCCGCCATTGAATACATTCGCCTATCTTTACAACGAACAACTTCTTTTAACTTGTCCAAGTCTTTTGCGAATTCGCGTCTTCACAAGCCCTTTTGTTGCTTAGCGACTCTTTTTTCACCTCTTCAATTCTTTCATCTCTTCTACTTCTCTTTGCCCATCATGGCTGCTCCTGCTTATACCCCTCTTGAAGACCGTCCTTTGAAGGACACGATTTGCCTTTTCGATGTCGACGGCACATTGACTCCCGCTCGTCTTGTAAGTTGTTGGCATACTCCCATTCATCCAATTGGCCTCGTTGGGTCTTCAATTCGAATATACTTCGCCTATCAATCAACCTCTCGCTAACAAATTATTCCCAAACCCCTTCTAGGATGCCTCTCCCGAAATCCTCGACCTCCTCCAGGCCCTCCGCAAGAAGTGCTCCATCGGCTTCGTCGGCGGCTCCGACCTCATCAAGCAGGAGGAGCAGCTCGGCAAGCCCGCCGGCGTGCCCGTCACCACCCTCTTCGACTACTGCTTCGCCGAGAACGGCCTGACCGCGTACAAGCTGGGCGAGGCGCTGCCCTCCAACAGCTTCATCAAGTGGATCGGCGAGGACAAGTACAAGGAGCTGGCCAACTTTGTCCTGCACTACGTTGCCGACCTGGACATCCCCGTCAAGCGAGGAACCTTCATCGAGTTCCGCAACGGCATGGTCAACATCAGCCCCGTCGGCAGAAACGCCAGCACAAAGGAGCGAAACGACTTTGAGGCCTACGACAAGGAGGCCAAGGTCCGAGAGAAGTTTGTTGCTGTTCTCAAGGAGAAGTTTGGCCACCTGGGACTTACGTATGTAACTACCCATCCTTTTTTCCTTCCCCCATCCTGACTTGATCGACCTGTGCTCCGCTAACAAAACATGGCACGCAGCTTCTCCATCGGCGGCCAAATCTCCTTCGACGTCTTCCCCACCGGCTGGGACAAGACCTACTGCCTGAGCCACCTTGAAAACGAGGCCAAGAAGCCCAACGGAATCACCTACAACAAGATCCATTTCTTCGGAGACAAAACGTTCAAGGGCGGCAACGACTACGAGATCTTCAGCGACGAGCGAACCATTGGCCACACTGTCAAGGGCCCCGAGGAGACTATTCAGATCCTGAAAGAGCTTTTCGACCTCTAAATTTGCTTATCAGAGGAGGTGAATCCCTGACGCGCAAAACAGAGGAGAAAAGAGAGCAGATGGGGGGAATAGCAACGCAAATGAATCACTGAGGACAGGTCCGCAGTGATAGTTCCATTCAATCAATCTAGATAATACCAAAGATACTCCGATTTGATAAATCTTATACATATTTTTACATCAAGTCTTCCAAAAGGTCAACACTCTCGACATGAAAGTCAACGGGAGTGAAATAGTCCAATTCTTTCTTTTCAACAGGAGATACGCTAAACAAATCAAATCTTTCCCTCTATATTTCCCATCTCTTTCTTCTCACAACCCACTAATAGGTATTCTAAACCCTTTCATCGTCCGTATTCCAAGTGAGGAATAATCACAGGGCCATATTTAGTAGTGGCTGTAAAAGCACCATCACCTTGCACAACAAAATCAACCGCAAGGCTAAGCTTAGACAAGCCCTGCTGCTGATTGTGAAGGCTTGGGTTGGGGCTGAAAGGCCCCTGGCTCTGGGCCATGACAGCGTCGTGGTCATAGGCAATGACTGCCACGTAATTCCTGCGGCCCATGAGCTTCTTCAGCTCTCTGCCCGCTCCGCTAGCGTCTGAATGGAAAATCTCCATCATATCTTCTTTGGTGTCGGACACTTCGTGTGTGGATCTCTGACCATTTTGTGGCACGTAGAGCGTCTTCTGGTTATGGAGTAGTTTCAACACGTATGTGCTCTGAGGGGCAGATACAATTGGCGACGTGATAACCTGGTACATTGTCTTGTGATCTCCAGGGTGAGTTGGGTCATGCACAAGACCAGCTCCTGCACAGTTGACATCTGTCAAGGCAAAAACATGTCAGTATAAGCGGTACTGTATAAATGGAAAAGGGATGCTGTTTTGTGGCTTACCTCCAGATAAGAATGTCATGCGAATACCCTTCTGCTGTGAGATGCCCTGAAGGGTACGGATGAAATATGTCCTTTCAAGATCCTTAGACTCATGAGTCCACATATCTTTAAGCACTTCTTGGATGTCTAGTTCGCCAAATTGATTGAGCACGTTGCCCATCAGTCCAGACTTGCCGACAGCCTTCTTGACTTGACTGAAGCCCTGCGCAACCATTTCTTTGCCGCCAACAACACCTGCCACAGAGCTTGTGACTTTGCCAAGGATATTGTATGTTGTGTTGACAGCCTTCTTACCTGCAGCAACAGTATTCGCCAAGCTTTCCACGGTATCCAATCTGGGATATATCAGAGGAACTGATACCATCCAAATAGCATGCTGGACAGAAGGTGGTAAGGTTGCGACCTTGGGGAAGATTCCCTGGTAGGTTGGTCCGGCCATCACACGTGCCTGAGTTCTTTCGGATCGGCAGTCTGTGCCGATCACAACCATTGCCGGGCCAAGATATTTGACGAAATGCCACCCAGTACCAGTAATGGTGAAGATGTCATGGTCAGTGCTGACGTTACGCATCATCTCTGCCGTAGTGTGATGCTGGAAAAGCAAATACATGTCTGCTGCTACCCGGCCAGTGTTTTTAAAGATGGCGGATGATTGCATGTAGTCAGGATATGATCCAAATCCATCAAATCTAAGAAAAAAGTTAGAAATACTGCCAACAATGAATGGACGCCTTCTCCCCTTCTTTCCTTTGCACTTACATATCGTGGTCATCAATCTGCAAAACATGAGGAATTTGTGCAAAAGCTTCCCTCAGATAAGGCTGGTCAAAGTGACTGGTATAGTAATGGAAGTAAGCATGGCTTACGTCCTCCTCATGGCGCGCAGTCCATTGCGTGTTTCTCTTGTTGTCTCTTCCGCTCATAGCTAACCACTGCTTCATCAGTGGCACCTCTCTCCATAGTCGATCGCCGTAAATCTGGTCACCCAGTCCAAGCTGTACGTGGAAACCGCCGCATTCCACATTCTTTTGGAGGACGTCTTTCCACATGAAACCCACGCCACCCAGCTTAGAGCGTTCATTTTGAGACGTGCTGACTGCAAAATCATTACCAGAGTGGGCTATGAATCTCCATCCAGTCTCGTGCCTGCCTGCCACGACAAATTCGTAGCGTGTACATCCAAGGTGCGATGTAACGGCGTAAGTCCATCGTTCGGTGGCCTCTGCCATGTCGATCTCAATCTCATATTTATAAAAAGTCCAGCGCTGGTGGACGTAAATGGCGCGAGGAACAAGCTGCATAGGATTTGGAGAAAGATCCATGCTCTGGTGTAAATGAATCGTAGGCGGTTGAGGTGCGTCTGTCACAATAAGGATGCTGCCAAACCATTTACCAGTTTCAATGTTCATATTGACGTATTTCAAGTAAGGGCCAAAATACACTCCATTGGTTGGCTGGATTCTGTACATGTCCACGCCAGCACTTGGCGGTGGACCAGTGAAGCCAAGGGTCGGAGCCTGTGAAGCTGCAACACTCATGATGCTTTCGGCGTAACCGGGAGTGTGTGGAGGAAACATGGGGGAAGCCATTGGTGTTTTTCCAAACATGGGAGACGCCAGCGGGTTTCCGTAGGTCGAAGCCGTGGGCGAGAGAGGAGCCTGATCATGCTGGATAGGGTTCGGCCCCTTGGGAAACTCCCATTGGGTTGCCTGGGTAGCCAAGTGAATGTAATAATACTGGCCCGAGTTCTGATCGAGATGGGCTATCCATCCTTCAGGCAAAGGTGGCGGAGAAGCAGGACCAGCAGCTGCGAGGTTCGGGGGCATGGTTACCACTTGAGCATGTTGAGCACTGGGCTCCGGTCGGGGATCATTCGCAAATGCAGGGTGACCTTGATTATGAGGAGCAGATGCGGAAGCAAGGCCTGCGGCAGCGGCAGCCGTGGCAGCAGCCGTAGCTGCAGCTACCACTGTCTCTTTAGCTGGCGTTACTGAAATAGTGGCTACGGGAGCTTGAGAGGTGGCAGCAATAGGGGCAGCCGCTGGTGCTTGATTAGCTTGCTGCGGCCGCTGTTTCTCATTAGGGTAAGAGGTTCGTCCGCCAGGGTTGACGCTTGAGTAAGCTGGCGGAGGAGAACTGGTGCTCAGGCGTTGGAAATCTTGTTCCAAAACACTGGCCTGAGCGGGGGAGTTGACCTGATTCTGCGCTGGCTGCTGGTGCTGCGGCTGCTGTTGTTGCTGAGGCGGCGGGCTGCTGACCGGATGCTGTGGTTGAGGTGACGAAATCTCATTCATGCCCTGGTATACAGTTGGAGGCCCAGAGGGAGCCTGGTCGGGAGACTCCGTGGGTGTCCAGGGGCGCTGAGGTTGCGGTGTTTGATTGTTGTATTGTGCCAATCTCTGTGCAGCAGCGGCACTCTGAACCTGAGAAGCTTGAAGGCTAGTGAGAGTTGCCGTGCCGGAAATGCCCGACGCAGCATATCGGGCCTCGATGCCACCGCCAGGCACGCTGCCAGGCTCTACAATAGGAGTCTCTGGAGGTGGAGGTGAGCCTCTGCTGGCTCTAGTAGTCGAATTCGAGGCCGTCGAAGCAAACCGATTGACACCGGGATCGTTGGACGCCAGATTTTCAACCTGGGGGATCTTTGGGGGCTGCGGGGGCGCCTGTGCCTGCTGCGGCTGTGGATACTGCTGAGGCTGTTGATACTGTTGAGCTTGTGGAGGCTTTTGGTATTGCTGCTGCTGTTGCGCCGGAGTGCTGCTGGAAGACCCGGATGCAGCTCCTCCAGGCGGCGGGTAATACGTCTTTTGGTAAGCTGGGTAGTTCGTTGTCGATGCAGCAGGCTTATCCTGCAAAGGCCTCGCAAAGAGGCCATAGTCGGCATCAGGGCTGGACGGAGAGTGAATGGGCTTCGGCGCAGCACCTCGTCTCTCGGCAAGACCTGGCTTCTTCTCCGCAGCAATGTTTGTGTCTAGTCGAGGGCTCGTATCGTTATAAGCAGAGCCATATGGCTTTGGCGCAGTCGGCTTTCTGATATCGTCGTCATCTGGAAACGGCAGAGGAGCGGCAGAACTCGATGCGCCAGGAGGAAGAGGGAAGGTCAATCTGCTCGATGAAGTCGAAGACACGCGAGAATGGGGATTGGGACTCTGTGGTTTGAAAATGCGCAACGGCTCGACCGTTGGGCTGTCGCAATCTTCTGGCGCAGGCTTGCTTAGGAAGAGCTCATTGTCAGGGACGCCACGGCTGCGCTCCATGTTTCTCGAGTTGGAAGAGATGTCGGTTACAAGCTGCAAGCAAAGCTTCTATCAGTAAATAGAGGGTTAAAGGTGATGGAAGAAGAGAAGCATACTCGGCGTGGAAGACGGCAGCAGAAGCGAATATCAGAGCGCCCAAGAACGAGCTATGCACCGTTCCAGCAGCGACCGAGGCGTTGAGAGGGACGCAAACAACTGAAGGAAATGATTAAACTGGACTACACTGAACAGCTGAGAGCTTGTTCATGTAGTTGGGCTGCGTGAGATTATCGACGTCTCCGCGGTATAGGTAGTCTTAGTATGGACGTGGCGGCACCCTGAAGCTGGTGGCGGGGATGACACAATCCGGATTTGTACCTGTACTGCCCCTCTGGTTTCCAAATAGCGGATGGGTCGCAGAACTGGCCGCACGGCCCGCTGCAACAAACGCAGGGCCTGTAAGTGAGGTGCCGTGGTGTAGGAGAATGAGGAATACAGAAGTGAGAATCGGCCGGACGCGAAGAAAAAGATGTGAACATGAAGAGAAAGAGAAAAGAGAGAAGGGAAATGGAACAGGGCGCCAAAACGGGTGGCTGTAGAGTTTAATGTGAGATTGTTCTGCTAACTAAATGCCACCTGGTAGCGGCAGGGTCTACGGAGTATCTGGTACCACGAGAGATGCACGCTGAGATGCGGAAAGCAAGTACCCAGTACCAGCTAAAGCACCTGCATTGTTATCGATATCAGGCCACGCACTGCAACTCCATGTCTGCATCGCCAGGACTGGCGAGGGCATCTGCAACGCGAGCCCAAACAGGGGCCCTCGGCGGCAATGCGAAGCTGTCGCGGCGCCGTGGCTGAAAGAGACAGACAAAGACAAGGAGGGTCTCTGGAGGGCCTCTGGAGCCAGCAGAGTTAGTGGCGGCAGGCTTGCAACGTGGAGAGTCGTGGCAGACCCCGCGGCTGGCGCTGATTGGCTGCGTAGCTCCATTTCGCTAGCCCTGTAAGCGCCGGCGACCTGGACAAGGCTCCATTGGATGCGCCGCCGCGAGACCCAACGGCCTATGAATGCGAGATGGAAGCGCTGGCATGTCGACGCCGAGACTTGCAAAGGCCTCATCAGCTGCGGCAGCCAAATGGAATCGCATATTAAAGCGGAGGCTGAGCGCGCTGGCGCTGTGCGTGTGTCTATCCCTGGACAGGGCCAGGAGCTGGATGCAAGGTGATCAGATGTCACTTGAACGCTTTTAGCCCAGGCCTGTGATTTACAAGACGTGCGGGTATGAGACTGGGCGGCAAGAAGCAAGCTAGACGGCTCAGACGGACAGCAGCACTTTTAATTCAAGGTAGGTGGCTAATGCGTCGGAAGCCATGGCCGAGGCATCTTATTGCTGCTCATCAAAATCGGTGCACTCGCTGTGAGCTTTGCATCTCCCTAGTGCTGGTGCTCCATGGCTATGCCGGCACATGTCGCTCAAAACTTCGTGGGCGTCGTCATCATTGCCGGCACTTTGCTTCCGATTGCTGTAAGAAGTCATAATATTTCGAGTTTGAGTTCCGTCTGGGCATAGGGAATGAGGTTGGTTGACGCAAGCAGGAGCCTTTGTTAGATGTAGTCGGAACATGTGCCAACCCCACAACTACAATGGAGCTGTATATGGTACTGGCTCTGGCTTGGCACCGACATCTCACTCGTTTTTGCTGTTTGCGTCAACTCCGATCACTTATCCTGGATACCGGGATAGGTAAATTCTTATGAATAAGAGAATGTAGCTTGGTGGTGAATAGAATATTCCAATTCCTACCTACCTAGTAGTACATAAATCAAAAAAAGGCGGTTTAGTGGTGGGTGATAAGATAAGACCCTGACGTAGATATTTCCTAACCAGGCAAAATATGGGGCTTCTCAACGCGTGCTGGAGAGCTGGACGCGTTGAGAGGTCGACGCTACCTCACATTTTAATCAAGTTGTAGCGGTCGGCACGTTGATTGTGAGGGCGGTACTACCAGGACGGCCTTTTTAGTAAAGCTGTCAGTTCCAGTTCCATCATGACTCCCATATCGAAACCTCCAGAGAAGAAGCAGAAGTCTTTGACTGCATTCTTCACGCCCAGGGCTGCCAATGGCACTGCGTCACCATCCTCTCAGAAGCCCGCAGTGCCATCTTCGCCGACTCCTGCAAGAGACCCAAGTTTGCCATCACGAAAACGGCCCCTCGAAAAGGAAAGCGAACAGTCCGACGGCATTGTCGAGAATGCAACAAAAAGAACTAAGGGTACTGAGGCTGGCAATGAGAAAAGCTCCTTTTTCAACAAAGATTCCGCCGTTGCCACAGCTACTGGCAACCAAAGTCCTTCTTCCACACGAGTACGACGCTACCATTACAATGACTCGAATTCACAAGAAGATATCGGCCACACGAGCGATGACGACGACGAAGCAACGAAAAAGAATAATGAAGAGCTGCACAGAAGATTTGTCAAGAAGTTGGGCCATCCAGATGCCTTGGCTTGGCGTTCCTTGAAAGCACAGGACGGCGCCGCAGCCGGTGATGATGAGGATGCCGACGCAGATCCTGAAGAAGACGAAGCCCCGGTTGCCACCAAGACCAAGAAGAAGGGATCGAAAACAGGAAAGCTAACACCCATGGAGTTGCAATTCCTGGAAATCAAGCGGAAACACATGGACACCATACTGATCGTCGAGGTTGGATACAAGTTTCGATTTTTTGGTGAAGATGCTCGGGTGGCTGCCAAAGAGCTAAGCATCGTATGCATACCGGGTAAAATGCGATATGATGAGCGTATGTACTTTTGTTTGATGCCTTTGTTACGGCCTCGCTAATCAGCATTAGATCCTTCGGAGGCTCACCTGGATCGATTTGCATCGGCCAGCATTCCGGTTCACCGATTACCCGTTCACGCAAAACGACTCGTCGCTGCCGGCCACAAAGTTGGAGTCGTGCGGCAGCTCGAGACCGCGGCGCTCAAGAAAGCCGGCGACAACAGAAATGCCCCCTTTGTCCGCAAGCTCACCAATGTCTACACAAAGGGAACATACATCGATGAGAACGGAGAGCTGGATAGCCAAGACGCCTCTGCCCCTTCGGGAGGCTATCTGCTTTGCATCACAGAGACGGCAACCAAAGGTTCTGGCGCAGATGAAAACGTCAATGTCGGGATTCTGGCTGTACAGCCTGCCACTGGCGATATCATCTATGACACCTTCGAGGACGGCTTTATGCGAAGCGAGATTGAGACACGCCTCCTGCACATATCACCCTGCGAGTTTGTTATTGTGGGCGATCTCACCAAAGGCACAGACAAGTTGATACTGCACCTGTCAGGCAGCAGTACCAACGTCTTTGGCGACCGCAGTCGCGTTGAGCGTGTACCCAAAAGCAAAACCATGGCTGCCGAGGCCTATTCGCATGTAACGCAATTCTACGCCGACAAAGTCAAGGAGGCATCAGACAACGAGACTGCGAGCGCTCTACTCGACAAGGTCCTGAAGCTTCCTGAGGCGGTCACCATCTGTCTATCCGCCATGATCACTCATCTACAGGAATACGGCCTGGAGCACATATTCGGTCTGACGAAATACTTTCAGAGCTTCAGTACGCGATCCCACATGTTGGTTAATGGTACAACCCTAGAAAGCCTCGAAATCTACCGCAACTCCACCGATCACTCCCACAGGGGTAGCCTCTTCTGGGCCGTTGACAAGACTCTCACTCGGTTCGGCCAGCGTCTTCTCCGAAAATGGGTCGGCCGCCCCTTGTTGGACAGAGAGCGTTTAGAAGAGCGCCTTGCCGCCGTACAGGAGCTTCTCGACAAGCAATCCACTTCCCCCGTCGATGATCTAGAAAGACTCCTTTCCACCACCAAAGCGGATCTTGAACGCAGTCTCATTCGTATATACTACGGTAAATGCACCAGGCCAGAACTCTTGTCCGTGCTTCAAACTTTGCAAAAGATTGCCAGTCATTACTCCTCTATCAAGTCACCCTCTGATGTCGCCTTCAACTCGCCCCTCATCGTCAATGCCATCGTCGCCTTGCCCAAGATCCTAGATACAGTCATCTCCTACCTTGATCGCATTAACATGTATGCCGCCAAGAAGGACGATAAATATGGCTTCTTCAGAGAGGAGTTCCATACCGAAGAGATTCAAGATCACCAGATGGGAATAGCCCACGTCGAGCACGAACTCGATGAGCACCGCGCCGTCGCCGCACAAAAGATTAAACAAAAGATGGTCGAATATGTTACCGTTGCAGGCATCGAATATCTCATCGCCGTTCCCAACAAAGACATTAAGAACGTTCCCGCCTCTTGGAGCAAAATCTCCGGCACAAAAGCCCTCTCGCGCTTCCACACCCCCGAGGTCATCCGTCTCATCACCGAGCGGGACCAGAGTCGCGAAGCCCTCGCTGCGGCCTGCGACAAGGCCTTTAAAGACTTCTTGGCCGAAATAGCTGCCGAATACCAGCCTCTGCGAGATGCCATCTCTGCCCTCGCCACTCTCGACTGCCTCCTTTCACTCTCCAAAGTCGCCGCTCAGCCAGGCTACAGCAAACCCACCTTCCTCCCCTCCACCTCCGAACCATCCATCTCCATCTCCCAAGGCCGTCACCCAATGGCGGAGCAGACTCTCGAGAGCAGCTACATCCCCTTCACCACCACTCTCGCTCACCCATCCACCCTAGCCCACCTCATCACCGGCCCCAACATGGGCGGCAAATCCTCCTTCGTCCGCGCCGTCGCCCTCATCGTCCTCCTCTCCCAGATCGGCTCCTTCGTCCCTGCCGACTCCCTCACCCTCACCCTCTGCGACGCCATCCACACCCGCGCCGGCGCAAGAGACAACCTCTTCGCCGGCGAATCCACCTTCATGGTCGAGGTATCCGAAACAGCACGCATCTTGCGCTCCGCCACCCCGCGCAGCCTCGTCATCCTGGACGAGCTCGGCCGCGGCACCAGCACCCACGATGGCGCCGCCATTGCTCAATCTGTCCTGCACCACGTCGTGACCGAAACGAGGTGTCTCACTCTCTTCATCACCCACTACCAGAATCTCGCTCGCATTGCAGACGGCCTGCCTGGCGTCACCAATGTCCATATGAAATTCAATGCGCAGAAAGGCGAGGATGGCGAAGAGGAAATTACCTTTTTATATGAGGTAGGAGAAGGTATAGCCCATCGCTCGTATGGGTTAAACGTCGCTCGTTTAGCCCGTATTCCTAAGAAGGTGCTTGATGTCGCCGCAGGAAAGTCAAAACAACTGGAAAATGAGATGAGGCGGCGAAGGTTACAAGGAGCATATAGGACGCTTGCCGAAGTCATGGAAGCTGGCCCGGATCAGTTGGATCATCTGGTGTCCGCTATTGAACAGCTATAACAACTGAGCTTTAGCAGCGAGAAAGGGGCAGCGTGCGTCTCGCAATATCTAGCATGGGTCTTACTTGGTACAAATTTCATAAAGAGCGAAATGCTATTGTATTTATCATGTGTAAATAAGAGAATGTATGGATCTTACGAACGCCAAAATGGTTTATCTATGACCTGATGTGCGTTCCGCCACTAGAAAAGCAAAATAACACGCCAATCAGACTGTCTTGTTCAAATCAATTATCAATATCGTTGAACAGTCCCTTTCCCGTATAGAACCCAAGTTGTAGAAATGACTGTAGAATCGCCGAAACCCACCCAAAAGAAACTGTTAAAGAAAACACCTAGCCCTGTATCCGCAACCGTCTAAGAAAAAAATGCGCCATCAGAAAATAGTTTTCTCTATACTGTAAAAAACTTGCTGCAGCCCGACAACAGTCAAACTATGAATGGTCGCGGGGCGTAGCTGAGCCTGGCCAGCTGAAAATGTCTAGACGTTCAAAAAGCAGCCTCTCCATCGTATGTGGGTTCATGTAATTTAAAAACATGGTGCCAACGAGACCTTCGCCATCATGTAAGCAATCTTGATATAGCAAATCTTTCTAATTTCAGCTCACCTTGATGAAATATACCGAGAACAACTCTTGAAGGGTGCCTCGGGACCCGATATTAGAGAGAAGTCAAAAAGAAAAGTTAAAGATGGATAAAAATGCGCCGATAATGTCCCCATAGTATATCCCGGATAGACGCCTGTTTCAAATAGCGGAATGATGATGTATTTTATCAACATTAAGCGACTGGGTACTGTAAAAGAGGCATTAAAGCTCCAGTTCGTCGTGTCGGAGATCTTCGTTGATATCTACGCCGTTGTCAGAGCCTTGTGGCTCCCAAAGGCCATGTACAGAATAGCGTGATTCTTTTTCATCGTCAATATTACCTTCATCCAGAACATCGCAGAGCTGTGGCTCCAGTTTGATGTTTGCAGCAGACTGAGATTGGTCATGGTTTTGGCGCATCGAATGGGCGGCATCTTGATTACGGTTTATCGATGTAAATCCCAACGAAGATAGATTTTGTGCTGAACCCGATCCAAAGAAGAGACGGTCTTGCGAGAACAGGGGATTTGCGCCAGGCATATCCAGAAATTGGTTTGTCGCTGAGACTGCATCATTCGTACCAGGATTGGAGAAATCATCTAGCTTGTGTTGAGCGTGGTGGCCTGAAGAAAGGCGAAAGTGGTCATGGCTGAGAGTGTTGAAATGGTTGCTTGAGGCGAAAGTAAACCGCGGTGTGTTATTATAGATCGATGTTCCATTCAGGGCATATGATAGATCCGAGTGGTTCAAAGCGCCTGGTAGAAATAATGTCAGTATTTGGATGATCAGGCTCGAGGATGATTGTCTTACCCAGCCCAGCATGCGCGCCCATGCTCAAATAGGGCTGCTCTTGACCTCGACCTCTATTAATCTCTCGTCCCGAGAATGATCTATCTGGTATATCCCGAGATTGCGGCGTCGGGGATACAAGATTAGAGTGGGATATCGGGTTCAATTGGTGCAGTCCAACCCGACCGCGCAGATCAAACCTAGAAGGCGGAGAGAGATTAGCATGAGTTTAGCCTACATAGAAGTGTTTCCAAGTTGATGATACCTCGGTTCCCTGTGAGAAGAACCTGACAGCGGCCGATTGTCATAGAGTCCTGCATCATATCAGTAAAGGAGTTTCGATAAGCGTAGGCATGCATACCAGTGACTGTATCCTCATCTCGGAATATGTCGTGAGAACGCTTGAACTGTCCAAGAGGAGTGATGTCGGAGCTCGAAGTCCGGCTGTACCCCGTAAGTGGCTTGGAGCTTTTTCCTTGTCCAAGATTGCTGCGTGTGATACGACGGCTATTTCCTCGAGGAACGTTGGCAGAAATCTCTGCCAGGGGCTCCCCTCGCTTTCGTCGAGGCTTCGCTACCTTTTTGAGCGGAGTCTGACCGATATTAGTTGCAAATCAAATCATCAAACGATGTGGGACGTAGATACGAACCGCTTCCTCCTGGTCTGGTACTGGCGAAGAGCTATCATACACGTCTTTAATCCTTTCGACCTCAAACTCGGCCGTCATCACAACTTGCGTGGGCTCAATGCCTTCAGAAGTTCTCCTCATTTTCTCAATGGCGGATTTGGGCTTCCTTTGGTTACGAGTGCGCTTCATGTCCTCATTTGCCAAATCCATTTTTCCCATGCCTGGCCATACTTGACCCTTCAGTGCCATCATGTCGGCCGGTACGAAAAGTTCGTCTGGAGGGTCGTTTTCGTTATCGGACGGAAAGAATCCCGGGTAAACGGGAAAGTCTACGGGGTATTCTTCGCGCTCATTCTTTACAGGAGTGTCGGATTCGGTTCGCTTGATTCTTCGCTTGGGTTGCTGCCATCTCAGTTAGTATACTAGCATAGCTTAATCACTTGGCTCCATCTTTATCATACCTTTGAAGAATTGAGTGCTGATGTAGCTCCCCTGGCTCGTTTGTTTCTTGTAGCCTCTTTCAGCTGCTTGGCCTTCATTCTCTCAACAAGCAGCCCTTCGATGCCATTATCTTTGTACCATTGCTCGTACTGCTGAAGGGAGATGGAGGCTGCAATGTCTTGGTGAGACTTCAGCTTCGTCTGAGTCTCATGATGAAGATGGCCTTTGGAGGCAATATGCGTGAGGAGGTGGGAAACATCAGAGAATCGGGGTGTCTCAGGGCAAACGGTGCAGAGCAAAGGAATCTGCTTGTTACTGGACCCAGAAGAAGCACCGGTAGTAAGGACCGACGCCATGTCCTATTCCAATCATCATTAGTAACGACTCTTGATATGAATACGCGCAAAGTAAAACGTGTTGTTTCGCAGCGGCAGCTAATTTGTCTGCAACAGTGTTGGTGTTGCTGAGAAGCCTAACCTGTTCATGACCCAGGGCCAGGTCAAATCCCAAGTGGTAATCTTGGGGCAGGAAACAGCAACAATAATAGCAATAACAGCAGAGAAACAAAAAGACGGTCTTGGAGTGGCCTCGAAAAGCAAAGAAGCAATGGTAGAGAGTGACGTGATTCGGAAAAGGGCAACTGGGTATGCAGGGACTGGGGGGAAGAAGCAAATGAGCCAGCAGGGTGCAGAAAGATCCACACAAGCTCAGTTCGGATGGAAGAGAAGATTGGTAGGTTGGTAGGTAATTGGGTAGGTAGCAAGAAAGGAAGAAAAGTGAGGAGAGGTGCAAAAGGGATGAAACAGGAACAGAAGTCACGAGCCTCACCATTGGATAGTAGCCGTCCACGTCCGGACAGGGCTTGATGATGGACAGCGTTTGAGGCAACAGCAACCCAGAAGGCTGCGCCCACTGAGGCAGCTGAGGTGTCGCGTGATACTCTAGACTTGGCTCGCTTCCATCCCAGGAGAACAGCGAATGGCCGGGACGCAGAGAGAAGCCTGAGCGGCGCCGCAAATTCTGTGCAAAGAAGGAAGAATCCATGTTGTCGATGCCGCAGCAGCTGTCAAGGGGGTGTCTAGGAAGTGTCCAGGCAGTGTCCAGGCAAGAGCCTCGTTTAGTGAGAGTCTTTTGGTTACCACGCCACAGAGACGCTGCTGCTTGATTCTTCGAGAGTGCTGGACAAGGCAGAGAAGAAGATGAGCAGCTTCGTTCATCTACCCTCAGCTTCCTTCCATCTTTTCTGAACAATGGAGGCTAGTCCATCTTGGGTGAAGATATTGCGTAGTTGTGGTCGTGCATCGTGCCTTCCTTCTTTATGATATCTCTCACTGATAGCGATACGGCACCTAGGAAAAATGAGATGCTAATACATTAAGCAACGCAGAATAACTAGTAGGAATGCATCTAATATCACTATGCGTCTATAATTATAAAGTTTGTTACCACTTGCAATTTTCTGCTTTTGCTGTTGGACTGCAAAGTCATTATTCTACTACCCTTGGCTCCTTTCCATGGCATCTATGGTGACCAATATTTGCCCTCCTTTCTTCTGCGCTTTTCCACTATCGCCTGTGCACCAAGGCATAATACCTCTAATTTTAGGGCGTAGAAGATAGTGGGCTGCAAATTATTACAGGCTAGAATAATTTGCAAACCATGGCAGTGCAGGTTACTAATTATTGATATGAAGATAGTAGTGATTTGGTGAGATACTTTGTGTGATATTCAATCCAAATACCCAGGCGATAAAGACCTGTGATTTTGCTCTCTGATACTTCTGTATATTAGGATGAACTGCCAGCCTATTGGATGTTCTACCCTGGGCAGCCCTCGTCCTATGCTTTGGATATCTGATCTTATTTATCCATTTCTAGGGTAGTACTAATCCAAAGCCATATACCACCTGATCGCTCCAAGGCAACTGAAAAGCAAAGCTTAATCAATACACGAATGGCACTGATGTCAGATATTACCGGGTAGCTGCTACTTTGGAAAGAAAGCAGCGTCTCCTCCTTTCGTGGCCTCATATCTACCCCACGGTGCTGCCCCTCGATGCCTCGCCAAGTGCATCGCCCGTTGTTTTTGTAATGCGAGAGCACATTTTACAAAACACGGCAAGATAATTCACGAAGAAGAGAGAATCTTGGGTGGACATTATACCCCAGCGCCGTTCATCTTCCTCACTCCCCTAGAATTCTCGCGACAATCTTCTTGGGCATACAGTATCTCGGATCCACAGGCTCCATGCCAGGGTATCCAAGTAAGCTCAGCCCTGCACTGCCAAAGCATGTGTGCCAAACGTCCACCATATCACCAGGCCTGTCGGAGAAGCCGCCTTTTTCGGGATCCTGGCAGCCCAGGATGAAGTCGATTAAGGCCTGGCGGTCGATCCAGTGCACGCGATCGATAATTTGAAGACTGCTCAAGACCCACCAGCTATAGCAAACGTCTTCTTTCTTCTCAGGACGGCCGTTGAGCCCGCCGCCAGGAAGCTGCCTCTCGCTGAGCCAGCGGCCGAGTTTCTCCTGGTCCACGAGATCCAGGCGCCCTGCGATGGCGAGAGCAGCGACGCAAGTAAAGATCTGGGCAGAGTGGGACTCTGCGCCCGGCTTCGCTCCATAGCCGCCGTCAAAGTTTGCGCAGGATACGACGTGTGATACTGCTTTGTCAACGTCGACCAGCGACAAGAGACCGAGGAGGGACAGGGCGTTGAGAGCTGCGTATAGAAATCTTGTGTCCTCTTCCCCCCATTCATCACCGTAGAAACTTCCACTGTCAGGATTCTGAAGGTCCGCTATAACTGTAAAATATGTTAGCATGCCACTCATTATGCTTTCAACAGACATGCCCCGTCAACACATACACTTGCCAACAACGGCCTTTCCCTTTCCTCGAGCGTCCAGCTCCTCGAAGCCGTCAACCATGGCGAGAATCTGTACTGCACTTACAGTAGAGAGGATATGCGCATCGTGGCCAGGGGCGGCTCCAAAGCCGCCATTGTCGTGCTGGCAAGACAGCACAAAGTCAATAGTCTCCTTGCGCGGAAGGGCTTCAGGATGGCTGAGAAAATGGAGTGCACACAGGCCCCAGTATGCGCCGTTCAGCCGCAAGTGCTCTGTCATCCAGTAGTCCAACTCGTCGGTTTTGGTATCCAAAGTGAGGACATATTTTACATGAGCGTCTGTGGCCAGCCCGGGGCTCTTGGTATCTGCAGTTGCTTGGGCCATGGTGATGTGCCGAGTGAGCAGTTCATGAAGCTAAAGCACCCATGCGAGTGTGGCTTCAGTTCAGTGACGCAGCTGGAAGCGTTGCTGACTAAGGTCCCGAACACCTATTGGGTCCCGCCTACCAAGAGCTAGGTATACGCGTATATAACAATGTGATGGATGCCTTGGTGACAGTAAATATTTGATAGAAAATAAGTATTGATTTAGTCTGCCTACCTACTTTGATCCCATATCGGCTCTAGCTTTATTTTCTCCTGTCCGTACCTAGGGGAAGTCTGGTTGAACGATACAGGCCCTCCCTGATAGGTGCATGTGGCTGTAAGCGAATCTTTATAGAACCATTCTGTATCACGGCAGCGCCTATCACCTAGAATGAGCCTGCAATCAATTGCCCAAGTTAGACAAGGCCATCGGCGATTACATGTCAATATCTACCACTAGGTAAAAAGAGTGGCTTAGTAGGCCTGCATTGATACATCCTATTTGCGGCTCTGCTTTCCGCATTGGGTCTTACCGCCAGGGGTACTTGTTCGCGGCTATGTGCTACGGAGAAGCTGAAAATTTGTCGTCATTACTTCAAGAGCAAACGCAAACTGTTTTGGTGATCCTAGACCAAGGCTCGCTTGGTAGTCATCGTGCGATTCTTTTGTGCCGAACTTCCGGGCAAAGCCCGAGTCATGTTTGTTCTCGAATTAGCAAACTTGGCAAATGTACATGCAGTAATAAAAAGATGTGCAAAATCCATGTAAGCTGCGTTATTGAAGTCCTGCTTCTTTTGCGAACATTAGTTGGTAACTGAAATCTGAAAAGTAAACACGACCGGCATCGATAGCGTATCGATGGTAGCTAGTGGTTCATGACATAGCTGCGAGAACATCGGTTTAATAGATCTTGAGTGCCTTGAGCTCAATAAAAGCACTGCTAACCTAAAGAATCGTAAGGTGTCAATACTTGGTGGAGCAAGATTAGGTACCTGGCATAGATGCTTCTCTTCGACTTTGACTACAATAAACTCCTGGTTCTAAATTGTCCTGGCGTTCCTTCAGCCCAACCATTGAGCCAGTACAGGCCATTGCGACAACAGCCGATATGGACCCTTTTTGGCCGTGTCCATGTATAGTCTCAGCGGCAGCTAGCGGCCGTTTGTAAGATTTTAGAGAGAATCCACTATGATGTGTGCAGCCAACAAACGCACGAACTATCGTTCAGGACTCCATTATAATACTACTAATCAGAAAAAACAATACAAATCCTTCATGAGCGCATAAGGGATTACTGAAGGTAAGCATACCATACAATGAGAAGAAAGCGCCAAAGTTGGAGATTATATATATATCTGTCTCAAATACGAATAGACATTTCACATTACAGAGCCCTGCACTCATCCCTCATTCGCTCTGCATATGTCTCCTTCGAGACTCTCGATAGTCGGATTTAAACCTATATATAGATGAACTACCTGATATCTCCTAAAACAACACGTTAGTGCTGACGAGGCTCAACTGATGGTAAACAAAAAAAGATGGCAAGACTGTTGTATGCCCAGGGGGCTACGACAGCTGAACTGTTGAGTAATACCTACTACTAGTGTACAGGTCTTTACAAGGGCCTCTGTATAAGTCACTCCACCGCCGAGTGCGTTTGAAAACCAACTCCATGGAAACGCCCTATTGCGTGTAAACAGTTGAGGATACTTCTTACTACCTGGTAGTTAATGAGTTTGTAGACATACTATCCATCGCGCCGTAAACAGTTCCCCAAGTCTTGTAGCGCTCACATGACACGTTATAATCTCTCAAGACAAGTCAAGTGTTCGGGTGGGCAGGTTGCTCCGGCGGCCTATCGCTCAAAGAGCCGCATGCCTTGATACCCCTGGTTGGGCTGAGTCGCTTAGCTGGCAGTGGGCTGTGGAGCAATACAAATAGGACTGGTTGTACGGAATAGGTATATCTAGCGCAGGGCATTTTTCGTTGCCTGTATTCCTTCTCTCATTGATTCTCGTCAGGCCTCAAGTTGTTGATGCTACGAGAGATATGATGGCTGGCCTCAGAAGAGCTCTTGCTCTGCTCGCCATTGGCGGTGTAGTGCAGGCATCGCCATGTAAGCCACCGCCCCAGTTGCTAATCAAGTCATTTTTTTAAGCCAATTCTCATTAACATTTCCCTCTGTACTATTATTAGTCCCAGTAAACGGAACCATTACTCAGCCTGCGACGTTGCCGACCACAGTACCATCTAGCACCACTGCCTCCGGAAACCTTACATGCGGCACTATCGAAGTCAGTGTTCTTCAAGCCGTAGCCGTTTCAGTGTATACGAGTCTCTCGACGGACCCGGCTTTACAATGTCAATGCATTGGGTCTGTAAACTCCTGGCTGCGGGCAACAGACGCTCCTACGCGGACACTTACTAGGACCATTGGAACTGGTGTCACTACTTTTACGGAAAGTCTCAGCAGTACTACAACGGTGATAACAACAGTTTTGGATTTGACTTCGGTCATCACAAATTCGGAGAACATTATCGAGCCAGATACCAACCTCTGGTATGGATCCGCGACATCTCCATGTGTAAGTGTGCCTAATACACGTTCTGCAATGCGTACCGAGGTTGTTCAAGATGCTAATACGTCATCTCTTTTCGCTTTCCAGTGTTATAGCTGCACAATACAGGCCTCCACTGTAGAAGTCTTCTACTTTACTGATGGTATGCCAAAACGCAATGTGCTCTCAAGACCGTGAACTCCCGAAACTGATACTGCGTTAGCTACCGAGACACCTGCTGTCACAGCTTTTTCATCCAATGGAGTTTTATAGTAAGTGAAAGCAGCGAATCTCGGTCCATGTCTCTCGAACATGGCTAATACGACCCCATTGTAGCGAGTCTCCATCCATCTACATTGGGTTTTCTTCCCTGTCAGCGTTCGACTACTGCGGCTTGGTCGGATCAGCTTATGCCAATACAACCATGGCCTTTGCCCCGACAGAATTATCAACTCTGCTCTTCACTCCAGTAGTTGGCACCTCACAAGTTGTGACTGTGGTAACCAGTGGTATTACCAGCCTCAGTACCCAGCCGGCGGCAACACTCTACTCTCCTGACGGGTCTGCTGTGCTCAACACCAAAGATCTAGAGAGAAACTGTTCGACAATATCGGGCTATTCATACATTCCCGGAAATCCCTCTAATGCTGGGTTTCACCTTACTTCACGTATGCTCAAACTTGTTAAAACTTTCTTTCCCTGTTTTTCTCTCTTGAAGACAAAGAACATGACTTGGCGACATCCTTGCTAACTTGCCTTTACTAAATAGCTGACCCTTGCCATCCCACGATTGTCATCCCGGACAGGGTCAGAAGTCTACAACCGGGCTGGGGCGCGTGTCTTAGTGATGCCATCGGAGGGTGAGTTTACATGAGAGTCTGCCTCTTATTACATATTCTCACAGTGTTTTGATATCTAGGTTTTATGATCCTCCCTCGGCACTAAACCCCGTCTCTGTGCTCGTCCCAACGTCTTCAACGCCTTCTCAAGCATCGACCACTCCCAGTCCACCTAGAAGTACGACTCCCGCTCTGCCTTCTTCCACTCCTCCTCCCTCTCCTCCCCAGACAAGCTCGCCGCCGCCGCCGCCGCCTCCTCCCAAATCATCTTCCACGCCTCTACCACCACCACCTCCTCCGCCGCCAAAATCTTCATCTTCTCCGCCTCCGCCTCCTCCCCCTCCTCAGACAACACCTTCGTCTTCGCCTCCTCCTCCTCCTCCTCCTCCTGCGCAGTCTTCTTCAGCGCTTCCTCCGCCACCACCACCTCCTAAATCTTCTTCATCCCCCCCTCCCCCTCCACCTTTTCAGTCTTCCTCAGCACCCCCTCCTCCTCCTCCTCCTCCTCCCCAATCAGCCTCGTCAGCTCCACCTCTATCTTCTCCACCGGTGGCACCTCCTGCTTCAGCGCCAGCTTCGTCTGCCCCCAACAACTCCCCGCCTTCGTTTCCGGCATCTGATACAAGTTCTGAAGGGACCAACCCTCCTCCTGCAACCACGGCCGGTCGCGGCAGCAATGGCCCTCAGCCCTCCAGTTTTCCAACTTCCAATCCCTCTTCTCCGGGTAGCAGCAACGAAAAACCGCCACCACCACCAACCGGAGACAATAACAACGCTGGCGGCGGCAGCTCAGAAACCAGCGGCAGCTCAGGGAACGGTAGCCCGTCTCAGACCCAAGGCCAAAACGGGGGCGCCACCAACTCATCACCAGCTCCGCAGCATACTGGAAATGAGGGCCAGCCTCCGTCATCCGTCATCATTGTCGGTTCAGCTACGTTTAGCGAGAATTCCAAGTCGGAGTTCGTATTTGGCTCTACGACTTTGACCCCCGGGGGAGCTCCCATCACTTTGGGTGGAACTACGTTGTCACTACCCACTCCTGGCTCTTCGGCCTCTGGAACTGGATCCGGAAGTGCAAGCGCAGAGAGCAGTGCTGCTGATGAGACTGGAAGCAATGCCACGGGAACCGGCTCAACGGCTGCTGGCGAGACCGCATCTAGCGAAACTGCTGGGTCCGGCTCGCAAGAAACCTCAGCTGCCAACTCTGGAAGCTCAGCCGGAGGAGGCGCTGGGTCAACCAACACAGCATCAACTGGGCTTCCGTCTACATCGACAACTACCGTGCCCAAGAGCGAAGCAGCACCTGGATTGTTTTCAGCTGCGATGAGAAACGTCAAAGTGGTTGCCGTTGTTATGTTTGTCGCATTTTACATGTAACGGCGGGATAACTTGTTATCAAAATGTAACGATGGGAATGAGATAAGAGTAATAAGTACCAAGATGAATATTAATCTATTTTGTTATGTACAGAAACTAAAATCTGTAATAATCGTATCTTTCATATTATAAGTCTCGTTCTTAGGTTTCGAGGTGTTGATGTCTGTCATATGTGTGATATTCCTACGGGCTGCCATTACTGCTTGGCGACTTGAGTCTCCACACCTTAATCATGACATGCTTGATGAATAAGCCTCTAACAACAGGTGGCATCCAGCACTGCCGCGTGTCATTGCATTGCTGCTGAAGGCACGGCTCAGGCCTTGGCGTCATTCATCAGTTTGGAGTGGGTGTAACACCGGATAATTGAATCGCATGGCCGCCACTGTAGCCCAATAGCGGCGGCCCTTTTGGTGGTCACATGGATTGCCATCTGCAGGCTAAGAAGCAAAATGATGCATCACTGCGGATATTCTGGCTGCCTCTGCAGTAAGCTTCCTCCTATACGTAGGTGCATGTACCTTTACAACTCGGTCGATTGCTATTGCGGTAGTATGGATTTGAAGGCAGTACTTCGTATGCAGTAATCAATCATGCTCCCTTTGCTCCTTTTCGATTTTGGATCCTTTCTCTTCTTTTTTTAGAAAAAAGGGGGATGCTTGCCGATCTACATAGTATATGCAATCTTCCAAACTGCTCCCCCGAGACCCGTGTCAAGCCTCGTGTTATCGGCCGGATTGGGATTCATGTGTGTCGTACAATGCCCTAGCGTCGCAGCGATGACGAACGACTGTCATGTACCAGGTACAAGTACTACTCCATGCCATCCTGCCAACACTAGCAGCTCGGAGGTGCTGATACTTTGCTCAATTTGACACGCGGGTCGCTTGCATCACGTTTTGCATGGAAGGTCCATACCTAAGCGCAGCGATCAGTGGCGCCGTCGTCCTCGGCTGGTATCAAACAGAGTATAAACTTCAGGTTGCCGCTGCACACTACCTAGGTCACTTGTAGTATAACGTACCTATACTACTAGTACTGGTAGTCGCTAATACTAGTGCGATTTATTGTCTTGAGCTGTGAGACACAAAAAGCGCTCAAAACAATACACGAATGCTGCGCAGGGTCAGGCTGACATGTTCCTGAGTCCATGTCTGACAGCCCTGCAAGGGAGATGCCCTCAGCAAGCACCGCCGTACTTTGTACAACGTGCTCTACAACGTGCTTAGAAGCGAGTGGGGAAGCCGCCGCCAAACGCAGCCAATCACGTGGGCGGCAACCCCTGAAAGAGCGGTTCTTTCCCGGGGCCACCGAGGCGTTTCAGATGCGATGGCGCGTGTGCTCGCAGCAGAGAAAGGGCAAGCTGCGACCACTAAACGCTAGGTGCCTGCCCCAGCGTGACTGGTGCTTTGGCGCAGCGGCCTTCTAAAAGCGGTAGTAGCTGTCTGGCAGCCACCCGGCTCCATTCTTGGTGGCTTCCTGCCAATGGCGCTTCTGTACCTGGCGCAGTTGCCAGTGCCTCCACTCTGTTTTAGCCAGGCCAGGCCAGGTACCACAAGAATCGACATACAAGTATGTGCCCCAGAAAGGGATTTGCTTAGGGCTTTCTTTTTTTTTTTCTTTTCTTTTCTTCTTTTTTTTTTTGTTATCGCAGTATTGTGAGTTCATACTGCTAGTAGTGACGGTATTGATTCAAATGAAGCACCACTTGGCAAAGCGATTGACGCTTTGTTAGTGTCTCAATATTTTGCAGATCGGACAATAAAGCAGAGGGGGGCATTTGTTGGCCCTGGCTGGCTTTGCGTTTCATAGATCCCTAGCCACACCCAGTATCTAGAGTAGAAAAGACAGCACCAACAGATGGGACCAACTAGTGCTGTCTCTGCACGTCTATTCCATCCTCCCCAGATGAAATTTAGCCTTGACCTAGGGAGCAGGTGGTATCATCTTAGTACCACTACCTTACTCCCGCCTGTCCTCTGCGCTTTAGCACGCATTTCTCGCCAGCGGCGACAGACAATGGAGAAAAGAAGGAGAGAGCGCAGGCCTGGGCAGTTGCTGGCATTATGCTGAATCTCCATCCATGGCTTGATACGTACCGATTTGCAGGTACCTCGCGAGCAGCGCACGCACCCCCATCAGACACTCGTATCCTTCGTTGCATGTTATATATCGTGTCTTGAGTGAGCCTTGCGCGCGCCTTGCCTGTCCTTTACACCCACACACACGCTCCCACCCGCTCTCACAGGCGCATTTCACGGCCACGAGTCCAGTCATTTATATGCTACGAGCACCGGGGCTCGACGACCATCGCAAGCACTTGTACTGGTCCGCACGCACGCACTTACAGTAGTCGATACAAAGTCGATACAAGCTCGCCCCTCTCCCTTCTCCACGGCCTGGGACGCCGGCTCGCCAAGCCGATGCTGGGAGCGACAAGCTGCAGTCCATCGTTCGTCTCGCCGACCCCCACCGGCCTGCCCCTTTGCCATCTCCATCGTGGGATTCCAGCACTTGCGGCACCGCTGAGGCACAGCATCGCCTGCAAGATCCGCCTCTCCTTTGCATTGCGTCTCCTGACGCCTCCTGCTCCTGCTCCTGCTCCCGCTGCTGCTCCCGCTGCTGCTGCTGCCTTGCTGCTGCGCTGTGTGCGCTCCGGAGTCTGACCGTCGCTCGTCGTCTCCTATCCAAGGGCCAAGGGCCCCAAGGCCAAAGCGCCAACCCACCCCTGGCAACAGGCTGAGCAAAGCAAAGCAACCTACCCGTAAACCTCCCAGGAGTACCTACTCAGGTGCCGCCGCCGCTGCACGCCTCCATCTCATCCAGGCCAGAGCGCTCGACACTCACTGCCGGGGTTGCGAAGATGGGACGCAAGCCCACGCCGCAGCCGCTGATACTGGCAGATGCCAGCGCTCTGGACGCCGACCCGCCGCAGCCCTCTGCCGAAGCAGCATCGCAAGCCGCCACGTCGCCAGTCGACTCGAAATCGCCCCGATCGCAGCGCATCTCCCCCTTCCCCATCAGCAAGTTTGCCGTCCACAGAAACCGGCCGCCGAGGACGGGCAGGTCGCCAACTCTGCAGCCACAGCCGCCACGCCCTGCCACCAGCACCGGACCGCCAGACGAGGCCAGCCGCAGCTACCACCAGCAGCAATTGCTGCAGCTGTGTCGCGCCCAAAACGCCCGCGATGATTCAGACCTGCTGCAGCCCTCGCCATCGACCGCTTCCACTCCAGATCCTCCCTCCGCCGGGCTGCCGCCCCAAGAACTGCGCCAAGCCATGACGGGTGGCGCCAAACACTCCAAGCCCAGCTTCTTTCAGTTTAACAAAGCCCCCAAAACTCCCAGTCAGCCTCATCACGCACACGCACACACCCATCAGCACACAGAGTCGCAGGGCCTGCCGTTGCCGAAAGCACCAGAGGGGGGTGAAAGGCTCGGTCACAAAGGTAAGGCTTGAAAGGGCGCAAAGCACCTGCAGGATCCTTCAATATTATAACAAACATCAGGCTGAGTGCGAGCGTGCGTCTGCCAACAATGGCAGTGCGCGCTAGCCCAGCACTTTTCCCCTTGCATTGCACCCTTTCACGGCACACTTAGCCATTCGCGGGCGCCTGTGTTTTAACTTGTACCTTATTTTGCAACTTCCAACAGGACAGAACAGACCAGTCAGAAACTTTATTGCTAACCTTTTGTCATCTGACTTTCCTAGACCCGATCAACGTCGAAAACAGCCACCAGAAATCCATCTCTTCCTACCCGTCACGCTCTGACCTTTCAGCTTCATCTTCTGGCGACGCCGAGGCACCGCCACCTCTGCCTTCTGCCAGGAAAAACAAGTCAAAGTCGTTTGCACTCCTTGGCCGCAGCAGATCTGTTCGCGACAAAGAAAACGGCCGCCATAAACCTCCCCCCGCGCAAGTACCACTGCCAACCGCGTCAACCAACCCCCCACCTCCTGATAATACCAACGCTTCTACTTCTACCAATTCTACAACCACCGCCGTTGCTCAAGCTGCGACTGTATCGCAAGACCGAGCGCCCAAAGACGACGGGATGAGTTCTCATGGTCGGGGTCGGCCTGAGGACCGAACGGCCGGTGCCGCCTCTTCTACTGTCGCCAGAGATGCTCCTCGGGAGAGGGAACAAAGAGCTCATTCATCGTCAATACGAGAGACTAGCGCATCAACGTTCCTCAGCGGACTGAGATACTCGTCGACCAGAGCTGCTGACATAATCAGCAAAGGCCTATTTGGAAAGAGTTCGCGAAGTGGCAGCACGACAGAAAAAGAGCCGGTGATAGACGATGAACATTACGTGTTGAAAGTGCTTAATCTACCCTTGGTCGAGCAGACACGAAAGACTCGAATTTCGAAGCGTTTGGAGGACTCGCGCGACAAGACAGAGTTTTGGATGCCAGCATTTCCTTGGAGGGCTATCGATTATCTGAACTATAAGGGGACCGAAGTTGAAGGCCTTTATCGCGTGCCTGGAAGCGGGCCTCAGATTAAGAAGTGGCAAAGAAAGTTTGATGAGCGTGCGTTTCCACCATATCTTGTTCTGTTGAGAAGTTGAACCTGGCTAACACCAACGTTTGCAGAGTGCGATGTCAATCTCTTTGAGCAAGACGACCTCTATGATATCAACATTATAGGCTCCATGCTCAAAGCTTGGATTCGAGAGCTACCCGATGAGCTCTTCCCCAAAGCGTCCCAGGAGAAGATTGCTCGCGAGTGTCAGGGCACCGACAAAGTCCCCCAGCTGCTCATCGACGAGCTCTCAAATCTTTCCCCATTCAACTACTACCTGCTCTTTGCCATTACATGCCATCTCAGCCTGCTTCTCGCTCACTCTGACAAGAATAAGATGGATTTCCGAAATCTATGCATCTGCTTCCAGCCGTGCATGAAAATTGACGCCTTTTGCTTCAAATTCCTGGTTTGCGATTGGAGAGAGTGCTGGAAGGGCTGCGCCAACGAGGCCAAGTTTATTGAGGAGGAGTACCGTATATTCCATCAACCTCCGCCACCTGGCCTTGCCGAAATGCAAAGTCGCTACGAAAGCGATGCTGGGCATGCAGAAAAACCAGCCTCGTCGCATAGCAACATGCCATCGACCCAAGAGACAGGGGAGCCGACAGAAGACATTGGTAAGCACCAACATCAGTCGTCAAAGTCCAACCACTCTCTTTCGTCTCGCCGATCATCCATCTCGACGGCCCTGAGCGACCACAGCGAGGAGGAGGAGGATACTGTTAGCGACATGTTTGGCTTCACGCATTCACAGGCCACTACTACTGGAGCTGGATCTAGAGAACTGCGGCCATTGTCTCCGATCCAGCCTCTATCACCTCTTGGTTTCTAAGAAGTGAGACGAGCGATAGAAAATCAACAAAATTACTGGAAAAAAAAAAAGAAACAAGGAAAAGAAGAAGAAAGAAGAAAAAAAAAAGTCACTCGCAATTCGAATCTCACATGCAAACATTTACTCCCTTCGGCAAAGATACCCAGCAGTTATCATCGGCGCCGACTTATGACATCACGCCGTTCATGACTTGTTTTTGTTGTTTCGTCTCTTTCAGAATTTAGCGCATCTCTTAACACTAGAACGTCTGACCTGTCATGGGACTGAGCGCTCTTCCCGCCCTGTCTCAGTCACTATGATGTGGATAGCAGATTACACATCTCGAGACGGGCTTCAGAGAGACTCAGTGGTCCTCCCACTGCTTTCTCTTGTTTCATATGTGCCATCTGCCTCTTTGCATTTATCGGTCTGGCTTTTCCTATGTTTTCCTATTTTTGTCTTTTCATCATCCTACAGCAATGTCGCGACGACACTATTTTCCCAAGTTTATTCTCTCGATTCTTAATTGCAGATAAATTGCATCATCGAAACGACTTCGAATTTCTTTTTAGCTATTCAAAAGACTCGACCGTGGAGTATCGTATAGGCCAACATTTCTCAGGCCCTTTCCCCTTTGTTAAAAGCCAGGCAAGATGGAGAACTGGAGGCTATATGGCTGTTTGTGAGCCTTTATTCCGCCTCTTTTTTTTTAGTTCTCATTCTTGCTAGTTTGATTTAAGAGGGAAGTATGGGCGTCAGTGTAAGAATAGAAGGGGTTAGTGGCTCTAAAAGCTGCTTTAAGTGAGGAGGGAGGTACAGAGTGGGCAGGATTTTTGTTTTCTTTTTCTTTATCCTTGGTAACCTTTGAACCATCAAGGCCTGGAGGGATCTGGCGTGCGTGAAAAAAAATTGTTGCTGCTATGCTAGCTTTGAGATTCTCTAGAACATCCATACAAAAATGTGAAAACTTGAGCAATCCTTCCTCCACTAAAGATAGATACGTGGTAACGATTAAGCCGGCATGTATCTCGGTTTCTTTTGAAGCAGGTTCCCTCTTAAATCCTTCCCAACACGCCTATAACGCCGTAGCCATGTCTGACTGACTTTTGATTATGAATAGACCCTCCAATGGTGGAGTAGCTGGAATTTCACGACTCTCGCCTCCCGTCTCCCTTAGGCCTTCTTGCCCATTTTGTCGGTAGCGTCCCGCTGGTTTTTCCTCATCTTCCTCTCATTGCGCTTGATCTTCTCCACGCGCTCTCTCCGCCCATCAGCCCGAATGCTGGTGCCCTCTTTCCGCGCAGCCTCCTTCTTGGGATCAACCTCGACCAGCCAGCTGTCCTCGCCCTTCTTGTTCAGGCCCTTGTATCCCCACTTGCGCTTCCACTCGCCCGACTCCTCGTCGTAGGCCAAGTTGCGGCGCTGCTCCCTCGTCTTGGCCTTGATGCCCTTCTTGGCGGCGAAGCGCTCCCACTTGGTCGGCGGCTTGGGCTGGGGCACGGGCTTCTCGCGGGGCAGGCGGGTGGCGGGCGCGGGCAGCGTGAGGAGGACGCCGTCGCTGGTGGACTGCAGCGGGCAGGTGGTGAGGAGCTGGTTGATGAGCGACTGGGCGCCGTCGCGGGCGAGTTCGGCGAGGGCCTGGTCGATGGAGGAGGCGTCGGGGAGGACGACGGGGTTGGGGTCCTGGGCGAGGAGGTTGCCGAGGTCGAAGGTGTAGGGTGTGGGCTTGTCGACGATGACGGGGAGTTTTGGCTTGGAGATGGGGAGCGCCATTGTGAAGGGTTTTATATTAGGTTTTTGTCGTTTCGAAAGAAAAGATTGCGAGAAATTGTTAGGAGGCGTTTTGGTTCGCCAATTGTTGATATGGTATAAGTTGAAGTCGGGGCGCAAAAGAAAAAGGGGATTTCGGATGCGATCTCTCCGTTCTCTGCAACTTTTCTTTGCGACGCCTTTTCTTAATTTTTTTGATCGATAAGAAAACGTTTGATTAAGCTAGCTTTTGTCTGCATCGGATCAGCGGCCTGGAATTTTCCGGCCGACGACATCCTTGCTGCACCTTGGCTTTAGCAGCAAACGTTTAAAAAGTACCCTGCATGTAGCTTTAGTGCAGTTTTGGTATTACACGGTACTTTATCGGTTCCTCCCACCAGCAAGGTGCAATTGGGATTTTGAGATTTTTGGCCCAGTAGAGCAACTTCGAGCCCTCCAAAAAAACGTGGGGGATTCATATCGCAAAAAAGCAACGCCGCCGCTGTTCGGCCTCTATGCGGCAGCAGGATCTATAAAGACCGACTTATTTACTTGATCATTTTCTACCATTTTTTTCTTCTATCTGTTGGTATAAATTTTCCATCCGTCATGGCTTCCGCACAAGCTCTGCGGACCCTCGCCAGGCCCGCGATCCCAGTGGCGCCTCGCATCCAGCCCGTCATGCGATCCCTCGCAGCAGCTTTTTCCACCACCAGCCTGCTGTCCGCGGGTCCTCCCGCCGTGAAAAGCCGCAAGGAACTGCCAAAGAAGACGAAGAAGACATACAAGAAGAAGCAGAACATTGTGCCCGTCAAGAAACCCGGGCCCGGCGAGCGCAAGGCCTTTCGAAAACGAATCCAGCTCAGCAACAACAGCGCCCTGCCCGTGAGCGGCATCGAGAGCCTGGAGGCGCAGACCATGGCCAGGGGCGAGAGCAGCGGCAAGATGTTTGCCATTCCGGACCAGGTGGTGGATCAATTGAGGGCGCTGGAGGCGTTCAAGACGACACAGACGTGGAATCTGTTCCGGAAACCCCACGTCTTGGTGCGCAAGGAGACGGTGGAACTGATGGGCAAGCTGGAGGCCTCGGTGGAGAAGAAGGAGGCTTTGAAGATTGTTTTGACGGGAAGCCGGCTTTCAGGGAAGAGCTTGACGCTGCTTCAGGCCCAGTCATATGCGCTGCTGAACGAATGGGTGGTTATTAACATTCCTGAAGGTATTTTCTTAGCCTTGACGAGATGACTTGGGTTCACGAGTGAGACTGAGAGAGAGAGAGAGAGAGAGAGAGAGAGAGAGAGAGAGAGAGAGAGAAAGCATGCTAACTCGTTTTCTTCGTATGATATTAGGCCAAGATCTTACAAACGGAAACACAGAGTTTTCCCCCATTCCCGACACAGAGCCCATGCAGTTTGCCCAGCCGGTATACTGCCTCAAGCTGCTCCAAAACATCTACAAGGCCAACAAGGCAGTTCTCGAAAAGACACCCCTCAAGAAGGACTGGTCTCGCCTGACGAATCTCAAAGAAGGCGCCACGCTGGCCGACCTGGCCCAGAGCGCCAAAGAAAGCGAATTCGCCTGGCCCACGCTGTCCGCCCTGTGGACGGAACTGACACAGCCCGGACAACCCCCCGTGCTGCTGACGCTCGACGGCCTCGCCCACATCAACAAGGTCAGCGAGTACCGCGACCCGTCCTTCAACATTGTCCACGCGCACGAGCTCGTCCTCGTGCGCTTGTTTGTCGACGCCCTCTCCGGCAAGACGAAGCTCCCCAACGGCGGCGCCGTCATCGCCGCCACCTCGCAGAACAACACCCACTTCCACCCGTCGCAGGAGCTCGTGCTCTCCCAGCTCGAGGCTGGCCAGGCCGGCCGCGAGGTCCCCAAGCCAAACGCCTACGAGCGAAAGTACGACGACCGGGTCTACGACGCGCTCAAGAACAGCACCGTCCTTCGCCTCGAGGGCGTTTCCAAGGACGAGGCGAGAGTGCTGATGGAGTACTGGGGCGCGAGCGGCATGCTGCGCAGCGCGCTTGATACGAGGGCTGTGGCGGAGAAGTGGGCTTTGGGAGGACATGGCATTGTGGGTGAGATGGAGAAGGCGTCGCTTATGACGATGAGGATGTAAAAATGGGGAATGAAGAAATGAACAGGAGGGAAAAGAGTAAAAAAAATGCGTTGTATGAACATGTATTATATATTATGCCACCGTAGAATCTCATTAGATGCCAATGAACATTGACGGCCCCCACGAGGAAAACTGTCACTAGTCATTTGATGGAACATTTGATCTGCAGTTCATGAGGTACTACATATTTTTTATTTCATTCAGTCTCTTACAAGATCTAGTCGCAGGTCTACCAAATGCATTTGATCTCTTCTCCAACATCCCTCGATTGAAGAAAAAAAGGGGGAAGTCTCCAAAACATAATATAACGCCAAACCAAATTCGCAAATAGTTCCAACAATGTCATCACTTCCCTTCAAGGACCATCCAACCTCTTCGCATTAGCTCTACTTTTTTTTAGGGTACTCTCCTACTCTTCCATGCTACCTTCTCTCTCGTCATCCGCGGTAACGAATACTAGTCTTGAGCCACCACCAGCAGTTTGCCAAACCTAGATGAAAGAAAATTAGTGTTAGACTGCGAATAAATAAAAACGAGACAAAGAGTGGACTGAAAGGCACTTACGTCCAATGTGGTATATTCCTCCAGGGCATTTAGCCACTGGTCCTCTGTGAAGCCCTTGGCAATGACTCGTTCCTTGACCTTCCTCATACTGAGTTCCACACCCAGTTCGTCATCCTCATCTGCATCATCCGGACGGCAAGCACCTGAATCGGCCAAAGCCTTGACAAGGTTGTAGATTCTGCTGCTAGCATTAAGACCACGCCGAGGGCCATTGGCCTCGGTGTTCAAGCTGTCCTTGCTGGCTTCAATCAATCGCAGTGCCTCATCAACATCATCTTGTGTGACTTGGTTGCTGAAGCGGAGACGAGCGAGAGCTTGGGCCAGACGGACCACACCAAGCAAAGTACGAGGGGTGGTATGTGTAAACTGCTTGCCCTTCTTCTCCGCTCGCTGTTGTTGGTCTCGTAGGCGAACGTATGTCTTGATCATGTACTCGGAGACGGACTCGGGGACGACTGGTCGATATGTTCGAGCCTGGGCGACATAGGATCGCACTTCGTGCGGGGAGAAGACGACGTTGTCGGTGCCAAGGTCCGGGTGTCGGCTGTTCATGTGTACGTATGTAACGTGCTTGGCAAGCTGCTCATCGGTGTCTCGGGTGGGGGTATCGAGGATCAGGAAGAGGATATCGAAACGAGACAGGAGCGCAGCTGGGAGGTTGATGTTTTCAACGGGAGAGATGCGAGGATTGTATCGGCCATAGACCGGGTTAGCGGCAGCAAGGATGGAGGTACGGGCGTTGAGGCTTGTGGAGATGCCGGCCTTGGAAATGGAAATTGTTTGCTGTTCCATGACTTCGTGAATGGCAGTACGATCATTCTCGTCCATCTTGTCGAACTCATCGATACAGCAGATACCATTATCAGCCAACACAAGAGCACCACCCTCCAAGACCATCTCGTCTGTGACTGGGTCTCGCATGACGGCAGCGGTAAGACCGACACCACTGCTTCCACGGCCTGAAGTGTAGACGCCGCGAGGAGCAACCTTGGAAATGTACTTGAGCAGCTGAGATTTGGCAACACCAGGGTCACCCATCAAGCAGATGTTGATGTCACCACGAATCTTCATACCGTCGCCCATTTCCTTGTTGACACCGCCAATGAGTAGAAGAAGAAGGGCCTTCTTGATGTCCAGGTGGCCGTAAATCTCGGGGGCAATGGATTTGGCGAGCAGCTCGTAAACCTGGCCCGACTGTCGGTATCGATCAATTCTTCGGACCAGCTGTGCATCGACAATCATCTCACTGTACGCCTTCTTGTGCTGGTGAATGTGGTGGGCCTCGAGGTACGTATCAGTCATGAGACCAGCCCTCATGGCCTTGAAGCCAGTATAAGGCGTCGGTAAGAAGATTCCAGAAATGTCAACGACATCACCAGGGTTGATTTTTCTGACAAGACTGCCAAAGCAGTGAACAGTAAGGGATCTGGGGATCTGTCCGATAGGAACCTGTTCAGCCAGCTCCTGAACCTTGATCTCCTGGAATGGTAGGAACTTGGAGGCTCTGGAGGAGGGGTGTAGCTGGCCCTTGGCCTGATTCTTCTTGCAGTCAGATGAGGGGCACATGGTCAGGGGTCCAAACTGCTTGTCAGTAATGGGCTGGAAGATTTCACAACCGCAGCGGTCACAAGTATATGCGCTGACTTGCACGATGGGCTTGACATCGGAAACGCGTGTGGCAATGGCTCGAATAGTGATGAGGTGGCCGAGGTGCTCGCCCCGAACGTGTCGGACGGCCAACGCCTTGGAGATATCCTCGCCTGTGCTTGTCCGAGGTCTGAAGACGAGAGTATACCGGCGGGTCAGCTCGGCCGGAAACTTGTCCTCGGCGGTGGTGGGATCTCGCTCCGCCAGTTGGTCGAGTTCCCGGTTTCTCGCTTGCCGTCGGGCCATTAACACGTCTAGGACATCGTCTTTGAAGCTGTTGAGTAGAGTTAGCTTGTTTCCTTCTCCCACCTCTGCATACGAGTATATCCCTACTTGACCTCTTCGCTAGGCTGCGGCATAATATTGTCTACCGCCCTGGCCATAATCTCGACGTAGTGCTTTGTGTTCATCTCGATTGATTCCACGAGCTTCATGGACTCATCCGTTTGCTCCTCCCACTAATTGCAGTCAGCATGTGGACAAACTCTCCAAGCAGCCAATCTCCATTCCGACTCACGGTAGCTAAATCGTCGAGATCAATCGCAAACTCGTCGATTTTGCGGTTGGCGAGCTGCTGCAGCATATCGTTGTACTTGTGCTGGGGTGTTTTCCTCTTGGCCCTTTCCTGCTGGCGGCGATCGCGCGTCTGGTCGTCCTCGTCCATGAAATCATAGTCGTCGCTGAGTTCATCTTCGTCGATTGTGATGTTGCCGAGGGCGGTGGTGAGAGTGTGCTCTGGCGAAGTCTTGAAGTCCTTGAGAAAAGATTCAAACGCCGCTGCATGAGATTTAGCCTTGCCATAGCTCAACGGTGCACCAGAGATTGCGCCTACACTGCTGCGACTCGTAGTTCACCGGCGCCTTGAACTCGCGGAGCGCCATTTTGCGTGATGGTGCCCAATTGCCAAACCTGGAAAGTAGAGGCTCCTGCGATGCGGGAGAGCGACAAGAAGAGGAGGATTTCGCAGGAGTAGAAAACAGATGCAATGCGATGCACAAATTGGTGGGCTGGGAAACCAACTTGCAGGGATGCGGTGCCTCGAGGCTGGTTAGTCAGGAGCTGGAGAATTTGGCCGGCAATGCAGCTAGCCTCGTGCTCTGGGGCAGCTCTGGAGAGAAAAAAGACGCGAGACGGACGCGCGACGCGTTTGGAGAGTCCAAAAGCCAATTAAGAGGTACGTACCCCGCGCCTCGCTGCGTTCCAGCTGGCAGCCACAGCAGCTCCAGCCACAGGTTTGCAGCCACAGGCTTACCTTGGTAACTCCAGCCGCACATGACTCTTGCCTCGGCTGTGTTGCCGGTTCCCCAGGAACGCGGAATTGCTTCCAGCTAGCAGCCGAATCTGTGCCCTTTTTGCGACAGCGCTCTTCATGGTCTTTCCCCTGACCTGAGCAGACGGAATTTCCCCAATTCCTCAACCATGGCGCCCAGAAGGAATGCGCAGTCGACTGCTGCCGAGCTGTCGCTTGTGCATCTGAAGAACTGTCTCGTCAACCTGCCCACATCGTTGGTCAACCTGCTGGTCAGCGTAAACACTGTAGGTCACTGATCCGAGTCTGAGAGAGCGCTGCCCTTCTCGTTGTCCAACATTTGGATCGTCAGTTCCAATTGGTGCTGTGCAGCTAACTGTCTTGTCTGCTTCGTAGCCGGCCCAAAATGTCATCGTCGAGCTCTCCTACCGGCCATCTCCCAGCGCGCAAGCTGCCGGAGCGCCCAAGGAGCAATCCGTGTTTGTTGGATGGACGGGAATGCCGAGCAAGAGGAAAGCAACTCAGATCGTCGGGAGAGATGGACTGGCCAACTCGCGGAGCTCAACACGGGATCAGGAGATCCAGTTAGTCGAGATTGACGCGACGTTTGCGAATACCCTTGGCCTGCCTGATGGCGAAAAGGTCATGGCCACCGTCCACGTCGACCCTCCGATGGCACACACCATCAACATCGAGCCCTTGACGCCCGAAGACTGGGAAATCATCGAACTGCACGCAACATTCCTCGAGCTTAATCTGCAGTCACAAATACGAGCGCTCCCCAACCCAGCCTATGTCCCTACCGGCGGCGCGCCCGTACCGCCTCACCCGTTGACCCTCCACTTGTCGCCGACTTCTACGGCTTCTATAAAGATTACGACTCTCGATCCTGCGCCTGCAGCTGATGTGGCCTTTGTGAAGCTGTCCCCCAATGCAGAAGTCATTGTCGCGCCGAAAACAAGAGCAAAAGCTACACAAAACGGTGGCGATCACCGAAGTGTCGCAAGCACATCCAAGTCCAAACGGAGTGGCGCCAGCACTATTCGACGACGAAGCGCCAGAGAGGAGAAGAAGCCTTCCTTGCTGCTCCGTGCCATGGATAGGGCCATGTGCAATGAGTGGTTCGACGAGGGCCTAGTAGAACCTGATCTCTGCGTATGGGTGGATCGGGACAATCTCTTGAACAACGACTTCAGGGGCGTCAATTACGTTGTGGTGGATGTCCTGAAGCCTGCAGGGCTACAAAAGCCACAGCCAGAGGACGGGTCTGGCGCGGTCACCAGCAATGCGTCATCCAAGATTGTTGCCAAGCTGAAGCCTTGGGATGACCCGCCCAATGGCCAAGCTGCAGCCTTGTCAGCTCCTTTATGCGCTGCGCTTGGGTGCACAGGTATTGTCGGAGGCATTGTCAAGATTCAAGCGGCCCCTCAGCCTCTCGCCCGCGGAGCAGTCACGCAAATCAAGGTCTTTCCCTTTGCAGCAGGCTCAAAAGTTGGCGAGGGCCTACGATTTGGAATCGAAACAAAGGCCGAGAAGGAAGAATCCACCAAGAGATTCAGGCATATATATTCGGGGTCAAAGGGGTCTGAAGGGCTCCTGCAGGGCCCCATCACTGACGGCATCGTTGTTGACTTGTATGACGGCCTGGAGGCTCCCCAGGGGTGGGAAGGGGGCGTGATCAAATTTGAATACAGTTCAGATGTTGCATCACAAGAACAGAACAAGAACGCGGCCCTATGGCTAGCCGGCGTCGATCCCAAAATCCCAATCGACTTCCAACAGCCTGTACCGCGACCCCCCTGGATTTCCGAGACGGACATATTCGAGCTGCAGCCGTCTCACGACGCATTGCTCGTCGGCATCGACTCGTTGCTTGCAAATCTGCAATCGCATCTTGCTCACATGTCTTCTGTTCTGCTGACGGGAACAAAGGGCGCTGGAAAGACGTCGGTGGCGAGATATCTCGCCATGCGACTTCGTGAAGAGACGCTGTTCTACACCATCTACTTTTCGTGTCGCAAACTGGTAACCGACGAGGCGAGAATATCCACCATCAAGGAAATGCTCAATCGGATATTTATGCTGGCTAGCTGGGGCGCAAGGCTAGGCGGCAAGGCGGTTGTCGTTCTTGATGACCTGGACAAGCTCAGTCCGGTGGAGACGGAACTCCAAGTGGGAAACGACAACGGACGAAGCCGTCAAGTCAGCGAAACAATCCGATCTGTAGTACGACAATATTGCACCAAAGATAGCGGTGTCGTGTTGCTGGCAACGGCCGAGGGCAAGGACACTCTCAACAGCGTTGTCGTCAGTGGTCACGTCGTGCGCGAGATTGTCGAACTAAAAGCTCCTGATAAAGATGGACGGCGAAAGATTATGGAGGCCATTGTTAAGCAAAACGCCGTAGCCCAGGACGATGCTGCGGCTCAGTCGAATGACGGCAGTCGGCCAACAACGGCCAATGGCACAGAGAATTCAGAAGAGGCCAGCGACTGGCTTCACGGGCACGATTCCGCCAACAGACGAGAAGAGGGCGCAGCGGACAAGACTGGTGGCTTCATACTAGACGGCAATCTGGATTTCCTCGATATTGCTGGTTTGACGGACGGCTATCTGCCAGGAGACTTGACAGTTTTCATATCCAGAGCAAGAAACGAAGCCATCATCCGATCCATCAGCGCGGCCCCTGATGATACCATTGGAGCGGTCCACCTCGGCCGTCAGGACTTTGACAAGGCTCTCAAGGGGTTTACTCCAGCTTCGCTACGCAACGTGTCTCTGCAAAGCTCAACCACGACTTTCAAGTCGATTGGAGGATTGATGGAGACGAGACAAGTTCTCCTCGAGACGCTCCAGTACCCTACGAAATACGCCCCCATCTTTTCTCAGTGCCCGCTACGACTTCGATCTGGCCTGCTTCTATATGGGTTTCCTGGCTGCGGCAAGACGCTCCTGGCCAGCGCCGTGGCGGGAGAGTGCGGCCTCAACTTCATCAGCGTCAAGGGACCCGAGATTCTGAACAAGTACATTGGTGCCTCTGAAAAGAGCGTGCGAGACCTCTTTGACCGAGCATCAGCTGCCAAGCCTTGTGTCTTGTTCTTTGACGAGTTTGATTCCATTGCACCCAAGCGTGGCCATGATTCCACCGGTGTAACGGATCGTGTGGTCAACCAGCTGCTCACACAGATGGACGGTGCCGAGGGCCTATCCGGAGTGTACGTCTTGGCGGCGACGTCGCGGCCTGACCTCATCGACCCGGCTTTACTGCGTCCCGGCCGTCTTGACAAGTCGTTGCTCTGCGGCATGCCGACGCTGGAAGACCGCGTGGACATAATCAAGGCCATGTTGCAAAAAGTCAGGCTGTCACCCGAGTTGACGGAATCGGACGAGGCATTGACGTCTATTGCGCAGCAGACGGAGGGATATTCCGGCGCTGATCTTCAAGCCCTGGTGTCCAACGCCCAGCTCGAAGCCATTCATGACGTGCTTGGAGACTTGAACAACAACCCAGCGTCAACAGGCCAGAAAGGAAAGGGCGGCAAGGGCGCTTCATCAGCCACAAGCTTTACGCAGTTCCGCTACGGAACCGATGAGGACGCCTCATCAGCCCCCCAGGCGGCCAAGAGCAGATCTGCCGCGCTGGTTGAAAACGCGGCCATCATGTCCAAGCTGGATCAGATCAAGCTCGCGCGACGAAAGGCCAAGGAGGCCCGCAAAGGCCCCGGCGCCAACAACGACGAGGCACAGGACAAGGAGTCGGCCGACCAGAGAGAGGTTGTCGTCGGACGGGCTCACCTCATCAAGGCGCTGGACAGCACGCGGGCGAGTATCGGCACGCAGGAGAAGGCACGGCTGCAGAAGATTTACCACGAGTTTGTGGTGGGCCGCAGTGGGCAGATGAAGGATGGGCAGGGGAGCATGGAGATTGGAGGCCGAAGCAGCCTGATGTGAATGGACCTTTAGAGTATAATATACAGGGAGGGGGTTACATGTATATAGATGGCATGTTATTTGAATTTCTTCTCGGTTTCCAAAAGCTGGCATTAGAAAGAATGATGACGGCATAGATGATAGTTTTATTGTAATCATCAGCATTGAAGGAGGGATAGCAATTTTTTTAATTTTTTTTTTTTTTGAATAGCAATCAAGTCATTATTCGTTTCTCGTATATCCATCCCATCCACCCCCTGGATAGCCCATCGCTCACGGATCATAAACATGATTCATATCCGCATCCCTCGCAACCCACTCCTGCACCAGCCTCAGTATCCTCTCGTGCACAACCTCGGGCGCAGCGACAATCCCCCAATTCGCCGCCAGCGTCTTGCCCGCGCCAAAGTCAATCTCCTTGCCGTCCAGGTCGGTGATCTTGCCGCCGCGCTCCGTGTACACCAGCTGCGAGCCGGCGTGGTCCCAGACATACGACCGTGACGGGCCGCCCCTTTTGCCCACGGGGATGCGGATCATGACGTGGCTGCCCTCGCCCTCGCCAATCATCATGGCGGCGTAGCGCGCGTGCGACGAGTAAATGTCGATTCCCGGAAAGGGCGTCGCGCCGAGCTGCCGCGCAACCTGTTCCACCAGGTCGAGGCGGTTCGACGTGCTGGCGGTGCTGTCGACGAGGCGCAGGTCCTCGTACTTGGCCGGCACCGTGAAGCGGCCCAGCATCTCGCCCATGCCCAGGCTGTAGTCCAGGGGCAGGCGGCGGTACTCGGCGCCCTCGCCGCGGATGGCCGACAGCATGACGCCGTGGCCCAGGCGGTCCGTGGCAATCTCGGACACGACGCCGCCGTACTCGAGGCTGAGGTTCGGGTAGCACACGACGCCCAGCACCTCGCGCCCGTCCTCGACCAGCGCCAGCGCCACGGCGTACTGCTGGCCGCGGAGGAAGGCCGCCGTGCCGTCCAGCGGATCCATGACCCAGAAGCGCCCCGTCGCCGCCGTGGCCCCCGCGCCCGCCGCGTCCAGCAGCGCCAGCATCTCGTCCTCGGACTCGAGCGCCGGCAGCGTCGCCTCCACGCCGTGCGCCGCCGCGCTGCGCCACTCGACGTCGCGGAAGTCCCGGGCCACGGCGCCGGCCAGCTTGAAGACGGTCGTGCGCAGCCGCGGGTTGCTGCGCAGCACCGCCGCGTCCTCCTCGCCCACGAAGCCGTCGTGCGGGAAGAAGCCGCGCAGGGCCGCCATGAGCAGCGCCTGCGCGCCAAAGTCGGCCAGCGTCACGGGCGAGGCGTCGTCCTTTGCGATGCCGGCCACGCGCGTCATGAAGCGCTTGGTGAGCACGGCGGCGCGGAGCACGGCCAGCTCGGCGATGTATCTGGTGAAGGGGAGGGAGTGGTCCATGGTGGGGATGATGTATATGGCGTGTGTTGTATAGGTATATACTCTGGTATATACGTAGAGACGGCTATATCGAGATGGCTTCTATACCGAGGTAAAATCGAACGAGTCGTGATACGTAACGCAACGCACAGCAGAAGCAGAAGCAGAGCCAAATCAAGTCAAAGGACAGGCCTGGACGGATCGAAACGAAGATGCAATAAAATCAAACACTTCGCTCTACGCAGAATGAGTGATTTAAATTTTGTAAAATACAACGTTCAGAATATATTCAGCCCCCTTGCCCAGAAGAGGAGAGGAAGAAGAAGAGGCAAAAAGAAGAAGAAGAGAGAGAAAAGGAAGAAGCAAAACGTAAGAATGTAAGAAAAAACGAGATAAGAAAAGGGCAACGGGATCGACAAATGCCACTTTTAGGCACAGAGTGGTATTAAAGTAGTGTAGTGTCACCACACCACCACTATCGTGGCTCACTCCATCCACTTATACGGAGCCACACCGAGATGGACCTCATAAATGCACGCCTCAGCGCCATTCATCAGCTAATTAATTTTTAATTTACTCCTGCATTCGTGCCTAATCACCTGCATGCAGCAAAAGATCAAGGTACGTCACATTGAAATGGAGCTCGGAAACCAAAAAGAACTTATTCACAGATACTTTATTCATCCATCTCTCTCTGCCTCGAGGCCCTTTTTGGCTGTGTGCCTTGGCTAGAGGTCCCAACTAAATGCCCTTATCCATCAAACTTGTTCCAACATACCACCCTCTAATTACCACCTGTAGCAAACAAGATAGAAAAAGAGGATCAAAAAAACAAAATAGGGGGCAGATTCCCCTTGGTAAAAAAAAGGGGGGCGCTGAGAAAATAGAAGAAAAGAAGAGAAAAAGAAGACATATAGCCGCTCATATTACACTCGTTAAAACCCCAGAATCTCCGCCTTCTCCCTATCCCTGTTGTCCGGAAATGTTTGGTACAGCATGTACTTGCATCTGACGAATGAGCAAAGCCCATCATCGTCGATAGTAATAAATAAAAACACAATTCGATCGAATATTGTAAGAAGAAAAAAAAAAGAACAAGGAAATAGAGAGGAGAAAAGAAGAAAGAACAAGATATATCCACTCATCACACACCAAATCAAACAATTCGGCCTTGTGAATATCAGCTCAGCGAGCAGCGGGCCCGAGACAGACATCGAGGTCTTCGGAGAGCCGGCCGGCCGGTAAAACAAAACTCCTCAACGCGTGTCGTCTTGCTTTCTCTTGTTTTTCCATGCAAATCCGGGTATGTTGTTGGAGCAAAAGTCTTCATGACTAAAACCATAATATGCCACCTATTATTACCAAACGCCAGACGATGCAAATAAATGTCAAGCTCTTTTTTTATAAACTTGTCGCACACAAATCTAGAGACCAACCGCAAGATTTTTTTTTTTTTTCATGTTTAGTTTTTTCGTTCTTTTTCGCCTTCTTCATCTTTGGTGGCAGTCGCTGCGTCTACCAATCAATGGGCAGCCTTTGTGCCATTAACGTTCGCAGCACTGGGTTTGGATCCCTCCGCCTGGCTGCGAGAGTGAAGCGTACGGTACATGGTGCTCAATCGGTCACCCGTGACCCTCTTGCTGGTATCGTCGACTGGCCAGAGAGCTGCCAAGAAGTCCCTGTCGCAGATTGTTAGATAGCCATTATGCTTAGTCTGTGTCTCTTGTTACTTACCAAAAGTTGTTCTTGAGGCGATCATCTGCCGCCGTTGCTGGCAGCTTATCATCAAGGAATGATCCTATTGCTACCAGTTCGACTTTGAATATGTTCGCGCGCTCCTTACTCGACTTGACATTGTCCTTTGTTGTTGAGAGAATTCTCTCAAAATTCTGTCTCACTGGCTTCAGGAGGAACCAAATCATCGCATCGTTATCCATGGCCCGCTGGTCTTTGTCATCGCCAATGCGCCGCAGCTCGTCCAGCCTTCGGAGTGCCTTTTCTCTACGCTCATCCACGGGCCGTGCCGTATGGTCACGGTCTCGGTCAGAGCGGTTGTGGTCACGTTCCCGGTCGTTATGGTGGTCTCGGTCACGTTCACGTTCACGATCACGGTCACGGTGATGGTCACGATCACGTTCCCTGTCCCGTTCACGGCGGTCATCGCGACGATCATCCCGGCGGTCATCCCGACGGTAGTCATCGCGCCGGTCATCCCGGCGATAATCATCACGACGATAGTCATCGCGTCGGTATCTATCATGACGGCGATCATCATCATCACGGGATCGTCGCTTCTCGATTCTATCGCGATGCTCGTCTCCAAGCTTACTTGGCCGACGTGGGTCATCAGAGCGGCGCTGCTTGGGACTGCGGCTGTCTTCGTGAGATGGGTACTTGCGTTTAAAGTCAGGTCTAGCCAGGGCGCCATCCTCTCCGGAATTGCGAGGTCGCTGTTCAGATGAGCCGTGATGATCCCTCTCGCGTTGCCGTTTGATGCCCGTGGTAGCAGCAGAAGAATTGCTGCTGCGATGGCCGTTAACCGACAGCAGCTTCTTATTGTTGCGGTGGTGATTCTCCACAGCCTTCTGTGCCAATCGATCATTCGAGTGTTTTGACTGCAACACAGAAAGGAGGTATTCTGATCGGCGTACCAGATGCACCGCGCCGGGGGCCTTGAGCTTGTCGTTGCCTTTGGACCTTTCCTCTTTTTTGCCTACTCGGTGCTCTTCCAAGAAAAGCTTCTCCTGCATTTCCAAGTCGGAATCATCGCGGATTTGGGCCCATGCGCCGAATCCGTGCTTGTCAATGCCAACAAGAAGCATGGCATCCTCTTTCGCTCCCCAGGGGCAGCTGTAGTTGGCGGCTTTGGTAGCGTCGGGCACTCTAAACATTTTCCAATCTGTATGGCCGCGAATCACTTGCCGAAGAAGCTGCAGCTGCTTGGGCCGCTCAATTGCCGTCTCGGCATTGACCTTCTTCAGCTCGCCAAAGTCAATCAAAACTGCCTTCTTGTCCTTCTTGGTCAACATCTTGCCAATCTTCTTCTCTTCCTCAAGAAGTTTGGCGCTGTTGTCATCTACAGCCTGCTGAGCAGCCTTGATGAAATCGTCGAGAACCGACTTGACAAAGTCGGGATCTCTCTCTTCAAGCTTGGCTTCTTGGATGATGTCGATACTGCGATGCTCCATAGAACCGAATCGGAAGTAGGCTTTGATCAGATTTCGCTGCTCTTTGTCATTCAGCGGGCGCTTGGGGTCTCTCAACAAGGCGCGCTGTTCTTCCTCTTCTTGCTGTTGCTCTCTCTGGCGTTTCTTGAGACGGTCGGCACGGTCCGTTTCTTTGTTGCGACTCTTTATCGTCGCCCTTCGAGGCGCGCTCTCGGCTGCAATCTTGGCAAGGTAATCCTCATGCTGCTTCTTTTCCTCATCCGCCTTGATCTCGGCGAGTTTATCTGCCGGGATGATCTGGTCCCAGTCGAGGTTGATGTCATCTACTTTGACATCGGTGATCTGCATAAAGTTGTCCCAGTCAATGCCACCGCTGCTGAGGTTAATCTTGTCATCAACCTTGGTCTTGGTGATTTCAGCATTTTCCAGAATAGAGTCAATATCGAGCTGCTCCAGTCGCTCTTGGTTACCACTCTGTTCAAACATTTTGGACGATCGCATCTTCAGGACCATCTGGATATCCTCAGATGTGGAAGGGCCATCAATCTTGAGACCCTTCTTGTTGAGCTCTTCCTTGAACTTGGCTTTGCCATCATCGGTAACGCCAGCTTGAATGGTCAGATACTCTAGGAGAAGCTTGTTGCGCGCACGCTCCAAGACTTCTTCCTCGACTGTCTCTTTGGACACGAGACGGTAGATATTGACTGGTCGCTTCTGTCCAATACGATGGGCTCGAGCCATGGCTTGCAAATCGGCTTGAGGGTTCCAATCCGAGTCGAAAATGACGACAGTATCTGCAGTCATCAAATTGATGCCGAGACCGCCAGCGCGAGTGGAAAGTAAGAAGCAGAAATCTTCGCTGTCCTCGGCATTGAAGTGGTTGATGGCCATGCGTCGCGGGCCTGCTGCAATGGTACCATCCAGTCGTTGGAACTTGTAGCCTCTAAGAGACAGGTAATCGCCTAGAATATCCAGCATCTTGACCATCTGGCTAAAGATCAAAACTCTGTGGCCGTCCTTTTTCAACTTGGACAAAAGTTGATCAAGCAACATCATTTTGCCACTGCTGGCAATCAATCCTTTGATCTGGTCCTCGCGGCGCACGCTGCCAGCCAAGACTCTCTCCTCAGCTCCGGGAAACATGTACGGATGGTTGCTGACCTTCTTCAGCTCCATCATGATGTTCAAGAGAGAGTTCTTGTGACCACTGGTGGCATCGCATAAGGCAGAGTAGTTTCTCGTGAGAATGTTCTTATAATAATCCAGCTGTACATCGGATAGCTCAACCCGGATAATCTTCTCCGTCTTGGGCGGCAGGTCAGATTCAACTGTTTCCTTTGTACGTCGCAGGATATAGGGGGCAATGGAGCGATGCAGCTCTTGTAGTTTCTCTTGAGCATCAACCGCGGAAAGCGAATCCAAGTCCTCGTCGATGCTGACTTTGCCGGGATTCAAAAAGTCAAGAAGAGCAGAAAGCTCGGCCAGGTTGTTTTGGATGGGCGTTCCAGTAATGAGAACTTTGCAAGGAACGCCGAAGCCGACTAGGCGCTGATATAGTTGAGACTCGCTATTCTTGAGACGGTGCGCCTCATCCACGGCCAGAACTTGCCACTTGATGGATTGGAGGAATTGCCAGTCTTGCAGAATAAATTCGTAAGAAGTAACCAAGACGTTAAACTTTGGCTTCTTCGGATTGCCACCCACGAGGAGCTCGTTCTCCCGGATGATATTTCGCGCATCCTCCGGTCCAAGATAAACCACGTAGTTGACGTCTGGCGACCAGTTGTTAAATGTATCGCACCAAGCAGGGATAACACTAAGCGGAGCAACGACGAGAGACGGCCCTTCTTGGCGTCTAGCATTGCGCAGCCAGCTGAGGAACGAGACTGTCTGGACCGTCTTACCCAGACCCATTTCATCAGCGAGAATAACGTTGTTGCTGCGAGTCCAGTTCAGGCACAAAAAGTTGAGTCCCTTGAGCTGAAACTCACGAAGCTCGCCGCCGACAATAAACTCGGGCTGTTTCTCCAGCTTGGTCATCTTGGATCGGGTGTCTGGGTTGGTCTCTTTTCGGTCAGACAGCCAGGATCTTGAGGATCGGTCAAGGAACTGGTCAATCTTGTCCTGGAACAAAGGACTGATTTCTGATACAGACTCCCAAGTGCACTCTTCGTAGGTGAGCCCCTTCCATTTGATATAATATTCGTCGCCCTCTTCTCCGTCTCGAACGGCAACGACACGCTCAACCTTTGTGTAATCTTCAAGTGCTTCCTCGTCTCGCTCGCGGTCAAGGAAGAACTGCTCTTTTGTCTCTGGCGGAACGTCATCTCCAAATCGGATGTCAAGCTCTTGATCAACAAATTTTCTAAAGTAGTTTTCAACCTTGCGAAAACCGCGGGTGTTGCGGAGAGCATCCAGAGACTCCCATGTGTCATGCAGGTGTGACTTTCCCTGCCACTTGATGAAGTATTCAAAGTCGCTGCGAGTCGAATCGTAGGCCAGCTCGTGTCCATCTCGGAGCCTGTGCTTGACCACTTTTTCAACGTAAGGCGAGTCATCGACGTAGTCGGCAACGTAGTAGGACGCAGCAAGCTCCGCGTCTTCTTCGTCTTCCTCCTCAAAATCGCTCTCTTCGTATGCGCCCTGTTGCACTTGCTGCGCCGCGCGTCGGCTTGACCATCGCTTCTCGGCAAGAGCCAAGGCGGGCTGCATCTCTCGCTGTAATCTAGCTTTCTTCAACTGACTCTTTGCGCGTGCTCCGCCATATGTATCGGAATCCGAGTCGGAATCGTTTGTGGAAGGTGGCAGTACGGGCGTCCCTCTTTTTGAGGCTGCGATCCGTACAGTCAGTTGACAGCTCTGGAAAGCATGCAGGGGGCTTAGATGGGCGTAAAGGCTTACATGTGAGGGAGCTTCCTACTCGACGACGCTTATTCTGCCGGCGACTTGTTGGCGCAACATCAGATTCTGATTCCGATTCGACCTAGACAAGTCAATATGTAATGCGACAAGATAATAGAGTAAGAGCATGTGACATACAATTTTACGCTGCTCTCGAGGTCGGGCCTATCGCAACAAGGTCAGTCGCCGCCAAATGAATGAATAGCATAGAACAGATGAGCGAAATGGGGTCATACACTTCTCCGTAGGCCATAAAGCTCTGGATTTGCCTTGATGTATTCGTCTTCAACAGGGGCTTTGCGCTTGGGTGCTCGAGCCGAGTCTGACGAGCTAGCTCGACCGGCTGTGGCGTCGTCCTCTTCATCTTCGTGATCGTCTTCGTCGTCATTGCCATGCTGGGAAGGCGAGGTGGCCTGCATATCAAAGTCGCCATCTTCCGACGCGTCAGCTACGCTTGACTCTTCGCTTTCTGACATGTGGCGGTCGACGACTGCGTGGTTCATAGCCTCATCGTTTGAGGCTTCGGGCTCGGAGGGAGAGGGCTGTTCGAGAGGACTGTTGGGGGCATCCAGGCCATCGGAGACGTCGCTTTCGTTTCCTTGTTGGTCGGCGCCGGCTGAGAAAGTCATGGAGTCGTCCGGCGACAAGTTCCCATCAGAGGGGTCCCCTTCGCTGGGAGAGGACATGATGATGATATCCGCGAAGCTGGACTTCTAAAGAACCGACAGCAGTTAGCACTAAAAATCCTTGATTACGCGTCTTCTTGAGTGAGCAGGCGGTGAGAGAACGGTCTGGCGACACTCAATCACCAGCTATAGATCCAATATCGGCTTGGAATCATGAAGCAAGGCGGTTTTATAGCATCCCACGTGTGTAAGTGCTCGCAAGGCTGAAGGGTATTGGCACAAGCAATTGCATGCTTGACCACCGCCCGGGGGGGTCTCTGGGGGCTCTGGATGCATCGGCATCGTCGGCAGCATCCGATTCCATCGAAATAAATCACATCTGCCTCCAATCCCGGCTCTAGAGAGTCGGTATATCGACGCGTTCGGGTCGTCTCATGGCTGGATCGGCGGGCAGACGCAAGGCAACAGGGTTGCAGGCAGTAACAGCGAGTGCAAAGGAGACGACAGCGACTCACCAGTCATCAATGAAAGATCCGCAGCACCAGAAAGAATGTCGACAGCCCCCAGGCTCGTTCGGAAGAGTCTGGCGATGTTCCGGTGGCGGATGGGCGACGAGGGTTGAGGTGTGAAGGCAACGGCCGGAGGTCACAAAAATGCGCTGGTGGAGAGAGGCAGGAAAGAATTGGAGGCAACGGGGCGGAGGGCCGAAGGCTCGGCCGGCGTGTTTGTACCCAAGTCTTACCCTGTTGGGGTGGGATGGCGCTCTGCTGACCGCTGAAGAGGCCGCTGCGGTCACGTGGTTCGCCTAAACGCTGTTCTGGTGCAAGTGAAGGTGAAGTGAAGGTGAAGTTCTGTTGCCTGAGATTGTTGCTTGAGAATGAAAAACGAGTGGACGAGAAGAGAACAATACAAGATAACAGTGAGTAGAATATTATGCTTTTGTGGAATAAATTGCCATCCACTACTTACGTTGCCTGGGTGTTCATCCTCAGTAGAACTATCGCGAGAGAATTTAACTTCAAACTGGAGTTATTGTCTCCTCTCTGAAGCTTTTTTTATGTGGAGTTGCGACATATTTGGGTGTTAAAACACGAGAAATGTTATCTGTTCAGCAGCCCAGTTCTATTGTCCAGCACTCAAGTTCTATTGTCCAGTACTGCAGTTATAGCATGGGCTATTGCTGCTGCTACTGCTATGGCAGTTGTATATTTTGATATGTGTACTATCTGCCATATCGAGCTACAGCTGGGGTGTTCGGCAATGAAACTGGTATTCTAGATAATAATTACCAAGAGGTAAAATAATGCAATTTGCGTGTCTGCAACACTGCTATACATCTTGACTTCGATCATAGGTGTCACTCGTTAAGTTTGTGGTTGTTGGAATCCCCATTCTCAAAGCCTATAAAATTAGCAACAGAATTGCAAGGTACAATCTACGATTCGACTTATAGAGTTGAGGCGAAAATGCGCTATTAAAGTGACTTCCATACATTCTATACAGGTAGCACTCCAGCTCAACCCCAGTTTGAAAGAAGGCATCAGCCGCATACAGTAAAGGTGGCTATGGTTTCCAGGTTCGTTGTGGTTACCTGGTAGCATTATCACACACTCTAAAAAAAAGGACTCTCGAGGAACCTGATACAATCAGAGATATAAACACACCTTCTTGATGACCACATGCACCCTTTCTCAGATCTTGAGGTCCTCATACCGTGAAGCTCTCAAGAGAAGTCTTCTTATTCCATGTCCCTACTATCCGTACCAGTTAGCTTATTCAAGAATGTAGTATTCTTCCCTCTCTAGTGCCCACTATAATATCAATTGATGTCAGCTAAAAATGCTACCCAACTATGCCAAGTTAGCGGCGCCAGCACAGCGAGGTCCCTCTGCCAGCTAAATTTGCAACGTCAGTACATGCTCCTAGCTCAGCGGCTTAACAGCCCTCTAGCTGCTCCAGTTGCCCTGCCCCGCCATTCTGGCGATTCACAGGGCGAGAAAAATTGATGACCACGCCTGGTCTGTCCTTTTCGCCGTGAAGAGCTAAAACTTGCCCACCCGTCCAATTCTAATTTTTCTTTTTGCTTTGCACCCCTCGCGATCCAGCTCATCAGCATCGCCTCGCTGCAGATCCTGTCCAGCAGCCGCAACCAGGTCGCCGCGTCGAATCTTACGCCATCGCTATCCTAGACGGACCGGTTGATCGCCAGCAGTCGTCGCCATGTCGGACAAGCTCACTCGGTACGTGTCGACGAGATGATGTAGACGGGCTGAACTATACAAGCTCGCGCATGATGCGTGGATATACCTGGTGGAATTCCTGCTAACATGCTGAATACAGTATCGCCATTGTCAACACTGACAAAGTTCGTCACCTCTCGCTATTGAATTTCTGCCACCCCGCCAATCACCCCGCCATCGATCGATTTTGCTGACCGCAGGCCCCTCCAAACAGTGTCGTCCTCGCAAGTGTCGCCAGGAGTGCAAAAAGTCCTGCCCTGTGGTTCGCAGTGGAAAGCTTTGCATTGAGGTCTCTCCCGAATCTCGCCTCGCCTTCATCTCCGAGTCGCTGTGTATTGGTTGTGGTATCTGCCCCAAGAAGTGCCCCTTCGACGCCATCACCATCATCAACCTGCCCACCAACCTCGAGAGCCAGGTCACCCACCGTTATGGCCCCAACAGCTTCAAGCTCCACCGTCTGCCTATGCCCCGACCTGGCCAGGTTCTCGGTCTTGTCGGAACCAACGGTATTGGTAAAAGTACCGCGCTGAAGATTCTCAGCGGAAAGCTTAAGCCCAACTTGGGTCGCCACGACAACCCTCCTGACTGGGAGGATGTGATTAAGCACTTCCGAGGCTCTGAGCTGCAGAGTGAGTGATTATTGTTCAATTCAAGAGGATGCCATTTTGACATAAACATAGACTACTTCACCAAGCTCCTTGAGGACGATCTCAAGGCTGTCGTCAAGCCCCAGTATGTCGATCAAATCCCCAAGGCTGTTCGTGGCCCGGAGAAGAGCGTTCGTCATCTTCTCGGGAGCCGCGCCACCCTTGGAAACACTGAGGAAGTGACCAGGATTCTGGAGCTGAACCACATCATGGACCGAGACATCACTCTGCTGTCTGGTGGTGAACTTCAGCGTTTTGCCATTGGCACGGTTTGCGTCCAGAAGGCCGACGTCTACATGTTTGACGAGCCATCCTCTTATCTCGATGTCAAGCAGCGTCTGAGTGCGGCCAAGATGATTCGTTCACTCGTCCGCGACGATGACTATGTCATCGTCGTCGAGCACGATTTGTCTACTCTCGACTATCTCTCCGATTATGTCTGCGTTCTCTACGGAAAGCCGGCCATCTATGGTGTCGTCACTATGCCTTACTCCGTCCGTGAAGGTATCAATATCTTTTTGGATGGCCACATTCCTACTGAAAACTTGCGATTCCGTGAGGAGTCTCTTACTTTCCGTCTTGCCGAGGCTACCGATGACTTCGCCATCGACAGATCGCGTGCCTTTGCCTACCCCAAGATTGAGAAGACTCTTGGCAACTTCAGACTTCGTGTCGATGCCGGAGAATTCACCGACTCTGAGATTATCGTCATGATGGGAGAGAACGGAACTGGCAAGACCACCTTCTGCCGTCTTCTCGCTGGTGCCATCAAGCCAGACAGCAAGAGCTCTGTCCCAGACATGAGAATCAGCATGAAGCCCCAGACCATTACTCCCAAGTTTGAGGGCACTGTTCGCCAGCTGTTCTTCAAGAAGATCAAGCAGGCCTTCCTGTCTCCTCAGTTCCAGACTGACGTCGTCAAGCCCCTGAAGCTCGATGACTTTATTGACCAGGAAGTCAAGAACCTGTCTGGTGGTGAATTGCAGCGTGTTGCCATTATTCTTGCTCTTGGTATGCCTGCGGATATTTACCTCCTTGACGAGCCCTCTGCCTACCTCGACTCTGAGCAGCGTATCATTGCTTCCCGAGTCATTAAGCGTTTCATCATGCACTCCAAGAAGACGGCTTTCGTCGTTGAGCACGATTTCACCATGGCCACATATCTTGCCGATCGCGTCATTGTCTTTGACGGCCAGCCCGGTATTGATGCCCACGCTAACACGCCCGAGTCGCTCCTCACCGGCTGCAACACTTTCTTGAGGAACCTGGATGTCACATTCCGTCGTGACCCAACCAACTACCGTCCCCGTATCAACAAGTACGGCTCACAGCTGGACCAGGAACAGAAGTTGGGCGGCAACTACGTAAGTAACATGACTCTTTGTTTCGTTCTGGCCCTTGACTATCAGATACTAACACCCCCTTTTTTTCCAGTTCTTCTTGGAGGAGAAGCCCGAGGAAAGTGCTTGAAAAGGGCAACCATGATGAGAACTACAGACCCGACTACCATGATGCATCTCCAGACGTTTGTAGTATCCATGTTTCTACTTCGTTCGTAAATGGCGGAGGTGGGCGTGATCATGAATCTGGGCTACGAACAGACGGCGTCAGCGAGGATGACGACCCAGATGAATAACAATGGCGACGGCAGTCTACCCCCTGTTGTCTGGTCCTGCGGAAATGTAGTAAAATTGAAAGCAGTGTTTTTGTGGTAACATTTTACCACATCAATGCTGCTGACCCGGAGCGCATCCGCAGATAGAGGGACAATGGATCAAGCGTGGTGACTGCCGTCAGTTTCCTACCTCGCGGGAAACTTTTTTTTATTTAAACAGTTATATGCCGATAGTTACAGAATAAAAGAAATTGATTTGGATCGTTGATGAAATTGAACCCGTTGCACCACAAACTTAAAATTCCATTCGAGATACATCAGCCTATTCTTAAATGGAGACAAGGTGAAGGGGTTGTATTTAAAATTTGATATTCCATGAATTATAACAGCTATATGGATCAATAAGATGAAGCTATTTTTGTTACGATGTACAGATTTGACCATCTGTGTGAAGCTACATGATGTTGTTACATATGGGAGTTGTGTAGAGTACATGGGCAAAGTCCGGGAATATGTGTGCAAAAAAAAAAAAAAAAAAAAAAGGATTACTAGCCAGATAGTGAAAGAATAGGAAAAAGAAGACGAAAATATGCTGTGAAAGTAGTGACCGGCTCGATTACTCTTCAATCTCGCCTTCTTCGCTGCCGCTTCGAACATCCTTGGCTGGCTCTGGTTCTGGGGTCCTGTTGCGGTGACGTCCATCACGAGGGGGGGTGCGCTCACGTGAACGATCTCTTCTGAGTCTCTGTAGGATGCGTGAGTAAAGGGGAATTGTCAAGGCATTGTGAGGGGTAAAGAATTCACGAACCTTTGAATCTCTGGAATCCCGACGGGCGTAGTCGTCTTCCTCTTCCTGACGACGACGCCGAGGGGCTGCTGGGCGTTCATCTCCATAGGGGAGTTCGTCATACGAACCTCGATCAGCACGACGGCGGTAGAGCCGTTCTCTCTCGTCTTCCCTGTCTCTGCGCTCGCGGTCATAGAACGCGTCGTCGTCGCGCCTAGAGCGAGGGGGACGGTCCAGGTCACGTTCTCGGTCACGTTCACGATCGCGCTCGCGGCGTGATGGCGGAGGCGATAGGCGACTACGCTCGGTGGTCAAAAGGTTCTCTGCCATAGTAGACTTGCGATGGTTTCGCTCGCGCTCGGCAATCGCCTTTCTCCTATCTGCCTCATATGCATCGGGTTCTGGGCTGCGGCTACGCCGGCCACCACGCCCGCCGCCGCGATGTGAACGGTCGCCGCGAGATCGATCCCTTTCCCGTCTTGAGACGTCTCTTTCGATGGAAGCTCGGTCGTGGCGTCGATAGGCACGATCGGTCTCATCTTTCTCGCGTAACCTACGGAGATGTTTCTCAAAGGCACTTCGCCGAAACTCTTCGGAGACGACGGCTTGGAACTCTTCTGATTTCAGTAGTCTAGGTCGTACCTTGTCATATGTATCGCTCAGTGCAACTGGCGGCTCTAGACGCTTAATGTACGCACGAAGATCATCAATAGCCCGGCGCTGTTGCCGGTCGGGCTGTCTTTCATCTTCGCGCTTCGAGGCACGCTTCTCGCGCAACTAGTTGAGGGGAAGAATGTTAGTATAGGGAAACAAAAAGGGGCATGTGAAAGTATGTAATCTTACGCGATCGAAAATTAATTTGAGAATGTCGCGGTCAATGTTAGCTGTACGGTGATCATCTTTCATGATGGATAGGAACTCCTCAAGATCACTTGTTGGGGTGAGATCAAACCGCTTATCCTATTGCGCGGCAGGTCAGCTCTCTGAAAGCAATACAAGAGATTAATGATTTTTTTGGGGAGACTTACTTCAAGGACATCAAGCACATCATTCTTGGGGCCACGGAGAGATCGCTCTTCTTCTTCTACCACATCCCAAAACAATTCTTGGGGAGTAGATCCGGCCTGGCCAGCCATGTTGAGGTAGCGTTCGTCATTTTCAATGAGAGGGACAATCTGGCTCCACTTGGTTCCGGCGTTGATCTTGCCATCTTCGCGGAGAGAATTGAGCAGAGACTTGAAAGCATCTCTCGCCGTGCGCTCCTGGCGAAATTTGCGGCTCTTCTCCTCTTGCTTGTTCTCAATAAAGGCCCGCTCCAAACCTTTCATATGGTTTTGGAAAGCTGTCAAGATGTCAAATTGACTAAGGGCTTGATACTTTTCGTTTTCTTGAAGAGTTGGAGTGGAAGAAATGATGTCCCTAGCATCCGCCCAGCGAGTGTATGCCTCGAGGTTGAGCTTGGGAAGCAATTCAATCAGGCCATCCATGGCACTCTTCTTCTGGCTAGCCTGTTGTTCCTTGTGAGCCTTCTTCAGTCCGATGATATACTCCTCAAAGAGCTGTCGGCGCTCGTCCTCATCGTCGGTGGACCGGAAAATGGTCTCGCCTTCGATCATGGGTCTAGCGGTTTTCCATCGAGTATAGTGGGTGATTTCAGGGTGCCGCTTCAGCATCGTTTCGAAGTCAGCACGCAACTTGGTCAGCCTCTCTTTGGCACGCTCTTTGTCTTGGAGGATCATGTCCTGGCAGTACTTCTCGAAAGCTTCTTTTCTCTCCTTTGGGTCCCTAATTGCACGAAACTGCGGATCTTTGGCAATGACGCGAATCGTTTGTTCCCAATTCCAATCTGACTGGATGCCGCTTCGTTTCAGCAGCTTGACGAATGCTGCCTCGGCTTCTTCTGGAGAGGAATATTCTGGGTCATTCGTGGCGGGGACGAAGGCTGGCTGCGCTTTGGAGTCGTTTCCATAGGATATTTGACGAGATTCGGGGTACGGTTCGCGAGTATCACGGGAATCGCGGGAGTCGCGGGAATCGCGAGAGTAGTCATGTCCTGTAGCTGGATAACCGCCACCTTGCGAATACGGAGTCTGGGGAACGGGATTGCTCGGCCCACCAGTCGAACCCAGAGCTTTCTTGAATGCTTCAGGCATCTCCCAAGAGCTCTGCTGCGTCTCGGTATTATACCAATACTTCCGCCCGCCCTCTGCGGTGTACTCTTTCCATGGCTGAGACTGGAGAGCGCGCTGTGAAACGAATCAAACACGTTAGATGAGGGCAAGAAAGCGACAAGATAAGCTACGCCAAAGAAACGTAGAGCAGAAGAGACTTGAAAGAAAAGATGACTCACCTCAGCCGAGCTCATCATCTCCTCTGGCTTGGTCCATTGCGTCACCTTGGTAACGTTATTGTAGTAATACGCTCGACCCTCGGGCGTCTTGTGTTCTTGCCAGGCCGCGGCCGGCTGCGGGAAGGGAGGCGCAAAGCCGCTCATTTTGCAAGTGCCAGATAGAGTGCTCTAAAGCCTTGTAGAGGATTCTCGCGATCGGGTCTTGGCTGGGAGTCAATATGCGCGAGCGATTGCGACGGCTGGGCTGGCGTCGAGGAAAGCCTGACTCTGGTTCGTTGCTAAATTTTGTAACGAAGCAGCAATTGCGCGAGACACGCACCTTTGCTGCGGTGCACGGACCAGCCTTGGAGATCATTATGCAACTAACCGGACTCTGCACAATCGGGGCTGCGCCTCAGCCCCTGTAATAGCTTATCAGGGGTTAGCTGCGGCGATGAGGGCTCTCTCCCCACGCTTGGAGCTTGAGTGAGCTTGAGCCGGATGGAGACATACTGGCGGGTATTTCATTACTGTTGTATGTTATAATTTATGAGAAGAGGAGGAACTCATTTTCACATTCTAAAGATATTTATAAACACGATTATTCTTCCACCTTTTGCTCTTCAATCAGCCATGTCAATTCGCATTACCGTGCCCAGTCCCCTCACAACTCCTGGGCTGCCGACACCCCTCCAGCTGTCCATCAACACCACCAATGCGGCAACTGAGCTTATCAACAACTCGTATCTTACATATCTCGTCCCATCCGAGACAAACATAAATTTGGAAAAGGCCTTTGAGGGCTTTGACGGCTCGAAGCCAATAAACGAACTCATAGAACAAAGAGACACGTTATTCTTCGGTAAGGAAAGGGCCATCTCACCGCTCATAATGCGAATATCAAAGGGTCACGGTCACTAACATGGAAGAGCAACTCGCATCAAGATGAGACTGTTGATGTCTTGCTTGTCCTCAAGACGCCATGGCTCCCGAGGAAAGAGCTCGACTACCATCTCAGCAGGATAAGCATATCTCTGGAAGCACAAGTGGCCAATAGCAGCCTGCCAGGCCGCGAGTCGCCCAGTGCTTCGGAGAGCATCTTCAGCGGGAGGCTGCAGGAGACAAAGAACCCCTTCATCGTCGAAGATGAAGACAAGGGCGCCGAAGAGGAGGAAGAGGAAGAGGAGCTGCCGCGCCATGTATATGCCATGTGGAAAATGCCCGTGCTTCTCCTGAGACCGCGGATGCGTCTTCACAGCCCCTCAGTCGTCTTCTCGGCATCCGCAAGCCTCGATCCGGATCTCTGGACCGAGCCAATCGCCCCCGACGTCGGCTATCTGACGAGCGGGATGCCGTCGGGCCTCAACCTCCTCGAGTCCTTTGGCAGCGACTCCGCTCTCAACGGCGTCAAGCCGCGCCTATCCGCGCTGCGAGTATCACGAGTAGCACCCGTCACTCGCCAGCAGGACTTCATGACGCGCCTCCGCACGCTGCCGCAGCTGAGCATCAAGATCTTCCCGGTCCTCCACACGAGGATACGCTTCTCCCGCCCGAGCACGATACCCTTAAGCGCAACCATCGTCGCCCTCCTGGAGATTGACTTCACCTCCCACTTCAACTGCGAGACTCTCCTGAACGACATCAAACTCTCGACCCCCAGCGGCATCGTCGAGAACCTCAACGACGCAGCCGGCCTCGGCCTCCCGCTCAGCTGCGTCTCGCACGACCACATCACGTTCCTCTATCACATCAAACCGAAACAGACCGAGGCCAACATCCCCAGAGACACCTCCGGAAACCTCGAAATCTCCATCTCAGCGGCCGTCCACGTCGTCCCCGGCGTCTGCACCCCAAGCCTCAGCATGAGCTGGACCACCGCCATCGACTTCTCCCTCCCCGTCAACCCCAGCTTCGGCACGGCCTCCGAGTCCGGCATCCAGCGCTCCCACCGGCCCACGCAGCTCTCCATCGGCAGCGTAGCCCAGGCCATTAACCATCTGAAATCCCCCTCCGCGATCCGCCCCGACGCTCTCCCCTCGCTGGAAGCGTCCACCAACCGCACCGAAGCCGTCGTCCCGGAACTCGGCATCACCATGTCCTTCACCGCGCCCCCCCACCCAGTCCATCCCGGCGACATCTTCTCCTGGACCGTCTATGTCGTCAACCGCACCTCATCCGAAAGAGGTTCAAACCGCCCCCCGCGCAAGCTCGCCCTCGTTGCGGTCCCCAAGCGGCGACGCAACGAAGTTCGGCCCATCCGCCCGCCGTCAAGCAGCGGTCGACGCCGCGGGGAGAAGGAAATCGCAGACGCGGTCCTCGACGAAAACGTGCTCCACGCACTGCAGAAGAACGCCGTGGTTGAGTCAACGGAGCTCATCTGCCTCAGCGCCGATACACGGGTTGGCCCCGTAGCACCGGGGGCGTGCCACGTTACAGAATTGCAGTTCTTGGCGTTACGAGAGGGTATTGTTGGTCTCGACGCTATTCGGGTCGTCGATCTGGGGTCACAGGAGCACGTCGACATTAGAGATTTACCAACCATGATAGTAGAACCAATAGCGGCGGCTGCTTGATTTTTTTTGTGTTTAGATAGCAGCATATATGTGTTGACATTTTTTAAACATCTACTCTATTTTCTGCCTCTAATAATAATATGCACAAAGGCGTTGATCCGCATTTGTATAAAATCATTGTTTTTCCATGCAACTGTACCTCAGATGAATCATCATACTTAAACGCCGTTGACCCCACGCTCAAGTATCCTTTATTTTTCCTCTTCAAACCAAAACAAGAATGAAAGAAACGGTAGTACCGCCCAGGATATCATAATAATAATACTATGCCTGTAATGCAACTTCGCTTGCCAAGATGTGTGAAAATCTGTCATCTCATAAATCATCAAAGTCGTCGTCCCACCCCAGTCTCTCAAAAATAGACACGCTCTTCTTCTTCGACTCCTGCGCCTTTCCTTCGGGAGTGGCGTATAAATCAATCCGCTGCTGTGTAGTTTTCTTGATTGGAGTCTCCATCACTCCAGAAGCCTCATGTCTACTTCTCGGAGGCTTACTTGCACTGTCTGTGATAACAAAATCTTCGGATGCCGTGTTCCTCTGTGCCACCGGGGAAGAAGGGGGATACGCCGACTGCTCATTTAACGGCCGACGTATGAAGCTAGGCTTAGCCGAGGTTTTGATCGGGGTATCGCCTATCGCATCCAGCACGGGAGAAGGGCTGCGATTGTAGAGTTCCCTCAGCACAGGTCGCTTGCCTGTGGAGGGAACAAACGGCCCCACGCTCGACGGAGGAATTATTTCATCAAAGCTCTCTGTGGCCTTCTGACTCTCTGCCTTGATAGGCATCACGTTCTTGAATCGGTTATTTGCTGGTGTAGCTTTGACCTGAACGGCTGAAGCTAGGGCGCTCCTTGAAGCTGCTTTTCTCGGTTCTGGCCAAACTGTTAGCATATCATCTACAAAAGATACAAGTTAAGGGTGGAGAAGCAATACTTTTAGCGGCAAGACTGGCAGACGTTCTACGCTCGTCTGCCTCAGCCATTGCTTTGCCCACAACCTCCCGATTGGGCTTCCTCAAAGCTGAAATAGCTTCCCTGAGCTCAGCATCTACCACCGCCTTTTTATTGGCTCTGGCATCAAACAAGTTGTTCATGCTGCTACTTCGGGACAAAGACTGGGCCCTCCTCTGCGAGTCAGTGGGGAGCAGCGACATTGGCCCAGATGGATCTAAGATCTCTCGCTTGATAGTCGGGAGAGTCGTCGAGGTGGCCGATCTCAAAAGAGCAATGGCGTTGCTGGGACCCCTTGAGATGCTTCTTCGATGTTGCTGCTCCGTGGAAAGGGCTCGCTGCAAGGTCCTCCGGGTGTTCAGAGGCTGGGGTCGTTTTGCTGCAGCACCTGGTCTCTGATCCCGCGTGCTGGAAGGCTTCTTCACGGACCTAGCCTTTGTGGGGGCTATGATCACAGGGCCACCAAGTTTACGGTTAATTGAGTCGCACAGGTCAGGCAGACGTGCAGAAAAGCTAAACGCATGTTAGTACCAGGTGGTTAACAAGAATTGGAAAGAAGGCTTACAAGGGCATAATGACATCAACGCAGAAGTCTCTGAGGGGTTCAGAGGACGCCTTCTTTTCCAGGCTGCCGTCCAGCGGTGTCTGTAGAGAAGGACTATCTTCAAGTAGTAGTTGCTCGTCGCTTGCAGTAGACTGCCAAATGGTGAGACGATCGGCATGGACATCCAGTAGAACCGGAAGATTGTGTTTATTTCTTTTCTTCGGAAGAGGCTGTAGAGCGTTTTCCAGCAGATCCTCTGAATCAGCAGCTCCAGGTAAAGTGGGCAAGCTGGCCTCGCCCATGTCGCCGGCAGCCTTTAGAGGTTCTAGGGCAAGGATCTCCATGACGACAATCATTTGCAGCTTTGTCTCTCTCGTCCGTAAGATAGAAACAAGAGACTTGATATGTGACGGAGTAATGGGAGCATCATCATTGGGTTCTGGCTTGTTTGCAGCCCACCATCGCATAACACTCTCATCTTCGAGCGGATACAGCCCACTTTTACCAAGCTTCATTCTCTTCGGTTTGCGTTTCCGTTTCCGGCCTTCATCAGAGCTCTCAATTCGATCCTTAAGCTTGGTGATGATTTCTGGTATTGACTCGCGGTATTTTTTGTCGATCTGAACTGTTGTAAGAATGAGGCTTTTTAAGAAGTCTATAAGGTCGTTCATATCCAGGTTTGATTCCAAGTCCAAGTGGAATGTTGACCGAGCTCTGGACAATGGTCCTTTGGCAAAGTACGCTAATGATCCCTGTGGCAGCATGAGCAAGAGTGGCAGCAAGAAACTTCGATACCGTATCAACGTAACGTACCATGGATTTGTACAGCGCATCGAAATACTGTGTTCTGATGCCTTCAAAGATACCGTCCGCTGACTGTTGCGGCTCCAATTCCCTTGCTATTGCCGCACCCTGGCTAGAAGCGGCGCCTTGATTTTTTCCCTCAGATGTTGGCAGCGGGACTTGCTCCAGACTCATATCCGGCGATGGTTGCTGTGCCACAAAGGTTTCGGGCTCCGGTGGCTGCTCTTCCTTTGTTACGTGCCCAACGGTCGACACAGACTGGGATCTCACACGTTTCCTCATTTGAGACTGGATGGCTTCGATTGCGGCCCTCTTCTTCTTTTGTTCGACATGCAGCTGAGGCGTCGTAAGTGCATCAACGCCATGATGCTCAGCTCGCTCGCTCTTCACCGGATAGAGTAGCTCATATCTAACAGCTGTGGCCTTTTGCGCCAAGCCTTCCAGATCTGCCCATGATCCCAACTTGCAAATCACATAGAGCCCGTTGGACTGTCGCTCGAGCGCATAAGTCGTGCCCCTCAATTCGTTCCGCGCAATGAGCACAACAGGCGCAGGGCCCAGCCGGCTTTCGAGATCAAGGACGTGGATGTACGATTCGTAAAACCGAGACTGGGGGAGGTCGCCATTCGAAGCTGCAAAGTCTATGTATGCCAACGGTAGGTCCCCCCGTGGGAGAAGCATCAACGGGTGTAAGACGCGGGGTGGGATATGTAGATTAGGTGGATGCGGCTAGCACAATCGACCACGATCAGCAGTGCTCTCTCATCAGCCATGGCCTATTCTCTCAAAGTAATACCTTTACCGCAATTGACGGCTTGAGCAGCTGCTCCATGGTGCCTTTGACCCTCGATCTCGGCACATCGCGGCCTGGCGAAGAAGCTCTCTGCGGGTGATTCAAGCTTGCCTCGGAAGTGGGCGTCAAGATGCCAGACCGCGCACGCGACGCGTCTTCGTAGACGTCGAGCAGCGTGGACGAGGACATGGAGACGAGCTGGCGATCAGTCACAGCTGGGCATTATTGAAGGAGGGAAAGCAAATCATATATAAGGGAACAACACACAAGGGCACGGATCGCAAAGGGAGCTTCAGCGACGATATGCATATTGAAGGGATGTTGTTCTGCCCTTTCTTTAATGGGAAGAGGTGGGGCCGTGCGAGGCGCGTTTGCGCGTGCTCTTTCGCTAAACGGAAGGCCAAGCTGCTGTGACGTCGTTGAGCTAAGCTGTTTGCTCTCTGTGCTTTTTTTTTTTTTTTTTTTTTTTTAAATCCCCCAGAATTAAGTACTTTGGTACAAGATGCAGCCCTGCTTCCGGCCCCATTAACCGTTCAGTGCCTTATTCTGTGAAATACACACTTTTATGCTTCTTCTTCTTGTTTCTCTCTTTAACTTTAAATGCGTTGGGCTGCATGACCCGCAATTCCCAGTTGTCACATGGAATCAGTTGATTTGACGAAGCTTGTTTCAGCTTTTTGTGCTCGTGGCGTACAACTTTATGGCAGTCCGTTCAGCTGGGACTGGAACCTCGTGGCAGTAAGCCGCTGATTGGCTGTGAGTTTCAATTGACTTTACGGCGGTTTAAAAGCCAGAACATCTTTTCTGCAGATGGCAGGATTGACTACTCCCAAGGTAGCATGGGATGAAAAGCTTCAGTTGAGGTGCCGACGAGCCGATTTTACCGTAACTCACTACTAGTACTAGTACTGCTATTTCAACTATTTCGTAAGTAGAGCTGAAGCCAAGACTGGTAGGACAAGTACAAGCAAGTACAGAGTACAATCATATACCGATACACATCGCGAAGGCGCGCCATACATGTCATTTTGGAACGTTGTGAGGTATATATGAGTAGACATGATATTTTCTTCTGCTACTATCCAACTACAATAGGCATTATCAAAATAGTATGCATAGTGAATCCATCACTGTTCCAATTGCTTTCAGCCCTCAGGGTATTCCAGCTCCAGTCCCGCGCAAAAGCGCCAAGCAGTGACACAAAGGTCTCTCTAATGGAGGTATAAACCATCCAGAGTCCAACCGCACCAGGGCCATGACAAAAGAAATCCAAAATAGAAAAAACATAAAGGCCTTTCCGTGGTGTTTAAATAATACAAATATGCGCTTCTCATACAAAATCCAATGCTCATATACATGCCGAATGCTAGGCAATCGTGACAAATGAAAATAAAGAACAAAAAACAACCAAAGAGCAAGGTTGCTTTTTTATAGTATACAGAATAGTTGAAGAAGCTTTCAAGTGAAAGCATCTGTGGTAGGTGTCGCCTGTCTACATCAAAGCATGTTCATTGATGAGTGGTATGGAACGGCGAAGTCTGAAGACGATTCGCCCGCGTTTGATGAGTAAGGCCAGTTATAATCCGAGCCGCTGGCATAGCCAGAAAAATAGCCAGGTCCCGTTTGGTAAGGAAACATGGGAGTTGTAGGCTGGCTAGAGGCACCCGTTGCCTGAATTGACGAATCAAGGTCGTCAGAAAAGCCAAAGTTGCCCATCGCATAGGAGGTGCCGTTGCCATTGAACACAAAGTTATCCAAAAAGGCTGGCGTCGCCGGTGGCGTGCGCAAAGTGGGATCCTGAACAAGAGCCGACGAAGAGTATTTGGTTGTTAAAGGGAATAGGCCGCCATTGATATTGTGTGACTCGGCGACGACGGGGGTATTAGGCGTTGGAGGTGCCGCTGACCCTGCGCCCATTGGCGATCGATTTCTTTGAAAAAAGGGGCTCCTTGGCGTGGCAGAAGAGGCAGATGACTTGCGGACTCTTCCGGTCCCTGACGTAGAGACAACTCGGCGCATTGAGCCAACCTGTTCAGAGCGTCTAGACGCATCGGGACCAAATCTCAAGGAGCCAGAGAAGCTTCGAGATCCATGGATTGCCAGCTGGGGGGTTTGGCGATTGCGGCGAGAGGCGATGTCGGTTGGGCAAGGAGACTTGAGTCGCCTATCTGGGCTGTTTGGAAGAGCAGTTTGGTCCAAGAATGCCGTTATCCGCTCAAGGTCCATTTCCTGGAGCTCATTGGTGTAATCGCCGGCAGCATCTTCAATGGAAAGCATGGTGTCCAGGGCCGACGCATTAGCGAAAGACATGTCTGAATCTAGCGCCGAGACATAATCATGCCCGTGCTTCAGAGGGGACACGGCCTCATCGGCGGCGTCATCTGTGGCGAAGAAATGCTGCTCGTCGTCTGCATGGTGGAACATGTGAGAAGAAGAGCCAATGTGCGGCGTTACGGGCGATGTAGCCTCGTAGGCATCAGCGGAGCTTTCGGATGTAGTTGAGAGCTGTGAAGGGGCGTCTGGGGACTGCTCTTTGGTTTGTGAAGTCTGCCGCGGCTCGGGAAAGGGGGCAGAAGAGGCGCCGAGGCTGCGTTTGCGGTCTGAACCTCCGAGGCCAGCTTCTGATGGATTGGTTCCTTCCTTCTCAGCTCGCTGCCTGGCTTCATACTCTCGAATGTTGTTTTCCTTCTTCTCGCGAGCTCTTCTGTTCTGGAACCAGTTCTAGTAGCCGGTTAGCAAACTGTTGTTCGATTCCAATGAGACAATTCAGGTTCAAATACATTGATGCGTGCATGGTCAACCCTCATGCTCTCAGCCAACGCCTTCTTGGTGCTGCTGTTTGGCTTGTGGTTTTTCTGAAACTCAGACTCGAGGAGATCCACCTCTTCTTTTGAAAGCCGTGGCTTTGATTCCGTCGTCCGAGTCATCTGCTGGTGGTGAACAAGGTGGGTATGCTGTGCCTGGTATGCCTTCATGGACTCGGCAAGCAAAGAGTAGTCTGGCAGCTGGGCATATTGTGTGAAGTCGTCGGTGGGAGCAACGGAATAGGTCCACGCTGGCCACTCTGATTGAGAAAGGTGAACCATGGTTGCTAGTAGGAGGCCGTAAGAGGCGAGAGAGTGTGTGATTGTAGACCTGACGGCCACTGGGAGTATAACCCAGCTAGAGGCTTATGTAGTCGGGCTAATAAGTATTCAGGCCGCCGACTAGCTTTTTCAAAGGGGGCAATCCAATGGGAGCGGCTGCTGAACTGGAATCGAAAAAACGATATTCCACGAGACAGGAGGTAACGACAAAAGGCGACTCCTTGATCTTAAATACTCCTTGGTGTTGAATCTCGTATCGGCAACGAAGGGGAGCGGAGGGGAATGGCGAAAGAGGGATTCTCGGGCTGAGCCGGTATCGATGACGATGCAAAGACGATGAGGAAGAGGAAAGAAGGAGAAGGGGCCTTTGAGACAAGGGATTAATATACTGAGGTCGTCTTCTTCAACGGCCTTGTCAAGGGGATCTGGCGTTGACGGCGAAAGCGGATAGAAACACTGAGGGACAAGATCCGGGACAGATTTGGAGGGGCGGAGGAAGATACAAGTACTCGCTAGAGAGGCCCTTGATATCAATGCATCTGGAAACTCGGTAGTGGTGTTGTCGACCCGCCGCGCATCGCTGTGGCGGTTTTTTGTCCCTCTGCAGCCAAGGCGGTACGAAGTACAGGCGCCGTACTCGGTACTGGTGAGGGCATCACCCTGGCCAAGGCGAGACCAGGGTGCGGGCAGGGATCAGGAGCACCGATACCCCTGGCCTCCAGGGCGGGCAAAAGGCGCTGCAGCATCAGCACACGCAGCGACGGGGGGTGCATCAGCTGCAGGCGCTGGGTGGGCCGCCGCTTGGCGCAGATTTTGGCGCCCAGAGCGCTCGCAGCAGGCCCAGGCTTTTGGGCCGGAGCAGAGGCTAGGGCCACCTGGAGGTGAAGCCACCCACAGCCCCGGCCCAGAACCACGCAGCCAGGCGCTCGAGCCCGAGCCCGGCTGCGCATGGCCTAGCGTCCAGAGTCCAGAGGGGCTGCAGGCAGTCAATCACTCAGCGCTTCCGAATGCCGCCAGGTTGCCCGTGGATGCAGGCTCGCAGCGGTGGCGCCAGCGTCCAGCGTGGGCGTTCGCCGCGATGGCAGCCTGCGAGTCGCTGTCGGTCTGTGCGCGCCAGGCCACTGTGGGCCTGGGGAAGGATGGATGATGGATTGATGCTAGCACAGGCAAAGGGGACGAGACGAGACGAGGCCCTGGGAAGACGCTGCCGTGGGCGTCAGTGTGGGCGTCGACGTGGACGTGGACACCGCAGCGACGTCCTTGGTCTTGGGTCGTGAGTCTTGAGCCTCGCGCTCCAGCAACGTGGAACCTGCGTTTGAGCCATGCTGTACAATGGAGTATGAGGGCAGGGAATACGAGTGCTATGCCCAGCTCGGATGGCCTGGGGGAGGCCCGGCGGGATAACGCGATGGCATCCCGCGTGTCATTCGCGGCAGCCAAGGAGCAGGACGAGAGAGACGAGAGAGACGATGAGGGCGGGGGCACGCCCATACCACACGCGGTCCGTCGTGATGACAATCTTACTCGGTGCAGATACCCTTCAAGACTAGGGAGCCAGGGAGGACACTTCCATTGTGGTATTGAGCAATTACTTGTACTACTTGTAGCACCAGTGCGCTCCAAGACAGTCGAGGAGACGAGATGCTGCCGCTGCCTTGTACTCTGTACAGGTACAAGCTCGAGCTCGGGGAACGCACCGACGCAGGTGCCCTCACGAGGTACCCGTATTCGCACCACGCTGGAGCATGGAGCATGGAGCATGTCGCCATCTTGAGAAGCCTCATCGCGGCGCTTCCCAATACTGTAAGAATCTCACGACCCAGGCGGAGAGGCGTAACTTTGGTCAAACATGCGACGGTGTGCCCACACTGCGATTCTGGGCCTTTGCAAACCTACCCAAACGCTCGAGCCAAAATGGTGTGAGATCCACCACCAGCACCGCCAAGGTCGCTGCAGCTCGCGTGCTGTGGTGCAGCGACTTGCAGCGTCTTGCAGCAGCCCTTGTCCTTGTCCATCCCGGCCGTCGGTAGGTCCCAGGGCGTCCGGCGCCGCCATTGGACACCGCAGCCTCTGCCCCTCTGTCGACGCAAATGGCCATGGTTGGGATGAACCACCCACCAGGTCGGGGAGCTGCCGCTAGGCCCAGCACAGCGCGGTAAGGAGAGAGAGACGGGTTGCTGTGCTGCTCTGCGCGCTGTTCTGTTCTGCCCTCAGTGCCGCTCTCACTGCTGCTCTCAGTGCTGCTCTCACTGCCCTGTAGCGGGCACTTGTACGGATCCAGGTGGCAACCCTCCTTGGCTCTGCGTCTGCGGCACCTGCGTCTGCGTCTGATCGAGCGAGCAACATGAACACAGCTCCTTCCTGCTGCGGCTGCCTCCTGCCTATCGGGTTAGCTTTGCTGCATTGCTCCTCCCAACTCTGTACCTGCTGCACGACTTTGCTCCCCAGCAGCTGCGATAAAGGGAAAGGGCTTGGGAACATGGAAGCTTTAACAAATCCCTCTTTGGGCGTAACTTGGTCGGCGCGTCATCATCCGCAGCCATGCTGCTTACTCGCCGTTACCTAATCTACCTACATCTCTCGCCTGTCGTGTCTTTATCGCTGGGTACCTGGCACCATCATCGTGCAAAAGTGTCGCCATCCGTGGTTCACGAGAAGCTTCATTTCACCTAATTTGCCCGCTAAGCTCTCCGGAGCTTTCCATCTTCTCTCGCCATTCTAGCCCACCGCACCCGGCCCGGACAGACCCGGTCGAGCAGCTCGACTACTACATACCTAGACCTAGATTGCGCTCAACCTCTTCCTCTCTGCACACCACCTCGCCGTCTGCCTCGGAGGCTGCGCAAATGATGCCTGCTCCCTCTAGCTCAGGCAGCCTGTGCTGCTAAACCTCTTCCGAGACAAGCCCGCCACGCTCCAAAGAGACGGCAGCGACTGGACGTGATTCCCGACTTTTCCTGCCATGGCGCTACACCCCCTGCTGCCCTGATTTAGCCATGATGCACAGAGCCTAAAAGAGTTTCTGGGTGGGTTTTTCGCAGTCGAGTACCTACCGTACTGTATACTGTACATGCCCTGCTCTGACGCCGTCTTGGGAGGGGAAACCAAGAGGCGATTCGATTGGCATCGTGGTTGTATGCGAGGGCGTCAAGCTTGCAGAGCCGAGGCACTTGCCTGCTGTAAGAGCATTCTATTTTCGTTCCAAGACACTTTTCCCTTGCTGATGGTGCGAAGATGACGCTATTCATTGGGGATCAAATTGGATGCCACCACTGTCACACAGCATTCAGCCTCGTTTTCAAAGTACATCTACGCTACAGTACAAGTCGTATGTAGCCTTTGGGGAGCTCTCGCGATGCATAAACGCACGGGATGTTCACCTCGTGGCACATCCACGCTGCCTACCGATCCTATCTCGGCCACACGCAGTTCCCCTCTCTGGCAGCCAAAATCTTTGCCCAAAGCAGTTGGATTGACCTCCCGGAGCGACCCCACCGTTCCGAGACCCGTTCTTTCGCGGAGCTTTGCCTGTTTCGGGACCATCACACACCTCATCATCAGCCTGTCAATCCTCGATCCTTGCAAGCTCTACCCCAGGCAAGCAAGCCTAAACCCGGATTGAGCACCATGGTCTTTGCCAGCCCATTTCGCTTATTCGTCACGCTGATTTGCCGTGCTGACTCGCTGTCAGGTCCAGCATCACAGCCGCAGTCACCCATCGTCGCCAGGAAATAAGCTACATTGACTTGTCTGGATCAGATTCGGAGACCCAAAGTGCTTACTTGTAGTTCGCTACAAGTTATCCTACCTCCTTTGAATGGCAGCTTGTAATTAGTAGCAGATATCAAGTCAAGCCAACACTGATCTAAATGGTGGGGAAGACGCCATGGAGTTTAGCGCTCCGGTATACGAAGTTTTCCTTCGGTCCCGAGCAGACCACGACAGGCCAACACGACAAAAACACAGGGCGGCCGTGGAAAAACCATTCATCCTTTTACCTGGTCGCAGGCTATAGGACAATTCTCTGCTGTCTCAGAAGATGATTGCAACTTCACGATACAGCATTGCCATGCCCGTAGTGCGACCCTCAAACGCATTTACATGATATTTCCCGGATGTCAAATTCCCAAGCGACTTTGTCTTATGCGTTGTTACAAAGTGACGTCCGGTAGCAGCAGCTCTGCCATACTCGTTATTTGTCATTGATATACCTACCGAATTGCTCGCATGGGTTGTACGATCAACAAGGTACCACAAGCAATACCGCTACACTGGCACGACGCAGCACAGAATAACTCCGCATTGTCATCGTGTCTCATTGGCGGTGTGTCCAAAGCTGACTAACTTCAAAAAGCAACGCCTCTCTTTTTAAATGAAAAAATGGCGTCTTCAGCTGAGGAAAAAAAGCCATCCGCCTACCACGGAACGCCACCTCTAGCTATATCTGAATTAGCGGTCGAGGGTCCTGGATGGGATAGTGCAACCAGGCTCTGCTAAAGCTCAGGAGATGATGCGCATCACAGTCGCTTACAGAACGTATCACGGCGCCAAGACAAACAACAAATCTAGCCACCAACGCAGTCCAGCTTCTCAAGCCAACATGTCTGCCAGTACGAAAAAGAATACCTGAGGGAGTAAGCAAAGCAAAATATCACTTCCTTCTACTAGGTACTACCAGCGCTACTTCGCAACATATGTAAAGCGGAGTACTTCACACAGCGCTCGCCTTCACTGGAGCTCGAGCCGACAGGTAAAATCTTCTAAAGTGTATACACAATCTGGGCAATTACATTGGCACGTTGTCTTTCAGCGTACATATTGCTCAACAAGCTGCATCACCCAAGAGACACTGCTATTGCGAAACCCGCCAGTTACAGTCTCGGAGAAGCAGTCACACAGGCCGCATATAGTTTTCACCCTAGTTGGCCCTGCTAGAGATACGAAGAGCAAGGAGCATCATGTATTGGCTACCTAACATGCGGTTGGTTCCAAGCGTGGTCCATTAATAAATGAGACAAGATAAGAATAACTATCAGCCTTACATCTGTCCCGAGAGATTGGAAGTGATGGGGGCGCTAATCGCCACTTCTACCCAGCCGCTGTTACACTGAGGGCCGAATATGGATAGGCGAAAAGGCTTAAAAACGACAAATCTGGCCCGGTCGCGGCGGCAGTGCCGAACAGAACGGTCTCGACCCAGAGATCTGGATGTGCACTCTGCTACAGTCGAGAAGGGTAACTGGAGTGCCGATCCCCAAGGCAGGTTTCGCTTTGGGCGCAAGCAACCCCAGATGGCACAGCCAGCACCCAGCGATCAATCTACCTACACTCCCCTAGGTTCCTATGTACTCTCAGTGAGACATTGCGCAGTACATGCTCCATGGCGATCCAAAAAGAAGAGGCCTCGCCCTTGTTTTTACATCGCCTTGTTTGCCGTCTTCGGCATGGTTAATTTGCTGCCGCAGCAGCTGGAATCTGTTCAAAGGATTCCGTATGCAGATAGCACCCCGTGGCTATTAGCGTCTGCCGTCCATCAGGCCATTTTTTTTTCAGCCGCTGCAGTCTAGACGCTGCAAGCACAGCTCGATGACGGCCTCTTGGCGATCACTGACGTCTAACAAACTGCCAATGAGCCATGACTGTCAAAGAAAAAGACGATATACCGATAATAACTGTGGGACGAAATAAGAGTTTTAAATTCAATTGGCAAAAGGCTAGAACAAATGGAAAACATCTTTCTCAACTCGTTAAGAAGGCTTGGTTGCAACAGGTGGCACCATACAAAGCTAGGGCCAGCCATTCGACTGCTTCTTAGTGAGATGAGCCCCCAACAACCCGAGATTCATCCCCCACATTCCGTATTGGATGGAAAAGAAATTTGACAGCTGAGTCGAGGCCGGCAGGGCATGTGTCACGGCCTGAGCGTGAGCTGCGGCTGAGCCCCGTCTGCATCGAACTGCTCTCTGGCGACGCCAGGCCCAGCCCTTTGGATCGCTATCCTGCTTCCAAGGCTAGCCGCAGCCTTAGCTACCTCAGTAGTATGCTACAGGTTCGGAGCAATAACAACGTACTAACTACCTAGTAACTGACAGGCCAAGGGCAGAGTCAGGGACAAGCATATGAATGCGAAGCTGTACGCCCGTAGGGCAATGGATTACCACGCTAGGATGGCACCTACGAAAAGGGGACAGAGATGAAAACCGACCGATCATACATACTGGTACGTCACATACAAATCTCAGCACTGCAGGACTCTGTCCTGGTCGCTGGTCTATGACTCCAAGCCGGGTCGCAGATCACGTATCGCTGTGATCATGCTGCCAGATCGGGCAGGATAAACATTGGGAGGCAGGCTGATCCTCTACCAATGGCGTCCAACTCTTGGGTGTGGGAGACGACCACACCAGAAAATCTCGCCAAGCCTGAATTGGTGTCTTTCTGCGTCACTTAGGCGAGGCGCGACACACCCCCCAACTCTCCTTTTCGAGCCGTCGAGATATGCTGAAGCCAAAGCCACACGCGCACACCCTCCTGCCCCGCGCGCATCAGTTCAGCCATAGACGGAGCACTAGCAGCGGCGTCGATCCATTGGCCAACTGTACGGCAAGAAAATACATTGTACAGGGGATGTGGTAGCCACAATCCGCGGAGCGTAGACGGCGCATGATGCTACTGTAGACCGTTCGGGTCTTAACCAAGGGTTCGGAAGCTTAGCCCCGCCAAATACATCGGTCTCGATCGCCTCTCTTTGGCAGAGCAAAGTCAGGAGAGAAAACAAGCTTCAAGTGATCTACTCGCTAGGCTAAAAAAAAAATTACATCTTACCAGCTGAATACCCTAGCTCGTCGGCCTAGCCCATCTTTGCCGCAGAGATCTAGACTACAGCAATACCTGGTACAAGCTGTGCGACCTGGTTTAATCTATCCAGCGAGAAGCCAATGCTGACTTTGCTTTTTTCTTCTTTTAGTGCCGTGATACAAACCGCTGCTTTTACAAATTGATTTTCTCCTTCTCCAATTTGATTTATTTTGGGCATACAATAATACTGGGATTGAATCCAAGGTATTTTTGCCCTCTCCATTTTTTTTTTTTTTACCGAAAAAAAATCCCCCTTTTAAAAAAGCCAGCCGTTACACTAATATGAGACAGTGGTGTGTTTGAAAGGATGTAGCTAAAATACGCAGAGAAAGACTACAGCAACGCTGTGGGTCAACCTGATGTTGGCTGCGGGCTTGTCTAAACATTGCTGAGCTGCGAGATGCCTAGTAGTATCAAGGAGAAGACGAGAATCCACTGAGTCTCTTTTGGCTCAAAGTGATGGGCAAACCAATCGATCAGCCTCAGTCTCATTGGAGCCTTGAAAACAAGCAAGAGATACGATTTTACTCCGCTTGCAGCCCAAAGCAAACGTGACTTCGGTCATGTGAGCAGCAATAGGAACCGCGGGCCGAACTCGGTTTGCCCTCAAGTCATTTCGCATCTGCATGAACTGACCGGAGCAAGCAGATGTAGGTATCTAGATTGGATGGGGCAATGTACGAGTAAGTATCATGGGCTAGGCTCTTCCAACTAGTACTAATAAAAGTGGCGTGAGAATGCAGATGGCTCCAAACGGGCACCACAACGCGGGTACCATACTGTAGATACTGCGTTGGATCTTTGGCGAGAACGCAAGAGAACGCGGATCACCTTTACCAAGATACGAGCAGCGATCTAGGTATCATCTCGCTCTCTCCCGCGTACTGGGATGTGCACTATACCAACCGATTCACACGGCGGACGGGTGGGAGAGAAATGGCGGGGTCATGGCCGCGGACCAGCGTCTCATCAGTTCGTGCGGGTTTTCGGACTTGGACCCTGGCCATTTGGATATAGTATTAACGTGCTGGCAAAAGTTTGGGCTTCCACCAAAAGGCTGGTGCAGACAGAAATGCTTGGATAGAATCACTATGAACTATACAGCATGGACGACCTTCCTCTTGCTGCAAGCAACCGCTACGCTGAGTCTCCCACCTGCAGTGCGGCTGGTCCGAGACCTCAACGAATCGGGCCAAGGGGTGGGGTGTGTCGCTGCGAGGCCTCAGGGGCGTGGAGGTTGGAAAACCAAACATTGAACCAAAATCCCCGCGCCGGACGGGGAGATTAGTGCGGTCTTGGGGTCCGGGCGGCCACGTGGATGGATCCGCCATCCCTGTCCCTTAAGCTCTCGATCGAGACTTGCGAGTGTCGCTCATTGCCCTGTTGAGCAGCTGTGGTACTGTACTGTACGCCATCGATCCTTTCCAGTGCCTGGCTGATCGGGACAGCCCAGAGCGCTAAGTGACAGCTTCACAAGCTGCCAAGCTTCGCGGCGGCACGACCCTCATCTGAGTTTGTTTGTTATCTTATTTTCTTTTCCTCTTCGTGACCATATCATAGCCCTAGACCGAGTCTAGCTGGGCAATACAGAGCTCGCGCTCCTGTGCGCGGTGCTCCGGCGCATGCCGCTCGGAGATGACAAGATGCTCGTGGGTCGCGATTAAATGCACTCATTAACTCCTACGGAGAACTCCGCACACTCACCGTCGCAAAAATTTGCATTAGAGACCCCTTACAGGAACGAAATAGCACCTACTGCATCCATCTCATGTTCTCGAATCTGTTCTCGAATCTGTTCTCAGCTTTGAAACTGCAAGCCTCCGGAGATTTTAACGAGCACCACCGCCCAATGGTATGCTGCAATTGCCTAGCTCTGCAGGGTGGGTTGTGGCGCAAGGCAAGGTGTTCGGCCACTCTGCTTTAGCCCCTTCGAGTCTCAAGATATCCTTCTGGATAAAGATCCAGTGCATGGAGCAGGAGGAGCGTTGTCAAAACTAGCTAGTCGAAGAGATACAATCTCGCATCCTAGCCAGTCAAATGGCTTCCCGAGAATTTTTAGGCTCCCACATGGCAAAGGGTCATAGCGTGATACCAAGATTGCGCGAGGAGACTAAGAGAAAAAGAAGGAGGAAAAGAAAAAGATGGGAGATGGGAGACGGGGATTGAGAGGTAGAGAGCGAGCGAGAGAGAAAGCTCCGGGCTAGCCTGCGCCAGACTACGGAGTCATCTCCTTTTTCGCCTTGAGCCGTGTCTCTCCTGCGGGATGAGAAGGCGGCTTACACGAGACGGCAGACTTGGGATTGCCTCATAAGCCAATGCGCACCTCTGCCGCAGCCAGCCGCGCAGACATCTGACCAGAATACATGGGCAGAGTGTGCACCAACCACCCAGCGGCTACTACTTCATATCCATAATGAATGGGTGAGCAAAAGCGTTGATTTGGCGCACAGCTCTGAAGCGGCAGTGCCCGCCCAACCGCTCCAATCTAGGCTGACGGAGCTCTTCCATTGGTTCACGCCGACGAGCGTGCCATCCCACGTGTGCCTGATATTGCCCTGGCGCTCTTCTGGCTTGGCTGGTTCCCCGATGCTGCTTCGCAACCGCCACAGCATAGACACAGGCCCGGGATCTCCTGAGTGTGGGGATATTACTCATGCACCACACTGCATCCGAGGGCGGTGGTGCGCCTGGGCGTTTTGCTCGGCGACTCTAGTTGGACGCCGGGTAGAGGCGACTTGGCCGATTGACCGTGCTACCGGGACAGTCTTGTCCTCAAGCAGGGGTATGTTGTTCGCAGAATCGTATTTTCCAGCCCACGGCAACGCCCCCCTCCCCCTTTTGGCATTGCCAAGACGAAGGTATTCTGTCGAATAGCACGAGTATTATCAGACAGTGCAGCGGGGAAACGCCTCTGAAGCATGTCAGACAGCAGCTTGCAGCCAAGACAGCATGCAGCCCTTTTGGGAGCCGACTTCCGCTGCTTGTAGTCTCAGCTGGAAAATCCTGTTTATTTACTTCCATTGTTAGTGGTACCACGGGATTTATATGGAAGGAAGAAGGAAGAAGAAAACCAAGCGCCGAAGTGGCTTTCGCCGTCTACATGTGAACTCCGGCGGTACGACCCGACAAAAGCGCGGGCCATGACCAAGCAATCACTGCGCAAGTATTTGCTTGTACTACGCAAATATCTATCAACGGACCCATCAGCAATGATACGTAACCGAGAAGCGAGTGATGTTGTGATATGTTTGCCCCATGAGGCATGTCGAATGCGCAAAGATAACGGCATTTCGGCATAATGTACTCCAGAAAACCGACGCTTTTTTCCCCGTTTGATGCAGGGTAGGAGATGGCATGATGTTGCTTTCGCCTCGCACGGAACCTTGCATAGGACATCATCACGCTGCAGGTGCTCCGTACGACGCAGAAACAAGACAAGATCTACAGCATGCATGTCACAGAGGAATCATGGTTGGGCTCGACAAGCTTGGCGGAGGAAGTGCTGACAGTTGTTGACGTTGCACCGCACCGAGTATAATTCCAATTCATCCGATGGCCAAACACCAATGGCGAACACACTGTGGCATGCCTCGTAGCGCTGCAGTGGCACAGGTCAGCCTCGTCTCACAGGCAGCTCTTTGGGCCTGGCACTCTGGCCAAGTCAGCTTCGCACCCGAGGGATGAGTCGTGGGCATCGTTGCACGCATCCCGAAGCCTCTGTGCGGCCCTCCTCTCCAAGGCGTCGGATCAGTTCACATGAAGGCAACAGAGTAGATGTCGTCATAACCTCTTCCCATCGTACGACCTCCGTACCTTGCCTTGATGGAGCATGCGAGATTATGTTGGGCTGGGATCTTCTGAAAGCGGCGATGCTGTGGCATGCTTGATTTCCAGCTTCTGCGAAGAACACGGCACTAGCAAATCGACTTTGCACGGAGCAGATTACAGAGCAAGAGGGTCCCGCTCAAGGATGCATGTCAACCGGGCGCCAGAGCCCCATCGGAGACGTTGTCCCTGGCCATACCTACCTATCTGCAAAACTATATGGCGCGCGCGCATGACACACAGATAGGTCCCTGTGTTTGCCTTGTAGTGCCGGCTTACCCTCTTAACCCCCCGTTGATGTTGTCTGAGTCGGCAATATCACAGGCTTTGTAGCAGTACTAGCAGTGCTTGGTCTGACCAAGCTTGCTTTTACACATTCGCAGGGCGAACACGGTCGCGGTCAGGCGAGCTTTTTTCGTGTCATTGCGCAGCATGTCGAGAAGCAATCGCGAGTTGAATACACGGCGCGCTTTCACACGCACATCTATCCATGAGCGCAATAGGTTCCTGGCCAAGGGGAGGGCGAGCTGAAGGATAATTTGTCAAAGACGGCTCCCGCACCCTCCAACAGCACAGACCGGTCTCAAATTCTGTGCTAACACAAGGCATTATGGAAGTAGTAGTAGTACGGTATGGTCTTACAAGACAAGGAAACTAAATGACTCCCTCTCAGTCAATAATGACTAGAATCCGCAAAGTGGGAGGGATGTGTGCTAAGACATTGCAGCCTTCAGTCTGAATTTGTAGAAACCAGGGGGAGATGTAAGTTCACCGGATGTGAGACATGTTCATTTTCATGGCTGTGGAATTTGATGGTGCTACAACCTACTACTACTAATACCGTCACTTCGTACAAGGTTACGGGAGTACTTGTAGTTCTACTGTCTCTTCAGCTTTTTAACAGGGCTGATGGATCCGAGGACGCGAAATACCTGCCGAGGCCCCCAATTCTTCCCCTCACAAAGGGTTGTTCGTACGGAATGCTAAAGTTGGTTGTCTATAAGGATGATTACCTGTGGTATTTGACTTGAAGTTGCCCTCCAAAACCACTCTTCCCTCTTCTTTTATTCCCTTTCCTAATACCGGAAGCCAAAGTTTCTTCTTTCTCACGCTCCTCTAGCTTACTCCAGACGCAGCGCGTTGGAAATCTCGAGCGTCATTTTCCCATTCTCAAGTTTCACGACCCTCACGCTCTCGAGATCCTTTACAACCCAGTCAGGCTCGGCCCCCACGACCTGTTCCACAGTGTGGCTCGTCACCAGTCCCAGGACCTTGCAGCCCGCCGCCTTGCCAGCCCTGATGCCGGCGGGACTATCTTCGAGGACGAGGACGTCGCCGGCCTTGTTTTGGAGGGTGAGCTTTTCCAGGCCGATGCGGTAGCACGTCGGATCGGGCTTGCCGTTCTCGACGGACTCGGCTGAGATGAGGTGCTCAGGGGTGCCGAGCGAGAGCCTCTTGAGCCAGCCGCGGACGAGGGGCTGGGTGCCTGACGTTACGATGGCCCAGGGGAAGGAGTGGGAGATGATGGAGGAGAGGAGGGAGCGAGCGCCGGGGATTTCGACGACGTCGTCGGCGTACTTTTTGGGGAGCTCGGCTTCCATTTTTGTGACGTCTGTGGGCACATGTTAGAGGGGAATTGTTTTCCACTGATATGTACAGAGCTCTCTCTTGTGAGACCGAATGGGATTCTGTTCGCTCGAAAAAAAATTGCCCAAAAAGAGAAGTTGGAGTTGAACACATCAAGACGATGGCCTCTGAAGCACATGCCATATAATATCACTTGCGGGATTATCCACTTGGATAAAGGCCGACAAGGAAACTGCTCATAAAAGAAGAAGAAAAAACTTACATTCCCAGTTGGCCTTTTCAGGCGCAAGAATCTTCAAAATGTCTATACTCCGGCGACCATGGGAAGTCTCCAAGATGACTTCAGGGGCGACGCCAATTTCCTCACCGACTCTTTAATAGCAACAGGTCAGCAAGATTCTTGTGTAGAGTGACTTGTGGTATGGGATAAAAGGGTTTTAGTATTACGCATGCCAGTGCTTGATGACTGCTGGGGTAGAGTCGATGATTGTTCCGTCCATGTCGAACAGAAAGCCTGAAAATGCAACCTCCTGAGTAGGGAGGCTGTAATCCGGCTGAGATCCCATCTTGGCTGTCTAGTAGCGGAAAATGATAGCAGAAAAAAAAAAGGAGGCCTTTGAAATGGCGAATGCAAATTTACAAGGATATTCGCAAAGCACAAAGATGAGATTTGATGAGTGTAGTTGGCCAAAGTTGTCGAGTTGCAGATATGAGGTCTTATATAAAACAGATCGCGAAAGCTTATTTCAAGGAAAGTCGGGATCTTGATAGATTTCCAGATTGTAAAAACCCCCCACGTGGCAATTCCGCACTTGCGGGGCTTCCTCACAGCGTTAGACTGGCTCCAAGAAGATTTTTTGACCCGCAAGCAAAAAGCAAAAGCCAACGAACGCGTGGATTGAAAAGAGCCAAATGACTGACTTTCTTCTCCTGAGATGCCCGGCAACTACGGGTTTTTGCGACTTTGTTTGAAACTCGGGCAGATGTTGCGGAGTAACCAAAAACTGCAATATCAATGGCTTCTTGTTTTATACACACTTCTGTATCAACACTTTGTGATTGGCATTGCTTGCAAGGGGTTTAAAATCGACTTTTGGTTCAGTGGCATCAAGTAAGTATTTCCGCAGACGAGGACTTGTAATATTCCTCGATGGCGCCGATGGCATCGTAATTATAGCACCAATCTCTTGTTCCTTTATCCGTGATGCCGCCTGGCCCAAGCCGTTGACCAGTTGATTTGCATCTTTGAACAAAGTTGCGTCTATTACTGGTGTCGTTCTCCAGCGGCCAGATCTCGTCATTGTGCGAATGGCCAAGAGCTTCATGGAGAACTCTGCGTTCTTCTTCACTTGAAGCATGCAGCGAGTCTCCGCCATGCAGACTCGCCTCTTGCACGGCTTCGGCTCTCGGCTTTCGCACTGTTTCGAAAACGTGCAGTGCATATTTTAATCTCCGCGCGTCTGCTTCGTTTGAGAGAGAAAAGCTGGATCCGGGAGGGCAGGCAAGGTCTAGGACTGCTGCAAGGGCTGCTGCGTCCTCGACGGCGATGCTGACGCCCATGGACATGTAAAAGGCCATTGCGTGGGCAGCGTCGCCCATGAGGACGAAGCGGCCGGATTCGTGGGCCCAGGAAGGCAACGGCGGTACGGCATATACGGGGTAATTGGCAATTTTGGGTGTAGAAAGGTCCAATATGCGTTGAACACTGCCCGTTCTTATATTAGCTATAGGGAGTAAAAGCTGGATAATATGCGTACCGAGGCTCAAAGTATTTGAACAAGTCCCGGACTATGTTTTTGCATTCATCTGGAACAAAATCTCTGGTGTCGACATCATCTCGGTGAGTGAGAACTATATTGAGCAGGGTGGCATCCTTGATCAAGTATGTCATGCATGATATCTGTGGAGCTATCCAAAAGTTTGAGCTGCGAGACTGGAGGTCAACCAGGCTCGAAGTCGTTGGATCGGCTTTGAGCTTGGAGACTTCAGCCGTCATACGAAAAGCGGCCCATCCAGTAGGTTGACTACCAGGATTCTTGTTCCCTAAAAGTTTAGATCGGGCGAAAGAGTTGATTCCTGAGATTCGTACACGAAAATTAGTTCTTTATGCAAACATCACTCCTTTCCGAGGATCAGTACGCACCATCGGCAGCAACAACAAGATCGGCTGTTAGCTTTTTGCCGTTCCGCAGCTGGACCGCACCATTGGCGAAATCATACTCAACGACATTGCTGTCCAGGAGCAGTTCACCGCCGGCTTTGATGGCGTGGCGATGTAGGATGTTGTGTAAGACGGCCCGATGGACAACAATATACGGGGCACCGTACTGAGCCTCCATTTGTCTGATTCGAACATGGCCCAAGAGATTGCCGCTGTTCCCATCCCATACATGCAGGTTTTCAGGGATGATAGACTCCGCCAGAAGATGCTCTTCAAGACCCCATCGGAACAAGTATCTCAGAGCTTGTGATGTCATCTGAACGCCGGCACCCAGCTCGGCAAGCTGAGGGGCAGCATCGAGAATTGTTACTTGGTGGCCAGACTGGCCGAGGGCAATGGCTAGCGAAAGGCCCGCGATGCCTGCTCCAACGATGATAATTTTCATATCCAATAGCGAATGTGACTGATCAGAGATGGCAACACCGTTGTTCACCAGACTTGAGATGATACGAAGAATGGTATATGTGACATGCTAGAGCCCCATCAACAGGTCAGCATCTGTTCATCTTGGACACTCATACGGACACTCCTCCTTCTACCTCCCCCCTTTGTCTCTTGTCATTGCTCACAAGTGAATTCAGGATACAGCTGCGGCCTTGCAGCTCACCCAGTTCCTAATAATAGCAGTCCGATGAGCGGCACAGCATGGTGAGAAATGATGTGGATATTGAGTGTATAGGATTGGCTCCAGCCCCGCGGAAGGCTGCCCCGTGCCGTGTCTCTTTTCTGGGCTTATACTACTGCTGGAAGAAGAAGGACAAAGGCTCGATTTGGTCAGCAGAACGTCAGACTGGCTGTTGGCGCCGAGTTGGATAGTATTTGGTCGTAGGTTGATGCATCTGGGGTATTGCTTGTAGATGTTCGATGCCCGATTTCGCTAATGCGAGTAAGTCTTGTAGGGCAAATAGCGTAGGCTGGGTACCTGGTCCTTGAATCTGCCATACAGAGTTTATTGAGTACATGTATCGAGCCATCGTATGGGAGGGCGCACTCTGGGTGTATGGTGGCTTACGCTGTACAGGAGCGATACGTCACGCTGTAAGTGAGGACGCCGAACAGCTGTCATGGTCAGATCATCGATCCATTGCATGGCGTCTGTGCCCGTTGGCAACCTCGGTGTGTGTGTATGTGCCTGGACCCCGCCAAGCAGCCTCTGGTCATTCTCGGCTGGCAGTCCAAGGTGCAATCCAAGGTGCAAGCTGTACTTATCCAGAGTCCACAAACAGCAGAGGCATGCACTGTAGCGGGCGCTGCAAGTGCCCCCTTACTAAATCCTGTGTCGCTTGCGTCTACAGCGCATGGTAGAAGCGATGGGATGTATCTGCCGAAGTAGGCTCCAAAGCTGCCAGTGGACGCTCCAGCTCCAAGCGGCAAAGCTCCCTTGCCCGTCCAGCTTTAGTGCGCTCTAGCTGTCTCCAGCTGTCTCCAGCCGCCCATCCCCCGCACCTCGGAAGGCTGCGGGTTATAATGGCGTGCGTGCCCAACGGCGACAGCACAGCACAGCGCGGTGCCCGCAGCCTGCAAGACCCGACGCATTCTACAGTAGCAGCCTGGTGGCAATTGATGGCCTCTGCCAAGCGTCGGGACTGGACTTCAAGGCCCGCGTGCTGTGCCTGTGCGACGTCGCACCGGCCAAGGGCCTGTACCTGATCTATAGAGAACGAGTGCAAATCTACCTCGGCGGGCTCCGAACTAATGCCCTGTTCTGGGCGCGCTTCTGCGCAATTCGCGGAGGCGTTGCCCTAAGCGGTGCCCGTGGCTTGTTGGCTAAAGGATATAAGGCAACTGGAGTCTTTGATCCTCCAAAAAGTGACGTTTCTCTCACCACCTCTCCATTATTTCAGAACCTTGTTGTATACGATCAATACCTTGCCGGCTCCTAGGCTGCTGAATCCCCAAGGATCTGCCCTTCTTCTTGGACATAGCTTGTATATATATTCCACATCATGGGCTCTCAGGTGCAGGACGAGTTCACAGTGCTGGTCACTGGATTCCAGGTTTGTGTAACCGTAGCCATTCCTCCTCATTCCACGTTGCGGACGATGCTGACGGTGCCGCTGCTGCCAGCCTTTCCGGGCTGAATATCCCGTCAACCCGTCGTGGGAAATTGCCAAATCCCTCCCAGAGTATCTCCCGGCGCGGAGAGCAAAGGACCCCAGCTCACGATATGCCGTCAACACGCCGCCCGTCCGCATTCTGGTGCATCCCGAGCCCATCCGAGTCAGCTACAAGACGGTGAGGGAGCTGGTGCCGTCCTTTTGGGAGGAGACGTATGCCGGCCGCAAGATTGATCTCGTCATCCACATTGGCATGGCCGGCCCGCGGCCCATGTACCAGATTGAGAGTCGCGGACACCGCACGGGGTACAAGAGCCTCGATGTCGATGGCAAGCATCTCGACTCGTTGGATGGGGAGCGAGGCCAAGACTGGATTTGGCACGGCCTGCCGGAGACTCTGAGGACGGACTTGGACATGCAGGACATTTGGGAGAGGTGGCAGCAGCACAGCTCGGTAAGGCCGTTTGCTCCTGGAAGATGTATCATTATTAGCACTAACACAAAAAACTTGGCGCGTGCGTATAGATTGATACGGATCTCCGCATCTCAGACGACGCTGGTCACTATCTCTGCGACTTCATCTACTACTCGAGCCTGGCAACCTGCTATAAGCAGAACAAGCCGAGGAAAGTCTTGTTCTTCCACGTGCCTGCAGACCCTACCGAAGGGATGATCAAGCAAGGTCATGAATTAGCCATCAATCTCGTCCGAGCCATAGTGGAGAGCGAGGTGGCGGCCCGAGATCAGAACGCGGTGTAGGCAGCGCTTTGTTTTCATATCGAGCAGTTATTAGTAGCGCTTATTGATTTTGGTACACGGCGTTGAAGGCCTGTTAAACAGGAGAGATGGGCATTTAGGAATGCAAAGAGAAGAGAAGGAATTCGTTTGGATCATGGCAACTCTGGCTGGAAGGGAAAGTGGGCTTGGACGAGATATTCCCCGAGAAAGAGGCAAACGTTGGGTGACAGGAAGGGATATGATGGATACTTCAATCTGTTTGTTGCAAGATGTTGGTTGATATTAATGCAATTCATATTCCTTCAAATGATTGAACGTCTTTTGCTGCAAAGAGTAGACGCCGATGCTCGTTGCAAATGGTCGCCGTCTGATCACGCTTCGGACAGGACAAGCCAAGTACCAAAGTACCTTGTATCTTTGTACCTGGGCCGCCGGGCGGGGCTTTTCGCCGATTTGGTCAGCTTCCGTTTCTCGGCCGGCGACTACAGTACAGTATAAGAAGCTCTCTCGGCCACTGCGGGCTTAAAACTGCTTCTTATTTATACTTGCCTGTTTCTCTTTCTCGTTGCAGATTTGGTTTCTCTGATGAGCGTTTTATAGCCATCATCTAGTATTCTCTCACGTCCTTTTCTTTTTAAATCACACCATTTTCATACAAGTAAACCTCTGCCATCATGTGTCGAAAGGCCGTTTGCAGCACTTGCAGTAAGCACTCACTCACTATTTCAACTGCATCCGTCTCCCTTTCTTTTACACACATGTATAAACCTGATCATTCATACTCACCACCCTCTAGACAAAGCAACCTGGTGGGGCTGCGGGAGTCACATCCCAGGAGTGCTGGACTCCATCCCCGAGGAGGACCGGTGCGTCTGTGAGCCCAAGGTTGAGCGCGACGGCAAGCAGTATCCCCCCATGGCCAAGTCTGCCAACTGACTCGTGGGATGGCTGGCGGGGATGGTGTTGTGGGTGAAGGGGAAGAAACCTGCGTGGTCGGCGGAAGGGGTTGTTGAGGAGGATTTGGGTGGAGTTGGGCGCTTGCATGAATGAGTAAGAGGAGTTGTTGGCGACGTTGTTTTTCTGGGTATTAGCTGCCGGCATGACATGGAAGACATGAATGAATTTTCAAAGAAAATAAACAATGCGATTGAGATTTGAAGAAATGTTGTGCTCAAAGCAGTATGCCTCTACGATGTTATCCAAAGCTGGTATAGCTGAACGTTGCTATATAACGCTAGAGTTTATCCAAGAGATGCCCAAAGCATACCAAACGTCGAATCTTTTCAGACATGAAATGTAGCTCTCGAACGGGAACAGACCAGGCCAATGCAGTGCCCTCATCTCCTCCTCGCCCCTCCAGCAGCGCCACCGTCTCCCCTCTCCGCCAGACTGACAACCTCCTGAATGCCCGCCGCCTCCTGCTCCTCTTCCAGCGCCGTAATCTCCTCACGGCAATCCCACCACTTCTCCTCGGACAGCTCAAACGCCTTGGCCTTGATCTCCTTGATGGCGAGCGTCTCTGGCTGGATGTTCTTCCAGCGGAGGTTGGTCATGAGGATCTCCTGCCACTCTGCCGATGTGCGGACGAAGAATTCGCGACGAGATTCAAACGGCTAAATTAGATGATATCATTAGTTATACAAGTTGTAAGAAAAAGGGGGCAACAAGTTGGGGGGGAAAAAAAGGGAAAGTTTACTCTTGGATGGGGCAGACCATCATCGACCGATGTGGCAGTCGTTTCAGTCTCTTCTTCTTCCGATGTAATCGATGGCGTGGGTGCCCCAGAAGAAACCTCCGATACTTCGTCTTGCTTCTTCTTACGCTTGCTTGCTGTGTGAAGCTGCTGCTCAGGCTCGTCCTGTTCATCCTCGTCCTCGTCATCCTCGTCTTCATCGTCCTCATCATCTTCATCATCTTCATCGTCCTCGTCCTCGGATTCCTGAAAACCCCTGGTCAGCACATTGTTCCTCTGTTTGTATACAGCAATACTTACAATCCAGTCTTCCACGGGCTTGTTAAAGATTTCCTTGTATCCGTCCAATTTCACGAGGTCAATGGCGTATAGATCATCAAACGTAAACTCGCGATCGCCCTTTTCATAAGTGCCACCGTATATGAAGAGCACGTCGTTCTGGACCGTAAGCTGAGCGTTAAAGCGCATATGCGGCGGCTCCATAGAAACCGGCATCTCTCTAGCGGGCTTCTCTTCCTCCTCTGGCTCCTCAAGCATCTTTTCCAACTCAATGTCGTCAGCATTCTCCAGCGAGGTTCCAGCTTGGAGCGCCGCTAGCTGTCGCAGCAGCTCCTCTTCATTCGCCTGAGCTCTGCCACGTCTGCCAACTCGCTGTTCGGATGCATTCTTCTTCTGCTGGCGCGGCTTTCGCGCGGCGAGAGGCATGAATCTGTTTCTCTCAATGTTCCACGCAAACAGTTGATTGAAAAACTCGCTGTCCATTCCCTCCTCGCTCTGCTCGACGTCGTGGACGCCACCAAAAAGAATGCCACGACCCTTGTGAAAGGCCATGGTCGCTCCGGCACGAGAAGGCGTAGGCGCATTGGCTGGCTTCTTTCGCTTCTCCCACCTGACTGCAGGAGGAGCATTTGCATTCCCTTCAGCTGGGGGAAGAGACATTCTAAGAAAGTACGAGTCTTCATGAACCTTGGGGAGGAGAACGTTTTTCTGCCCCTGAGGTTGACTTCCTTTCTTTGTCTTCTTGAGCTGCACAGTGGCTTTGACTCTCGAGTAGCCTCCGCAGAGGACAGCTCCTTGCTCAGACGGGAGGAAGGTGAATGAAGATCGGGCATCAGGCTTGAGCTGAGCGGGCGGAAGAACGGGGCTATGCCAGACGTAGTTGACAGTGTCGAATATCCACAAGTCTGCCAGGTACTTTGTCTGGTTGGATGTGTCCTGGAAGCCGCCAAACAGGATGATGTACTGCTTCCAGTACGTCATCCGGTGTCCGCTTCGCGCCGGCGGGCTCTTGTCCTTGCCCTTGACCTCGATTTTGGTCCATTCCCTCGTTGCGGGCTCCAGCCTCCAGAAATCGGAGTAGTGGTGGAAAGTACCTTGCTTTGGAGATGAAAACTCTCCTCCAAACAAGTACACGTAGGCTGGATTTGATGATCTCGTCCATGCATGGCCAGATCGCGGGAGAGGTGCATTGGGAGAAGTCACACAGCGCCACTCATCGCGGTTGATGTTGTATATGTGCAGGTCGTTGAAGAACTGCGCAATGGATCCGTTAAAATACTCTCCTCCAAACAAAAGCAGACTGTTGTTTTCATGAGGGGAAGCCATAATAGTAGATGCTGATCGGGGCTTTGGTGGGCCCTCAATAACCGTCTCCGTAATCTTCAAGAATTGCTCTTGTTGGCGGCGATACTCTTCCAGCACCGCATCCAAGTCGACATCCTCGGCATCGCTGCCCTCAAGCTTGGCAGTCTTGTTTTTGATCTTTTTCTCTCCTTTGCTGGCCTGCTTGGCAGCTTTCTCAGCCTACATGAGACTCGGTCAGCAAATGTTTCATGGAGGGGCAGCTCTTGGAGTAGTGATGGATAGAGATTTTTCTGAATTGATGGCTACCTTTTTGGCCTTCTTGGAGTCCGATCCCTTCTTTTTATCTTTGGCCATGGCGGGGGTTTCTTAGATTTATAGATAAAACAGACGCTATAGCTCCAGCTCAAGGGAAAGAAACGAAAACGATCCTCTTTCGAGCGGGCCGCATTGATTGGCAGAGATCTAAGAAAACCCTTCCACAGTACGTAAATATTTCCAAGACTGTGCAACACGATCTTGAACGATGAACACAACAAGCCGCATTTGCCACCAATGTCACTCGAGAGAGAGTTTCGCGAAAACTTTACTCATAGAATATCCGAATGAGTTTTAGATGAATGTAATATATGTATATATGCCCGGGTATAGGTATCAATCCTTTGCTTAAACACTGATGAAACGCTCATAACTATATATGCCGTAGATGAATGATGAGATATCATTCTTCAGAAGCTGGTGAAATATCCCCCGGGATATAGGCGCCCATGGCTTTGCTGGCTCCCTCCACGCAGTATTGAATGACTTCAAGCTTTTGCCCCTCTGGTGCGAGTTTCGCAATCTGGCGAATGTCGCTTGTCCTTGGAAGGAACAACAGGTGGTCCATTTTCTTATAGGCTTCATGCAGCTGGTGAAGGCTATATGGCTGCATCGTACTCAGATCAAACACCTCATCGGTTCTATATCCAGGCCCACCCCATGGAGGGCTGGCAAATACCATGGTGGTCTGCAAATCAACTCTCAGGTCCGGATGCAGCTTTTCCGGTGAGTTAACGAGCTTATCAACATAGTCAAAGCTGTCGCCGAGGATCCAAGTGATTGCACCTGGGTCAACGCCGTACAGCTCAGCGTTATGCTGGGCACAAGCAAGCGTATCGGCGTCACGTTCGATGGAAATTATACGTTCCCATCGCTCGGATAGAGCAAATGCAATTGTATTGCCCCCAGCGCCACCAAAGGCATCGATCAAGGTAGTTTTTTTCGGGTCATAGTGGTCTTGAGACAATTCATACGCAATTTGGCTGGAAGAACTTAGCAAGGGCTATGAGAGAAGAAATGTCATTGGACACTCACTTTGCTACAGGCTCGGGTGTGACACCAAACCACGCGTCATCCGTCATGTGAACTCCATCATCATAATATGAGAAGATGGAGTATCTTTGACTAAAGTATCTATAAGACTAATTAGCATACTGAGCGGGGGTAAGTTTTCTGTGGCAACAAAGAACAAACTTTTGGATATCCCAGGGGACTTCATGCTGGCCTGTGTAGTGATGGCATTTATCTGTAAGAGGAAGCCTTTCCGCTGGTTTTAATGAGAAGCCGGAAGGCTCCGCGGCATCGTTGGCGCCCAGGTCAGCCACATTGAGGTCCAGCGCTGCTTGGCTCTCTTCTGCTAATAATTTGGTCAGGCAGGCCACATCTTCTCTTGCTTGAGGATTCTTCTCAAGGACTTTTCTGATAATCTCCCACGCAGCTTGGGGAATTTGCCTGGCCTGCGGCAAGAAGAGCTGTGCAGTTGGTGCATCGATGAAAGGACCGAGGGTATCTCGCGCGAGTTGTAGCTCTACAGAATTTGTCGGCTCATTTTCAGTTGAAGTCATGTTTGCGTTCCAGGAATCTATTTAATATGGAGTCCGTGACGAAAGTGAATGAATTGAATAAGATGGATTGATGAGTTCTGGGGTAAGACGCGTGAACAAAACGGATCGCGCGAGGACGAAAGTTGGTTATTATATACCAGATATCGACTGTGAATGAAGACGGGTTTGACTAGAAGTTAAAATTAGATAATGAGAGGCATAAGACGACTTTTTGCGTTGGTAAAATGGCATGTAGGACGACAAGTGAATTTCAAGACGAGGCTGAGAATGTAGCAAGAATGCTAGTGCAGTCAGATCCACCTCCAATTCCGCTTTTTAAGCCACTAGTGCCTTGGCACTTATGCAAGGCTGTCATCTCAAGGGACAGCTTGCGGCAAGCTCATTTGGTGAGCTTCGACGTCACTCTTCTTTTTCATGAAACTCGCAGTATCGGATTCCCAGCTACTTCTCTCTTACATCACGACTTATATCTTAGCTTCGGATAGCGGCAGGGGACATTCCGGCGACCATGTTTAACGCACTCAACCGCTTCATGTCCCGCCTGGACGGCGATGCCCCGCAACATCAACACGATCGCGACTCGTTTGGCTTCCAGGTGCTGCGAAACACGAACCTCGACCTACCAATTGAGCCCTGGTTTGATTATATCGTTGGAATCAACGGGAGACCAATTGTACACACCAATACCCCTTGTGATTGGCAGGCGATCGAGTGCTGATTGGCGCAGGATAATCCCGACCCAAGCTTGTTCGCCCAAGAAGTACAAAACTGCGCCGGCGGAACTGTAACTTTTGGACTGTGGAGCGCAAAGGTATACATTGGTCCTTGAATATGAAACGCCAAAAGAGAAGAGAGCGACGAAATCTGATGCCATTTGAATTTGTATAGGGCCAACGTGTAAGAGAAATGCACATTCCGGTGCCCGTGGATACCGCTTCGCTGGGACTTGCTCTTCAGTTCGCGCCCATCTCGCTCGCGGCCAACATTTGGCACGTGCTTGATGTGCCAGCCAACTCACCAGCTGATGTTGCTGGGCTGCTACCTTACAGCGATTACATCCTTGGCAGCCCCGAAGGCGCATTGCATGGTGAAAGTGCCCTTGGCGAGCTTGTCGAAGATTTCATCGGACGGCCGCTCCGGTTATACGTTTACAATAACGAGTACAACGTCGCGCGCGAAGTCACGATACAGCCTAGCCGAAGCTGGGGCGGAGATGGAGCTCTGGGATGTACTTTGGGCTACGGCGCGCTGCACCGGTTACCAGCCCCCTTGAGCGAGCCCGTCAACGCCCCCGGAGAAACAATGTTCGACGGCGAGTTTAACGAGAAGAGGTCAAACGAATACATCTCAACAGAAACCAGCACTCCGCCGCCGCCGCCTACGGGAGGCGACTTTTTGGTGCCCGCCCAGATTGTTGACGCAGCGCCTACGAGTGCGCCTCCACGGGGTGGTACGCCACGAGGTGGGAAGAAGAAGGAGCGTCATGTTGCCAACAATGATTTCATGGCCGACTATCTCAGGGAAGAAGAGCAAAAGAGTATAGCGCTAGACAATGCGCCCAAGAGCAAAGGCACAGGCGTACCGCCGCCTCCCAAGGGAGCTGGTGGTCCACCAAAGGCCGAACCAAAAGGAGATGAAGTTGACAGTGGCGGAGCATAGAGCATGAAATTTGACTTGATATATTTCTCTTGATAAAAAAAAAGGATTCCCTACTTGCTTGGCTAGGGTCACATTTGCTTTTTCTCCTTCCCTCTTGGTAAACTCTCCCGTGGATATCATTGAGGAAATTTGCCATGTTTTATACGACCCGTGTCATATGCTTTATTGAAGTCGTCATTCCACCACGCAACGCGCGACCGCTGCTCCAACCGCTGCTTAGTTGATGAAGTTGACACAGAAGAAATGTAGTATCAGACTGCAGACAACGTAGTCGGCAAATGCTCTGTAAATCGTCTGTTAGCACAACGACTAGGACACGCGCACATATGCACATTGATGCATTTTATCAGCTCGGTGGATTGAATTGGATTATGTAAATCGTACCGTTCAGGAGATACCTCTGGGAAATCGCTCTTGTTCGCGGCCGCCGTCTGTATACGTAGCGAGACTAGCTTCTTGTTAGGCACTCTTTATCGAACAATTCGGTTGGTAAGAAACAGGGTAAGAGGACGTACTTGTCAAGACAAACTGTCCAACAGTTGCTCCAAAACCAGAGAGGAAAGCATTGAAAGGCTGCGATGAAGCATTAGCATCAGGCCAGTCCTCCTAAGAAGCACATCATCTAGCTCTCCTGCTACATACATAATTGCCGGCCAAGATACAGTAGAGGAATTGCAGTGCGCCCACGACCGCGATGAAAGCGAGGAACACGTCGATGAGCTTCGTTCGCTGTGGAGTTTCGTTCATGTAATACTGGTAGATGTTCTGCAGCACCTTGTCCCAATTCGCCGGGGTGTTCTTGGCCAATGTCGATGATGGCTTCGGTTGAGTCGCAGGGACAGAGCCCGCGGTTGTGGTGTCAATTTGGGTGGTCGCAGCGGCTGAAGGAGCCGGTTGAGCCGCGTTCTTCTTGGGGGCCATGGCGGGCGAGTTTGGGGCAGCGTGCGGGTTGGGTTTTGTTCTGAAGAGAAATTGAAGCTCGTGATGATATCGATATTCAACTGCTTGGAAGCACTTTAGTCTGGCCTCAAAGGTACTTTGGTACAATTGCGGCCACGAAAGCTCCAAGCAGGTCGGCGAGCTGTGATTGGCTCGGAATCTTGGAATCCTGGGGGCGCCCCACGTGCCCTGATCTATCAATCACGTCAATGCGTTTGCGGCCTCACTCGATTCCGAGCACCGACGCCCTCGGGATATAAAGACACTCCATCTTGTCCGTCTTGAGAAATTGCATTAAACTTGAGGCTTGAAGCTGAGAAAAGGCATTTTCAACTTTTCGCGATACAACACAGTTCATCATGGTAAGTCATTGAGGCTCAATTGCCCGGCGTAGAGCTGGAAATTCGGCGGGGCGCAAATCGACTGACATCAATCTCTCTATTATAGGCGGCAACATCTTCCCCGCTGGCTACGACATCCTTTATTCTGGGAACCGTCACTTTCGGCGGCGGTGCCATTGGCTTTGCCAGAACTGGCTCTGTTCCCTCCATTGCCGCTGGCTCTCTGGTTGGCATCTTGTGTATGTGATTTACCAGCCTCGGCTCGAATCCTAGCTAACGTGTCTTGTCAGACGGCGTCGGCGGATATCGCACTGCCACCAATGCGAGTTACGGCGTAGAACTAAGCTTTCTCGCCTCCGCCATCCTGGGATTCTCATCCATTCCTCGAGCAATCCGCGGCAGGAAGCCCGTTCCTATTGTGCTCAGCATCATCTCACTCTTTGGCCTCTACACTTTTGGCAAAGCGCTGCGAGCGGCTGCTTAACTGGGGGGCATCCTGGCGTAGTCGTTGATCAGTGAAGAGGGATAAAATATGTATAGCTACTAAATAAACCTCAGCAATTCGTTAATTCCAAGTTTGCGCCAAATTTGTTTCCAAGCGGTCTCTTGCATGCTTCCTGGAAGAAGAAGAAAAATTGTAAATTGATAAGATAAAATGGCTATTCTTGCCACCAGATTGTCCTTTTTATTTTCCAACGCCGGTCGTGAGTAACATAATATGGCTATATAATACATGAAAAAGGAAGCAAAGATGTATGCGTAGAGAAGGATAAAAGACTTGTACAGCAAGGGTTGAGTTGGGAGGCGATATGACAAAGGGTCCCTTGGCGTATATATATCTCTTAGAGACCCAGCTCTCGCTGCTGTTCCTTGAGCTTATCTCGCTTTGCTCTCGCGGCGGTCCTGTTCTCGGCTTGCTTTGCGGATCGCGCCTCTCGCAGACACTTGTCTACCAGTCTCTTCTCATCGTTGCAGGCGCCTGTGGCTTTGTGCATGAAGCCCTTTGCGTGGCATTCTTCGAGAGCGGCAATAATGTCTTCGCAAGCTGGGAGACTGGTGTTAGATGAAAGGGCGGAATATAATTGCTTTGAGGAAGGATGGATTCTTACGAAGAGCATTCATTGTGTGCAAAGGAGGATGCATCTTGAATTGATTGTAGCGCAACCGCAGATTTCGATTTAATGTACTTTTGTAGTGGATCGAATCGATTATTTCGCAGGCGGATGTTGATCTGGAGAAAAGCTTGGGCGACTCGTCCCGCTGGGGCTGCCCACTAATGGCGATGCCAGTGCCGGGAATCAACCGGTGCTGAGGTTGCAGTGGCGCGGCATGGCCACAGAAACTCGACCTCGACATACATCGCGCATCAGAGATAGCGGGCCTCTCTCTTCGGGCCTCTGCATCTTTTTTTCTTTTCCACAGCGATAATCATGTCGTCATCACAGCAGGTTCCTGCTAAGAAGCAGCAGGGTATGTGCTCATCGGAGAGAGAATATTTGTCTTCGGCTTAACTTCCAACCCCCCGCCTACCTCTCATCTCATTTTCACTTTGCTGAGCATGTTCTAGATCTCCAAACAACTTACTCGAATTTCAAGAATACGTTACAGCAGATCGCCTCAAAAATCGGCGACATTGAGCAGGAAGCTGAAGAGCACAAGTTCGTTTCTTCCTTTCACTTGCTCTCCTTTCACCTCTTCCCTTCCCCTATTCTGGTGCTTCACGCAACGAACTTTTGGCCCCCGCGCTTTCAAGCCAGGTCTCACATCTGCCCTATTCATGGCCCCCATCATTAAGCCTCACTGCACTCCTACATATCAATATCACACCGCTGATTTCATTACCATTCTAGGCTGGTTCTTGAAACCTTGGAGCCGCTTGCGGAAGATCGAAAGTGTTTCCGTTTGATCAATGGTGTGCTCGTAGAGAGAACGGTGAAGGATGTGGTACCGGCACTGCAGACAAATCAGGAGGGGCTGAAGAAGGTCCTCGATGATTTAGTAAAGCAGTACAAGAGCAAGCAGGATGAGTTGGATAAGTGGAAGGTTTGTTTATGCCACATCTTTCTTCAAGCGTCAGCAGCCAGCTAATCTCTATGCGCCATGCCAACAGAAAAAGAATAACGTCCAAGTAGTGCAGCAGTGAGAGAAACACCCAACAGCTTATCGCATTTAATAAAAAAACAAAGGAAAACAAGGCAAACCTCAGCCATATCAGATTTCACTTCTCACCTGTGTGCGGTTACTAGGCAAGAGCATAACCATCTACCAGCAACAATACAGAACCCATCATCCACAATCCACATTTGATTACTATGGATTATATCCTCGATGCACTGCTGATCCACGATATCAACAACATGATTTTTACTCCATCATTCAATTTCATTACGCAGCATGATTCACTCATACGTGGCCATGCCCCATTGAGGACGCATACAGCAAATCTTGGCATTTAAAGGATCCTCTTAATGCCCGGCTGTTCAGCCCCTCGGAATTCATCCCTGTGCTGATGGCGCCTCAGTGCCCAACAACATGCAGCCTCAACCTTGCTGCAGCCGCACCTCTGAGCAATGATGCAGCACATGAGGATTAATTGCATTGATGCATGCAAGGATCCACGGACGCGATTCTGAGTGTCTTTTAATAATACAGGCAGTATGTGTAATTTGATGGATTTGCAATCCTGAGGAGGCTTGGATGCGTACAGGTCACTTTACATTGCCAACAATCCTCCCCAACGGAAGCAGCATGCCGGTGTTGGCCTTGCTGTATATCACACTAACGAGTATATCCGTCACCGAACCTATATTCCCATGGACTGCCTGAAGGAGTATACGCCTCGCAAAATTCGTTGTCAATGCATACCTGCATGCCGTATGATCCAGCATGAGGATGCCGTTGCCAAGTGGCAAGCCACGGCGAAAGCCATTTTTTTTTTTTCCTCGCGATTAATCCGACAAGGGAGTGCTGCCACTCTCCTCGACTCGCCCAACATCGAGGCTTAGGAATCGTAATCCAGACACACGAGAATCTTAAAGGACGTACATACGGAGTACATGAATACCCATCCGCAAGGTATCAGTCCGGCTTAAGAATGCAGGAGTGGGGTACTCACTCTGCCGTCGATAGTTTCCCTTCCGCCAACGGCTCGTATGTTTGCTTGTGACGCCTCGTTCGAAACTGCGTTCTTGAAAGAAGCGTGGAATGGTTTCTAGAATGTTACGTCGCTTAGCCGGAGTCGGACAGAGAAGCCCGCGCGCAAATGAAAGAGAGAGAAAAAGGCCGCTAGGTACTCGGGATATGCATCGATGGGGACTCGCCAGCTTGAGTGTGCCTTGGGTGACCATTGGGGGCTGCTAACAGCTAGTAGCGGATACTGACATGAGGCGATTTCTGCGAACTGCAGCTGTGGAGGCTTCAAGCAACGGCTTACCTCGTGTGAGTATTACAAGCCCATCTTGGTGCTACCACCTCCACCGACAACGCTGCGCCTACTGTGTACTTGCTGCCATTAGGCATTGCTGCAACTAGATGCGTGACTCTCTCTCGCCATTTCTCTTACACGCACGCAAATACCTACAAAAAAAGACAAAAGATCCGGCCGATGGAGGATAAGAGCGCAGACGCAGGAAACTATCGATTAGGCTTAGTTTGCCTGCGGCATCCAACACCGAATAATTTCAGGTGCAGTGCCAGGTATATTACGTCGAGGCGATGATTGTGTGCATCGATGGAACACAGACTATTTACGCGTACGTCTTTTGCTTCGTGCCCAAGCCAGTGCTGCTGGGCTTCAAGCCAACTCATCAGCCATCCATCCCATCAAGCAAGCCGGCTAGCCATCAGCAATGTGCAGGGACAAGGGCAGTACAAAGGGCAAAGGCTTTTTTCCTTGCTGCCCAATCAGTGGACGGGTCTCGCCTTTGATAGAATAAACCGCGACATGGCAAGGCACAGCGAGCGTCTCAGAGAGATTGTTTCGAGCTGCTTGAAAAGGGCGAAATGGCGTCTTTTCAGAGGTTACCACAGAATGCATGTAACCGCCTCTGGCGGATCTGTACCTGGTTCAAAAGGGACCAACAGGCTCGCCGTTTCTTGCGGGAGCGTCACCATTGGCCCAAACAGCTGCCCAATGCCCGAGTAGTTGTCGAGAGCCGGGTCGTGGTTCGCGGTGTTCCGGGTCGGTCAATCAGCCAACCACTGGGCAGACATACAACTGCGGCCCAATGACTTGTCAACTCTTGTTGGGGGCCTGATTCTCAGCCACCGGGTTCCTGAGGGAGAGGCTTGCTTTAGCGGGCGCTGGCCATGGCCTGCAAGCCATTGTCAAATGAGCAACCGCAGGAGCCCACCATCTCATTACCGTCGTCGTGGGCTGGCTTGCAGTGCTACTTCTTTGCGACGACGTCACAGCCGCAAGGCTAGTCGGACATGCATCGCGAAGTACCGCCGGCCAGGGTGGCTGATACAAGGAGCACCGCTTTTTTCCCTTCTACTGGACCAGGACAGGGGTGGCGGGAGTTTTGTTTTCTGACCTTCCATGTGTCTGTTGATATCCTCTGGTTTAGTTTTCTCCCGATGGAGGTAACTCAGCCATCCGAAGGAGTTGTAGGCTACTGATACCGCGGATAGCTGCTCAACTCACCGCCTCTGATGACCTGGTGCAACCCTCTTGTGACGACCTGGACGAGGATCATTAGTCCTGCTGTTGGCCATTGCTAGAGCTTATATGCGATGTCCCAAACTAGGATTACGTCGAGCTACTCAGGATAGGCGTGTCTGTGGCCTGATGATTTGCGCATGCTGCTCGTATAAGTGTGGTGGGCCTGTATCCTTGAGCGAGATGCTGGCGTCAAGCACCATGCAAATACCTACCAGACTGTTTTACTGATGAGTAGTAGAAATTCCTGTTTATGGAGGTAGTAGACGAGACACCCGTGCATCACTACCTAACAATAATTTTGAAAAGGGGAATACCTGTGTAGCCATCACTTCACAGGCCCCCTGTGATATCGGATTTTCTACGTTGTGTCCATTAGGCGCAAAGCTTCTCTTGGTAGCTGAAGCTTCCCCAACCCGCCTGTAATCACCTGTACCATCCAGTCAAGTAGTAGCGGAATACGCCCAGCTCAGCTCTAGATACCAGCGCTGCTAGTACGAATCGAGGAGCTCAAGGTAGCTCGGCTTTGGGGCCATGCTGTCCGCTAATGTAGTTGGTCATTCAGCGTGCAGTAGGCTGTGGAGGGGTACCTTGGGCGATTGGCTCCCCCCATTATCGATAAACCTGTACGGGAACTGTCACTGCCGCAGCGCCCACCCAACACTTCGCCTTGGTACAGGGCTAGCTGCGCAAAGTACCGCGCTACCTCGCCGCCAGGTTCCCGCTGCTACTGCTATTCCGGCCGACAACATCGCGCTGCTGTCGACCACTAGCCTCGTCCTTCTTTTTCCTCTTTGCACTCCACATCCAGATGCACCCACGCCAGCCGCATAGCAAACAGCTCAATACACCCTCCTGTGCGCATCCCGCAAGCCGTAAGACGCTCCCTAGACTCCAGACTCGCTCGGCGAGCATCTCGTCCTGACGCAGTTGACAGACCCGGAACCCTGCGCTCTTGTGTAACCTCGCCGCGCCACCGCAGTCAGTCCGTTGCCGTTTGCAGGCGCGAAGACCTCGTCTGTCCAACGCGCACTCCCCCCGTCGCCGAACCTCGTCACTGCCGCGGCGTCTGTCGTCCGGGCCGGAGACCTTGAAGCCATCGAGATCCTCGGGCGTTGCGATAGTCAGAAGACAAAAGGCCCACGCTGAGAAGCAGCTTGATCCACTCACGCCCTTGTGGGAGCACCGCTGGGACGAATCTGCCTTTTTGTTTTGCTCCCCTCTCCCAATCGACTGGAAACTCTTGCGATTGCGGGCCCTGGTTTTTTTTTTCTTACCCTCGCCCACCCCTCCCCCTCCAGTAATTCCCCTCCAACCAGGCATATTCTCTCCCAACCGGCTCGCCAGCCCATACATACATACCTACATACATACATACGCCAAGGGAGCGTCATAGCTCCAGTGTCATTCAGCCAGGGCAGACCCAAGCCTCCCGCAGCCAAGATCCCTCGCGGGCTGTGACGATTGACGCATCTTCTACTACACACGCCCCTCTCGACGTATCAGGCAAGCCTCATCTCTGCGACGTGGCCAGGGGGACACATCATCGCGAAACCTCCCGAACTGTACCAACCCGAAGATTATACAAGACGCTAGCAGCCGCTGCAGGTAGCCAAATATGTCCGACTCCCCTCAATCTCCTCCAAAGGATGTCGACCAAGGTGCACAGTCACCCGACGAAGAGCAAATGAATGATAACCAGGATCCCCACGCCGGAGCTGGCTATGAGTTTGAAGGTGTCAAGGAGCAAGATCGGTGGTTACCTATAGCCAATGGTATGTCTTTATTGTCCCCCCCTGGGCCGCCATTCTCGAATCATGATTGCTCGCCTCATGCATGTCGAGCTGCCCATCTTTTTTCTCAGCCTTGCATAGCTTTCCCATGTCTCACTCTTCTTTCTCCAATGTGTCGGAGGCGTCGCGGGCGTCCAAGACGGACAAATCTGATGAAGTGGACGCTAACATTCGAAATTTTGCGCCAGTTGCTCGAATTATGAAGAATGCCCTTCCCGATAATGCCAAAATTGCAAAGGAAGCAAAGGAGTGCATGCAGGAGTGTGTGAGCGAGTTCATCTCCTTCATTACTAGTGAGGGTACGTCTATACCTTGCTGGCTTTCTTTTTTTGAGGAATTTCTTATCCTATGGAAACACTAACATGATTCATTTTAGCTTCCGAAAAATGCCAGCAGGAAAAGCGCAAAACCGTCAATGGCGAGGATATTCTATTCGCCATGACTTCCTTGGGCTTCGAGAACTATGCTGAAGCTCTTAAAGTGTATCTGTCCAAGTACCGTGAAGTAAGCATCTATTCTGCCGGTAATTCTTCTTGAGAGGGCATGTCCTAACAGGGTGATGTGAAACTAGCAACAAAACCAATCGAACCGAGAGCGCGTCATGGAGAATAACAACAACAACTGGGGAGGCGCCATGATCCCTGGCGAAAAGGCTGAACCTGGCCCATCCGGTGCCGAGTATGCTGCTCCTGAAGCAGCGAATCCTGCTGAAGGCGCTACCGATCCGAACTACATGTATGCTTCCCACGCCGGCCATAATGGAGCAGGTGCTGGTGAAGGCTACTAGAAGAGCTTTACCGGAGGGCTGAAACTGGACCAGTTGACAGCTTCTACCAGGAGCAGTCAGCCAAGCCTCCCCTCCAATCGCCAGAAGTGATATAGGCCTTGGCCTCCGAGGTAATTTCAAGATCTCGCATGACTACTGGTGTCTAGCTATCAGCTCAAAACTCGACGTGTAAAAGTACTAGCACGAATACTTGGCTTATCTGACTTGGAGTTTGCAACATTATCGGCGTATATGAAGTGTGAAGGGATTGGGCAACAACGAGAGGAGATGAGCTATACAATTCCGCTACTCTCTCGTTAAAATGTATGGAATCGACTCTTTCTTTCTTTCTTTCTTTCTTTCTTTTTCTTTAGTTGTATGGGCTTCAGCTACAAATGGGCGATCAGACAATTAGATTCTACCCTCGGAGCTTTACTTGTCGACTCAAGAGCGGTCTTGAGATGCGGCACACATCTTTTTTTCGGCAGTAGGGAATTAAGGGCTTGCTAAGCAGGACAACGGATATGCATGGGGTCCAGATTGTGAATTTACGGAGTTGGAACATCGGATATGGTCTGCTACTACATTACAAGTATGTCCAGTTTACACGGGGCCTCTCCGCATCATTTCTCGTGGTTTGACTGCCATTAATGACGTATGTGACACCCATGCAGCCCCTGCCTGGGCTGTTGAAGATCCGACGTAGTTCATGCAGCCACTTTTGATATGTCCAATGCCAGTCTCTTCCGACAATCCTTGCTTCTAGTAACTCGCCCGCTGTACATACGTAGTAGTCAAGTAATACGGCATCGCGATAGCGTTAGTTTGGTTCGTTAGTAGCCTTTTGTATGACACGATATGAGAGAAAGAAAAGAGTCTCGAGATAGAAAAGAGATGTGACGATTGCCCGGTAGCACAACAGCACAATGCAGATGTGATAAAGAACAGGTAGGTGCATACATCTCTAACAAATGCCGAGATATATGCTCGGTACAAAGCACTCCGTAGGTGGCGCAAGAATATTCCAGACTCCGAAGCGCCGCACGGACCAACCGAGTGCTGCCTAAGCCGACTTGGTTGCGAGGCACGTGCGGAGACCCCACTTGATTGAAAATCTTCCCTGCTACCGCTTAATGTGCAGGAAAAAAAGAATCCATGTCGCCCAGCATTGACGTTGCCACAGCTGTCTAGGGTTCTCTTTCAGCATCATCCATTCACCTGCGTTTCAGTTTGCAATTATCTCGTATCCTTACAGCGCGGCGAAGCTCAAGTCATGGGCCTCAGCTTGTCCGAGAGCCTGGTCGTATCGCTAAGAGCCCTGTAGCTGGGAATGATTCTTTTTCCCATATTTTTTCTTGCATTGCTAGATTCCCCATAACGAGCGTCACGACAATTTCGCCCTCCATTCTCGCCAGCGCCTCGCTGTATTCTTAATCATCATCGACTATTGACACCGCCTTCATGCGACCATTCAGTCCAGCGCCTAGAAGCCTCACTGGCACTCTGCCCAGGAACACTCCTCCGGTGAAATCTATACTCAAGCCCTCCTCACTTCTGGGCCGCAGGAAAGAACAGCACGAACAGCTCAGCGAGAGCCCCGAGGCTCAAGACGCGTCCAGCAAACGGCGCAAGGTCTTCTTCGACGATATAAAGAATGTGACGTACGAAGTCGGCCGGCGGACCATGGACGAAGTAAAATTAGAAGTGCGGATGGCGCTGGAGGCCCATCTGCGAGGAGATGACGGCCAGTATGATGGGTTGAAGGAGATGTTTGCCAACGATAAAAAGAGATATCTGCCGCCGATAGTCGGAGAAGAAGAGGATACGTTGAAGCCTCACGAACTTCAGGTTTACCTCATGGCGTTGACCGGCTGTATTCCCATCTTAAAGAGCAAGGACTGCAATGGTCTGGTGAAGGCGATCCTTAACTGCTCATGGCTGGGGCGAGATGCAGCCTTTGTCAAAGTATTTACACATTTTCTCGCCGCTCTAGTCAGCGCGCAAGGCTCCTATCTCAACCAAGTCCTGAACATGATTGTGGGCAAATTCCACGACACGCGCCCATCCGCGTGGCGAGTCCCTGATTTCCCCGAGGTCCCGCGCGTCACAATGCGTGAGAGGCTGCACTCGACTCTGCAGTACCTCCTCAGGATGTTTCCATCCGCCATCTCCGTTTTAGAAAACCTGCTTAGAACCAAATTTCCGTTCCTAGACGATTCGATGAGAGTCCACATGGCCTACATCCACAACCTCCTCCAAGTCAAGGAGTACGTGCCTGATCTGGCGGAAGATGTCTATGATATGATACTCGATCGCGTTGTCAAGATCGACTCACAGATGCAACTGGATTTGGAAGACACGGATGACGACATCACAGCCGCCGTCATGTACGCGTTGCGCGAGAACGCTCAGGAAGATGCGGCAGGCTGGGAAGACGAGGCGGATGACGATAGTGATACCGAATCTGTTGATAGCGACGACTTGGATTACGATCAAGAGGCCGTTCGGATCAAGACTCTCAAGGACAGCGTGGAGAAGATGGATTCGATGCTCGATACGCTTTTCGACATTTACACGCCACACTTTGCAAACCCTGGGTCAGATAAAGCGTTTGACATGTTCACGACGATCCTACGCGAGTTTGATCAGATGGTATTGCCGACATACAAATCACGACATACACAATTTCTCATCTTTCATTTTGCACAGCAACACGAGCGGCTGACTGACGCCTTTTGCGGTCAGCTCATCGCCAGTGCCTTCCAGAGCAACACGCCCAACATTCTGAAGCAGGCCGCTGCCGCCTACCTGGCAAGCTTTGTTGCTCGGGGAGCACTGGTACCGCGCCACCTAGTGCGTACAATCTTTATGCTTTTGATCCATCACCTGGACCAGTACCGCCGGAAATATGAGCCCCTGTGCCGCGGTCCAGATCTCAAGCGATTCCACCCCTACTACAGCCTCGTACAGGCTACCCTCTACATCTTCTGCTTCCGCTGGCAAGACCTGGTGGTGTCTGCCCCGGAGTTTGTCGACCCCGAAGACCCAGCGTCCTACATTGGCCAAGACCTTGAGTGGATTGGGTCGGCAAGGAAAGATCTTTCGACGCACATTTTTGGCAAACTCAACCCATTAAAGGTCTGCGCACCGGTCATCGTCGATGAGTTTGCCAAGCTGGCACACCGACTCAACTTCATGTATGCGTATCCGTTGATTGAAAGCAATAAGCGCATCCGCTTGACACAATTCTTGTCATCGACTTACTCCACTGGAGGCGCCCTGCGAGACTCTGGTTTTGATACCCAGGAGGAGAGCTTTCATCAACTGGACCCATATTTCCCATTCGACCCATACCAGCTACCGGTTAGCAAACGCTGGCTTACACAAGATTACGTGAACTGGAAATCAATCCCGGGCTTGAACGCAGAAGACGATGAAGACAGCGACGACTTTGAGGATGACGAGGACGATGATGCCCTGGAAGGCCTTGAGGAGGGCACCGCTACTGATAGCGAGAGCGACTACTCTGAGTAAGAGCCCCGATAAACGAATGTGAACGGACGGATATACCCGAAACACGATGTGATGGATGAAACTCTTGTCTCTTTATTTGGAATCTCTTCCACATCTCGGAACCTTATCCATGTTTTGCTATTTCAGGAATTGCTAGGACATGGCCTACTATATACTAGGACCCAAAGGAGGAGGGAGGGCCCGCATCGTGCTTATTCACAAAAAGAGCATATGGCCTAGGGCGCATCAGTGGCATCCCCTGTTTGGGCATGCTGCTATTGCCGTTTTCATGTTACTGCGTATTTTGTTTTTATTTCTTTTTCTTTAGCGAGGAGTTGGCAAAAAGGAACAATTGGTTTTTGTTGCGCGTTTTGATTTTTAAGTTTTATCGTTCGATGCATGTTGCAGTCATGTGTAGCGTTGGTGCAGGGATGATTTAAATTAAATGAATATAAAAAAGTTGTCTTCTTCATCCTACCTATTCAAGATGCATGTCCCTTGTCCTATGCTTCAACTATATTCAATTAATCTAGTAGCTATTCTTTTACCACAAATAGGAGGCAGATGATAATATTTGGCTGTTTTATAATGCCGTCTGTCATCTGTCAGAAAGCGGTAGGCGATGAGCCGAGAAAAAGGTTGTAAGCAAGTATTTCAAATACTTTGCATCTCGGTTCGCTTATGGATATTTACCAGAGGGTTACAAATACTACACTATTTTTATTCTTTCTTACTAGTATCATGAAAGGAGTGCATATACTATACTGAAGCGCTGCAACGCTATAGGAGCTAATGCTGTAGTTGTTATACAAAGTTGAGCCGACCGTACTGTAGATTGTGCTCTTTCGTTCACTATTTGAGATTTCTGGTCGGCGTAATCCTTTCTCCCGTCCTCTAGAAACGAACGTAGTAATCCTTTCTGCTTATCAGGATGTTTGTCAGTGTTTATACCCCGACTATTACGACGGGAATTTTGGGTTTCGTCGGCATTTAGCGTTCTTTGGTTCTCCGAGGGGTGGGAGGTACCCAGTACCTTTGAAGTCTGATGGGACTATCGGGAGGAGATATTTGGAATGAAGGAATAGTGCTGTGGTTAGAATTTCTAGCGCTATAGTTTACAGAGCGGGCACTGTAAACCACTGACTGTATAGTCTGGCCGCGCGCTAAATTCCAAAAAAATCGTCAGCAGTCTTCAGCGGCTGCTATTTTGCATCCAATGAGAAGGCAACGCTAAGCTCGCTAATGAGCAATCAATTCATTCTGCGGCGTCAGTTTGCCCAGTACTCTCTCACACTGAGGCTATTGCAGTAGTAGCGGTATGGAAATTCTTAGATCCTCGGGTGTCAAAGTAGCAGATACCTAGAATGGCCCGCTATCCGGCAATTGGCGGTTCCAAACGCTCACCCGCAAAACGAAGCCGACTAAAATGCAAATCGCCAGCCTTTTCAACCTTTCCTTTTTGCTACCTTGACCACGTAATTTGCGTTTAGCTCGTGAAAGTCGAAAAAACTCTTTGCCCCCTCCTTCGCATAGGACGGCAGCGCGCGACAGCCATTCGGAGATTTATTGTTGCATCTGGTGGTCAATTGCTCGGAGCAGCTCGAGGCTTGACTTGTCTGGGGAAAGCGAATCGTTACACAAGGCCCAAAGAAGGCTGAAGGGCCTGTCACGGCGATTCATTCATTTCTCCGTGCTTGGTGTCGCTCGGTCGACCTTGCCAGTTGTCTTTGCTCTCATCCGGCTCAATCACCAGATATCTGCTGTCACTTGTCGGTGGCGCTGCTTGCATTGCCGCACAGGCCGTTGTCGCAATTGACTGATTGATTGTCCGGCGCCATGGACGCAGAGCCCGCAGGCGCTGACCGGCCCTCGTTCACGTCCTTCTGGAAGCGAAGCAAGCAGAAGGAAAAGGAGGGCGACGGCCACAAGAAGAAGGGCAAGAAGACGACCAGCCCCAGCTCGACCGGCGAGCTGCAAGACGAAGAAATTGCAGAGGACCACGAGGCAGATCAAGATGCCGGTGAGTGCTAGCTGACGCGTTTCCACATTTCGTCTCCCCGCATGCACGGCCTATTTTATGCTTGAATTCTGCTTTGTTGAGCCGCTGCAGTCGTCCAGAGGCGTGATTCCATTGTTTTGTGCCCGTGGCGGCTAGGCAAGTCTCCCATCGATGGGGGTGGGAGGCAGATGCACTTAAGGGGGGACATGACACAAGGCGAGAATCAGCTGGCAGGCGACATCCTGGGCGCTGCACGGGCGGCTCAATTAATGATTACAGCGAGAAAAAGGACTGCAAGGGACTGCCATCGGCGCTTTGCAGGCGATCGCCCTGCTGGCGGCGGGTCTGGCCGTGGCGGTCATCAAATGCAGCCCAGGAGCAAGTGCTTCGTGATTTGGAATAGCCGGTGTTGCTGGCGATGTGGGCGAGAGCGGCCGGCTAGCGGTTTGGCCATCTCAAATCATTGCTCGGCAGCGCAGCCAGCGTCGTCTTTATGCCTTTATAAGAGGGAGCCAGTCGCTCTCGCGAGGACCCAATTATGCCTTGCCTCTCAGTCTGCCTGTACATTCACACTCACACCTGCTTTGTGGGCGCTGCTCTGATTCCATTCATGACGGCCGGTCCCACTTAAAGTTTGGAATCTTGTACTTGGGCGTTGCGCTTCAAGTCAAGCCATAATCCCCATTGCACTGCACTACCACTCGTTACTTATCCACGCTATGCCTTTTCTTTATCGAGTTTCACCGTCCCGAGAGGTCTGCCGCTCCAGATATAGATCCCGGGTGCAGCGCAGGAAGAAGATGAAGATGGACGCTGAACCAAGACTTCGACACGCAGATGAACACGCCGGCAAGGACGATGCCAAGGACCGCGCCCAGCTCCGGCGGGCCCAGGTCCGGAAGGCCCAGATCCAGCACCGCCAGCGAAAGGCAAACTATGTCAAGCAGCTGGAGCTGGACGTGTCTCAGCTGCGAGACCTCATCACCCAGGCCCAGCAGGAGACGTCGCTGATGCGGAGGGAGAATGACGGCATCCGGGATCTACTGAGGACGAGTGAGCAGCACCTCCAGCCCACATATCCGCAGGCCGACTCAACGTACTTTTCAAACGCAGGGTCTCCCGGCACTCGTGTGGGTGGCTTGTCAGAGCTGGACACCCAAGAATGGCTCGGCGGCGGGCAGCTGTCGGATCTGGACCTGAACCAGAACCCCTTGATGCCTTCGACCTCGAATGATGCGGAAATGTTTGGCCACATCAACGTCGACGACATCACTGTATCGCTGGGCATCCATGATCTCCTGGGCACGCCTTGCTTCACCATCAACTCTTCTTCTGGTGCCAGCATACAGACCTCTACCAGCCCGCCGCCGCCACTTGAAAGCACCCCCCTGACGCCTCCTTTGACACCTCAACAAGAACAGATAGTGATCAACTGGATCTTAGCGTAAGTCTATCCTCCGTCGATAATGCAAATCCACCAAATACCTTTTGCAGAGCACGACTAACTTGACCCAGACTTGAAAACATTTGCTGGGACCACTTCTCAAACACCGATTTCCACAACCACGTTCCCGGAGAACATGAAGACTCCTATAACCATGCTCTCACCGCCACTGCTCTCTTCATGAATGCCGCACCCTCCTCCATCTTCACCGACCGCGAGGTATTCACGGCAATAGACCCCACCACGACACAAGCACCCACCTTCCACTGGCAGGCCAGCGGCATCAACATCAACTCTCTCTGGGCACTGGCGCAATTCGAGCTTGATCCAACCGAGATCTCTCCCATGCAGATTTGGTTCGACCTGGCGTCCAAGTATTCCTACGAGCTACTCTTTTCGGACGGCTTGTTGACCGCCTTGTTGATCGAGCTGAGGCCATTGATAAGGTGTATCGAGTTCGGTGCGTCGATACAGAGGCAGTTTTATGACGATGTGATTGCCAGAGTTCTAGGGGTGCTGTGATTTGATTTAAATAATATACCTTTTCTTCCTCCCTTCTCTTCTTTTGGTTGGATGATGATGACAGTGGGACAAACTATGTGGCGTACCGGTAGTCTTTGATATTTTTTTATGGATTGACGGTGTACAATTTTTTTTTTTTTTTTTTTTTTTTTTTTTTAATCTTCACGCTGGTCTTTGAACTGGAGTTTTGATGATGCCCGTTGGCTCTCAAGAAATACCTCAAGTCTTGTTCTATTATTTTGTTCCTTCTAAAATTTTGTCTTTTGAAAGTCGCAGATTACTTGGAGTAGCACTTTCGACGGCCTTATGAATAGCCGTCAATGGGGCTGAAGATGGATGCTATTTATAGGATACATGCAGTAATGACAGAGTGTAAATAGGAATGGGACCAAGGGTAATCACAGCAAAGTTGCAAAAGAGAATATATACCACATCATACCGATAATAAAAAAACTCAGCTTCAAGTCTATCTGCCTACTTATCTACACATCTATCTCATACTCAAATGTGGCCACCATTGAAAAAGAAAATAAAAGAAAGATAAAAGAAAATAAGATAAAGAAAAAGGTAAAATAAAATAAAAAAATTCACCCATTTTTACAAAGCTTTAACCATACTACGATCATCAAAAACATCCCTCAGCAGCGCCTCCACGCAGGCATCTCTATCCAGCGCCCCCATGGCATACGTCGACTCAAAGGCAAAAATGCTGAGCTGCCCAAAGAACGGCCTAAGAACCTTGGCTACCAGCTCATCCTTTCTCTCAAAGCTGACATCGTCGCTGATGCCACCAGCGCCGAGGAGCGGAAGGCGGCGTGGGCCGTTCTGATTAGTCGACATCTGGGCCATAATCGTAGCGTCGTCGTGGCCGGCAATGGTGGTCGCGCCAAGTTCTTCGGATATCTCGTCGACCAGGGCGACGGGTTGGTACGTGGACGATCTGTATACCGCCTCGATGGTGTCCGTCACGAAGAGCCACTCGTGCAGCTGGAAGTCGTCCGGCGCAACGCAGATGAGCAGGTCGAGCAGCTTGCAAGCCTGTAGGATGGCGGCGTTGACGTAAACCTCGGATGCCGTGCTGTGATCAGGGGCGACGATGGAAGATATGGCCGAATGAATCTCGGCGTTGACCACGGGCCATAGCCTGGCGAGATGGATCGGGCTGACCTTGAGCACCAATGCTCTGATGACCATGTATACCTCTGCTCGCGTGGTGGATGACGGAGATGATGTTGAAGTGGCCCCGAACAGCTCAACCACCTTGTCAAAGATGGCAGGGATATCCGTGACAAAGGCATCCTCTGCCGAGGCAAGAATCAGAGTAGCAATTCTCCGCAAATTAAGCTGCGTCTTCCGATCAGCTTCAAGACGAGCTGAAGTGGCGCCCACACCGAATACGATCCCCGCAGTCGTAGGTGCATTAATACGGCCAACAATCTCTGGGATTCTCTCCTTATCTGTCAATGCCCACTGCCGCAGCAACGGCAGCCAGTCGCTCTGAACCAAGGCAAGATTCATTGCGAAGAATCTGCTGTCATTAAAAGCCTCGCTGACATCCTTCTTCCAGGCTTTCTGGTTGTTTGGTAGCCTTGAAAGCTCGTGCAAGAGCCTCAGGGTGCTGGAAGAGACTGAATCTGGGAACGTCTTGGAGCGGAAAGTCGGACCAATGACATTGGAAGATATCGTTGCAGCTGCAGAGAGAACTCGGTCTGGTTCAAGGAGGATTTTTGGCAGATTGGGAACGATGGAGGCTAGAATAGCTACGACATCATCAGATCTTTCGATTGCACCGGGAAATGTGCCGCGACGTTCAAGCTCGCCCTTGACAAACTTAGTCCCCGACGTGCCGTTCGAATTGCCTGAATCAGTAAAAGCCGGCCTCGTAGTGAAGAGAGCAGTAATAAGCCTTAAGAAGAGGTCCTACAAAGGGGTTATTAGTTAGTCAATGTATCTTTATATAGCGACTACAAATGAAAAGACAAAAGCTTATATCTTACCCCTAATTCTCTACGCATTTTCCGCTGCTCGCCGAAATTGGTGTTGTCAACTTTCTCGCCCAAGATGGCGGCAAATTCGAGAAGGCTGGGAAGCGTTTGTCTGTGGGGGAAAGGATTGTTCAAGAGGTCCTTCAAGAACGTGATGCAATCTTGCCATATCTCATCCATGGCATCGTCATCAAGTGACCTGGCGTACTCGACTAGGAAGACAACCAAGTCGGCATCTTGAAGTGAGATTGTCATTGTCGACTTCCGTGAGGGCTCCAGCGCGGCAGGGTTCGTACGGCTGTATATGGAATTGAAAAGAGCCGGCATCGAGTGTTTTGGTCTTGCAGCATCTAAAGCTGCTAGGAAGCTAAATACGGTGACATGCTCCGCAGCGCTTGTTGAGTTTCTCCATACATCAATCACGGTCTCGAGGCTTTCGAGCGTCTCCGCCGTGAAAAGGTGTTCAAGGAGTCGCCTTGCTCGATTCCTCATCCTCAGAGATGTGTAGTTAAAGGACGCTGATGAATTGATATCCTGCGTGGTGGCTTCATCCCCCTGTCCCCAAGACCAGATTGAAAAGCACATTCGCACCGCATCTTGGAAGGCTAAATGAACGGTCAAGCGGTCATTGGCCGTGGCGCTTCGAGACTGAGGGGAGTCTGACTGGAAGACACCCGATACCATGCTCCCAAAGATTGATTGAGGCTGGTCGGGGCCTTTCACAGCCAGCGCTTGAGCTTCCTCAGCCAACAATTGGTCATGTGCCTTAGCCAAGACTTGTTCCAGAGCATTGAGAAGGTAAATTAGAGTAGATTCTGGCGTACCAGCCTCACTCTTGACTTCGTATGATTCGTCTTCAAACAAAATTTTCAAGTGAGAGAAGGTAGCGCCTATTTGTTTGCATAGCGTTTCGACAAGGGGTATCAAGATCTGAAAGATGGACTGAGAATAAAAAGGCAGACATCTGCTCAAAAATGAGACCCAAGTATCTAAAACAAACTGGCTGTTTGTTGAACTTAGACCTGACTGTAGGCATTTGAGTAGCTGGGGGGGCATTACCATAGGAGGTGGAGCCATGTCGCCGGAGGAGATGGATAATCTGGTTGCATGTAAAGGATCCGCGCTTGATCTTCGCTTTTCGGCAATGGAAGATATAGCAAGTTCCGTCACCACGGCATCGTGTAACTTGAGAGCGTCAAAGACGACGTCAAGCAAAAGAACTTGTACATACGGATCCGTATTTCCAATGGAAATTGACAGTCTATCAATCAGAACATGATCAAGATTTAGATTGAATAGAGGAGCGGCATGATGACTTGTGAGGAAGTGGTGAAGAACAGTCAGCGCATAACGATGCAGCTGGGAGACTCTGTTACCCAGGTCATCGCTGGCAGGCGAAATTGCATCGCCAGTAATGCAGGCCATGCACACCCGAACAAAATAATCCTGTAGCGTGATGTCGTCTTCGTCTCCGCCAGCTAGAGTGACGTATTTAGCAGAGATATCGGGATGCACATAGGAATTATAGAATACATACTAGAGATTTGTACCTGCGCCGTATCCCCAAAGGAGAGATGCTTGGATACAAGTACTGCCCCTGAAGTTTCTCCAGAGTGAATTAAGACGTGATAGAGAGTCCGTAAATAGTACAAGCAGAGATCTATATCGTCATCTTCGGTGAAAGCAAGGGGTTCAGGCAGAGGCTTCTCAGCTTGGAAGTCTTTTCCAACTTCGCGAAGAAAAGGTATTTCTCCAAATTTCATAACGAAGAGTAGAAACAATCTGCGTTCAACACTTAGCAAACTAGTGACAAGCACAGGGAATCATTGTGGAAAATTACCTATCAATGCCAACCATGTTGCTGAGCCATGATTTGACAGTCATAAACGACTGCGTCCTGTCGTCCAACAGTCCATCAAGCACAAGCAATAGAGGTCGTGTCAATATAATCTCATAATGGTCAGTCCCGCTAACTCTTTGGCCAGATTTTGCTTCCGCTGTAGGGATCTTTGGCCCACGCCGATCAGATTGGGTATCTTGAATAGTATGTGACCACAAAACACCAAAAGCACGCCCGATATCTGCACCATCGCCAGCGCTCTGGTTCACTATGATACTCGCAAGCGAGGCTTCAACATCACGACGAGTAAATGAAATAGCTGCCTGAAGTTGCCATAGGCATCGGACAGTTTCCACATGATATTTGGGCTCAGAAGCTGAAAGATATGACCATGCGTGGCGAACTAGAGGGTGCACCAGCTCAGACAACTCTGAAGTTGAAATTCGTCCAACATGATGAAGCTGCGTGATGAGATGTAGAATTGAAGAAAAGTCAGAAAACCTCAAGGGTCGTTTCTGTGTCACCTGTGCCTTTAAAGAGGACATTAACACTTTTTCATCAAATCTGTAGGTTTTGGGAACTTTCAGCAAGATGAGGAGTAGAATTTTGATGTGAAAGCTCAAAGAACAAGGTGAGTCCTGCTCGGCCGAATTATCAACAATGTACTTGACTGCTTTGTCCAGAATCAATTCTCCAGTTTCTATGTGAGTGAAAGGTATTGGAGAAGCGTCAGGATTTCCTTGCCCCTGGACATAAAAATCCTGGATTCTTTTCAATAAATCTTTGGCTGACGGTGACGTAGAGGAACCAGAGTCTTTCTTTTGACTGGCTTTGCCCTTGGACGGCTCTGTGAAAGCCCAGCCCGGCACCAGTTCCAGGAGCGAAACGATAATGCCAAGGACTTGTTCTTTAAGAGATGGGTTAGGGCCATCCGGCAGACACAGGCTATCTTTTCGACTCGCTGCATCCTCTAACATGGCCAAAGCAGCGAGACAGGCCAGGGGAGCATGGATTGTGCTCATCTCTCCGTCATGCACATTGAAATGGGCGATGATAAACTTGACCAAAGAGAGTTTGTCGCTTCGAACTTCACTGTTCGCTTTCTGTGAGCTAATAGCTTGATCCAGAAGTCCAACGAGCTCGCCGTATATTAGACCACCTTCAATGCCATCGAAGAATACACTTGCGCTGCGTAGGACCTCTGTAAATTCTCCCTTGGCCGGGCCTTGATTCTGAAACTGCCGCACGCTCTCCACCACGGGAAGAAAGATGTCTGGTATCACCAATCCACCAACTTCCAACTTGTCCATCAAAGAAAGACAAATACGATAGGGGCGGGTTCGTTCGGCAACTCCACCGTGTGAAGTATCTTTGATCATTTCCAGTAGGGCTTTTGTCAGAGATTGTAGACCAAACTGCTCGAAATAGTTTGTTCGGGAGGATAGCAGAGCCTGCTGCCCGTCTGAGGCGCTACCATGCAAATCTTGGTTGTGTTCATTTTCGTTGCCTGTTGGCTCAGGGCCAAGGAGCCATGCCCATAAGCGACGATTTAAGCTCATATCTCGTCGGGTAACTACTCCAACAGCCGCTCTCAAGAGGAGTTCCAGATCACCAGGTTTAACAAGAGATTGTAACACTTTGGAATTCAGGGGGAGATGAGAGACAAGTAGATCAAGAAAGCCACGCTGGATCAGCAGCTGCTCATCAGAAAGTCCACTGGCAAAGCATCTCACCAGCAAACCTGGTTCTGGAGTCGTAACAATCGCAGTAATTTCACTGCTGACGCCGCCTTGTTCTGTACCATTCTGGTCATTTTTCTCGCTGGATGTCAAAGATGGATCCGAACCCAAGATAGGCAGATTCCGCACCAAGTAGGCTAGAGCACCAGCACGGCGGCCATGGCTTGTAACAGAAGCTAGAAAGAAGCACTGCCAAAAGAAATCGTCGCCCGTGGCATGTTGCTCCGTGAGAGCGACGCTATCTGTTGGTCGGATGGCTTTCTTGAAGCTCCCAACCAGTCGCATAGTTCGATCGAAATCTTCGCTAGTTTCATCTTCTAGGCCGGGTAACAACGCTAATATTATTGATTTCATAGCTGGACGTAATGACCTGGAATCGACACCCGTGAAATGACGCTCAAGAAGGTCGAGATATGGCGACCGGACGGAAAGCGATGCAAAAGAGAGAGTGGGTGCTAATCCAGGAAGATATAGAGGGAGGTCTCGCGAGAGCCCGTCTTTTCCAATCGCTTCAAATACATAATTATAAACTTCGAGCGCCTTCTGGTGTACACCCGAGGGTAAAGACGGGTTTAAGCATTGTGATAGACGTTTCGCGACGGTGATCTTGGAGGGAATAATGGCGCTGGCGGGCGGTCGAGCTTGTAGACTCTATCCAAGAATGTCAGTACATCATGCTGAGAAAAGAATTGTCCGAGTCGTATTGTGGTGATATCTGACCTTGAGGAGCCTGTTCAGGAAGGATATGTAGTCAGCCCATTCCTCTAGAGCTGTTTCGAATAAGAGCAGCGCTTTGTCGACTCCGGCAGCGTATCGACGGTATGCCTTGTCCTTAACCGGGGCATCTCCTAGAGTCTCTGGATCAGCAAAACGATCAAGAAAAGCCATTCGCAATGAGGCCTACCCACCTCCGCCGAGTTGATTCCTCCATTGTCGTGGAATGGGCGAGTCCCGCCCAGAACTCTCTGGCGACCCGGAGCGTACACCAGGACCCAGTTCAAGCGCCATTATGCCAGGCTAATTGGTTCATGGGTGAGATCAATGGCAGCAGTGTTTGGAGGTCAGAAAGCGAGTCGCATAGCGGCGAGGGACGGCTGTAGCTACAATGCAGTTGCCGGACAGCCTCACGATGATTCGCCAGAGCTGAAGTCGTCCAGAAGGCTACGTTTCAGTGGTTGCGCCCAAAACGCGGGAGTCGACAGAGCTAAGGTGCCGACATACGTAGCCAACCCCACTATAGGTGCTTGATTGGCACCAACTGACGCAAGGCTACAGGCCATGGCGGCCGAGTACGTACCGGCCACAGCGGACCCGACAGCGCTTCGGAGCTTTTGCTTCTACAGTGGCCTCGAACTTCCTCCACTGCTCTATTCGATCCGCCTCTCTCTCACTGTCGCCGCGGCCAAAGCGCAATGGCATGATGGATGGCAAGGCTGTCTCGATAGCAGCAAGATCGCGCAACCTTCTAGCCCTTGCTAGATGAGTGCCCCCTAGGTTCCGCCCTCCTTGAGATGCTACAGAACTGCGCGCCACGATGGGACAGGAGAGCGATTCCCCCGTCGAGGAGCAACCCCCTCCGCTCCCTCCTCGACCGCACGCGAGGAGCGTGAGCAGCGCCGTAGACCAGAAATCCTTTTTGGGCGAAGCGACGACTGCTATAACACCTTTAGATATTCAGACCCTGTCCTTCCCCGACGGGTCACGAGGAACATTCTCCACGCATTCTCGCTCTGCGTCGACGCCGACAGGCAGCGGCTATACGTCTCCCAATTACCGACCAAGCAGCTCGGGGGCTGATGGCGACGATGCCGCCAGCATCATGAGCTTTGCGCCTACAATGCGCCCAGCGGGAGATATTGCCAGCCTGTTGACGTCCTCGCTCAGCAAGAAGAGTGCCGCATGGAATCTGCTAAAGGCGCAAGCGGCAAGTGTCCAGCCGTTTGAGAAACATTACAGAAGCGCCGATGATCGACTTGCCGATTTCGAGAAGGAATTCAATGCGCTTCCCGACGAAACAAATGAATACTTCAAGGACGACGAAAGGTTGGCCATTTGGCGGTCAAAATTGAAGCAGTACATGATCCTATCTTCCGCCGGCAAACCCATCTGGAGCCGACACGGAGACCTCAACCTTATAAATTCCTCCATCGGAGTAGTACAAACCATCATATCTTTCTACGAAGGGTCCAAAAACCCTCTCCAGGGCTTCACAGCTGGCAGCACCCGATTTGTGGTATTGACTCAGGGGCCACTCTATTTCGTAGCTATCAGCAAGCTTGGGGAGAGCGACTCACAGCTACGAGTGCAGCTGGAGGCTTTATATATGCAAATCCTATCTACACTTACGCTGCCTTCTTTAACCAACATATTCGTGAATCGGCCGTCTACCGATTTGCGCAAACCATTGCAAGGAACCGAAGCCTTGCTATCGTCGCTAGCAGACAGCTTCACGAAAGGGTCTCCCTCGGCATTGCTCAGCTCATTGGAATGCTTGAAGCTGCGCAAGTCTCAGAGGCACACAATCAACAATACATTTTTGAAATCAAGAGCCGACAAGCTGCTCTACGGGCTCATTGTAGCAGGGGGCAAGCTTGTCAGCGTCATACGGCCACGGCGCCATTCTCTTCACCCTAGCGATCTCCAGCTCATATTCAACATGCTCTTTGAATCGGAAGGCATCAAAGCTGGAGGCGGCGAAAACTGGATCCCGTTGTGCCTGCCGGCCTTTAACAACAAAGGCTATCTATACATGTATGTCAGCTTTTTCGAGGGAGTATCGGGCGAACAGGCGACGGCACCCGCTGCGGCCGTGGGACAACCGGTGGACGAAGAGATTGCCATGATCCTCATCAGCGCGGACAGGGAAGCATTTTTCAGCCTCAAACAGATGCGAGACGACGTCGCGCAGCAACTGGCGAAGAACGGTAGCCTTGCCATCATCCGGGACGCTGCTCGTGCTGGTCGTCCAAGCATGGCGCAGATCGCGCCGGGAAGCCCTATTTGCCATTTCTTGTTTAAGTCGCGAGCGAATGTGCAATTTTGCATGTCGAGCCTAGAGCCAACCTTCAGCCATCCTGTAAAGAGAAGACGTCTTATGACGGTATATCACGAGCTACAAGCCTCAACTCATGCAAAGAACGCGCATCTTAAGATTTTGCAATGCGTGAGCGATGATTCTACGTCTTTGGCTTGGCTTACACCTGCTTTTGAACTCTACTGCATTGGTGGGCCTAATTTGTCACGAGCAGCAATGGCGCAGGGCGCCAATAAGATTATGCAATGGATCAAGAGAGAAGAGAACCGATTGTTCATCATTGGCGGCGGTGTATTTTGACACCTTTCTTTGAGTTCATAAATCATTATCATACAAATTGCAGTTTTATCCAGCCCCCCCCCCTTATCCAGTGCCACTGCCTTGCCTCGCATGTACTATCAATGGTAATGTTAGTAAAGACTGAAGCTGCAGGTTGCTGTTTTTTTTTTTCCCTTGAGCCATATCAATTTATTATCGAGTGTTTTCCCTCCCCTTTTTCCTCTTTGTTCCTCGCTCCTTGTCGCCGTCCAATGTTTCCGTTTTGGTCCTGTTTCAAGCCGGCTTGGGAATTTCGGCCACAGTGATGATGGTTGAAGGCTGAGTGTGATTGTTGCGTTTGACGTATCCCGTCTCCATTGGCAAGGTGCTCATCCTCCTGGAAGCCCTACTCGGGGGTGGTCGTAAATCAGAAAAGCCTTCGCCAGGGCGCGAGGGGCGCTGCCGTTTGATGGTCAACGATCGCTTGGCCCATTGCAGCACCTTGTCGTTGACGCTCGCCCGGCGCTTGGGCAATTGCACCCAGCTGTCGTCGTAGCTTCGCGGAGGCGGCGGTGGAACCTTGTCTTTGCTCTCCACAAAGTAGGACGTCTTGGGAGGCGGAGGGTCCAGGAAAGACTCGGAGAAGGGGGCGTCAAAGTCCTCGTGGAAACGAGGGCTGCGGATGGGGCTGCGTGCCTGGAACTGGAGATCCGGCTGGCTGGCGGCGGGCATCAAGAGGTGGAAGTCTGGTTTGCGGGAAGCCATAGCGAAGGTGATTGTATTTTTAGGTAGGTAGGTAGAAATACTGAACTGAACTGTCAAGCGAGCGTGTTATCAAAAGAGTGTGAGGGTTTGAACGACGGTGGCAAATCAATTGCTGAGAAATAGGAAAATTCAGGTCATTGACGCAGATGGGCGAGATATATGGCCACAGCAGGTGGGATGTTTTGGCTACAGGGACGAAGAGCTCTCTTATAAGTGCTACGAGGTGCTCAGAGCTCAATCTCCCTGGAAACGTGCCGCTGGGACGTTGTTTCAATTTGCAAAGTTTAAAAAAGGACCGGTGGTTGACGAAATGAAAGAGAAACTCTGTAATGTCTCTCGGAAGGGCGGATAAAAAAAGAGACGGGCGAGCGAAGGGAACAGAAAATTTCAATGCCCTATGACTCTCCGGCAGTGTAGCCAACGAGCAGCGCAGAAATTATTAACAGATGCAGCTAATGGCCCGTACCACCACGGCGTTGAAAGGATTGCCGCATGTCATTATCCACAGTGCCCCTGACTAGAGCGCGTCGTGCTGGTGGAGTTGCGGGGGGCCAGCCAGTCAAGATCCGGACTTGTGCTGTAGGGCCCCTCTCCAGGGGCACTGCGGCGCTAGGGTTCAGGCCCGGTAGCGGCCGGCAGAGGCCACGCAGGGCACGCTGTGGCCTTGGAACGGTGCTGGATGGGTGGCCTGGCCTCGCACTTGTGATGCCGAGGGACCTGCGTGCCAAAGTCTAAAGGGCTCTTGGGAGTCTTGGGGGCCTTTATTCGAGCAGCGGCTCGTGTTTGCTTGGGACTGGGCGTTGTCGCTGTAGTGTTTTCTTTGTTGCTGTTATTGTCGTCGTTGCAGCTGAGCGAAGTTGGCAGATGCGCTCATCTCGTTGGCCGCAACACCCACCACCGCTTGTACCTATTGCTGTCCATCTCTTCAATTTTTAATCTCCGGTCATGTTTCTAGAACAAATGTCCCGGACCCAAAGACAGACCCAACCGCTACGCTATCGTCGGTACCAGTAATACAAGCCATTAGAAGCGTCCTGTTCCGCAGTAGCTGGGCGTGGCAGGCTGGCAAAAGCAGTTCAACGATCAAGAGGGGGCCCCCCTGCTAATGAAGCACGTGAGGCATGCGGGCATGGGAAAATCATTTCGCCAAAGAGCCCGCATAAACGAGAGGAGAATCACCTGTCATACGTGTGATTAAAACGCACGTCCACTACGCCGTAGTGGTACTAAGGCGAAACGGCAGCATCCAGGCGGTGGGAAGAAAACAAACATTGAAAAAACACGACAGAGTTCAGCTACGTCTCGGATAAATGCAGGGCTGCACCGCAATTGGCCGAACGAGAGACCCGGTCCTGGTTCCTGGATCCTGCGCTTGCGAAGCCAGAGCCCATCTGTCATTGATAACAAAATATGCTTTCAGCTGCTCGAGATGGCTGCAGACAACAACGGGGTTATGGGGAATTCTGAAGCAATGGCACCATCTTCAGGCACCACGTGTCTGTGCGATGACCTCATTGGCATGATACAGTTTGCATGGAGGACTGCGTTACGAGACTATAAAGAGCAACGATGCTCAATTAAACCCACGGAGCGCCACACCTACTAGGTAGTGGTACAAATAGTAGCACACAATTCAAACGTTCAAGTTCTTAGAGGCCACATGATGCCCAGGACTTCAGGCATTCTCCCGGGGCAACATCAACAGGTTTGAACTCTAAAATGGCTCTTCTTGAAACTACAAAGCTGATGGATGCCTGGTGTTTTCGGCAGTTGGAAAGTTGCTACTTATCTACCTACCTCCTAGTATGTAAGCTACTACCGTGGAAAAGTCCAGAGTCCAAGTTGCATCTCCAGGGTAGCGGACGATTTTTTGCGGTCCATGTACTGAAATGCTGTCCTCGGTCCTTTTCCAGCGACGATCTCAAGTACTAATAACACCTTCCTTTCATCACCCACATTCATGAACTGGCATCTACCGATTCTTAGGCGGCAGCATGCATTCTTAAGCACTTTATAATATTCTATTGAACATTCTGACGGCCTTGATAGAATTTAGGTACTCAAAAAAATTACCTCTAGGATCAATACGAAAAGTCGCAGCACGATACACGTATTCCTTATACTTCCGGGCAGGCACGCCCGTGTCCCTGGTGCATGCCTGCATTCCAGTGAAAGTGATTCATCGCAACTTCCTCCTCCACTCGCTCCCATATTTCATGCTGCCAGATGGACCTTCCAATGTGCATCGCGTCTTTCTCGCCAAGATGCCGACGCCTGATCAAGCTTCTTTGCCGTGGCCCGCCCTCTTCATCTGAAAATGTTTGTGCCAAAAGTGCTGGTCGCCTCGCCGTGTCTTCTTGGAGTTGGTTTACAGTTCTCGTGTTCTGGAGGTTTTTGATTTGCAGGTGTCGACCCGTCGTCTTTGGCTTTTCTGCTTCTTGTTCTAATCCCTGAGCCCTTCTTTTTTTTATTTATATGTGTATGATAGTTTCGCCTTGCCCACCCCGTCACAGCCAGGACTTGCCGCGTTTCCATGGATGCTGCTCGACTACGACAGAGATCTGCCAGTCATTCCTCGCTGCGCAGCCAGTATCGATATCAATCCAGAATGATCAACTACACCAACCCTCGTCCGCCAGCCCAAAGGCATCCGTTACGCAGAGTCAACGAAAACCCCGCTCTCCTACGCTCTCCTGGTCCTTTGGAGAGCATGCTCAAGACCACCACCGAGACAGGGGACATTGGCATCTTTTCCATCAGGCCAAACTCCTCTTCGGCGCCCTTTGATCGGCCACACAGACCCAGATTGCATCCCCGAGATGTGGATTTGTTGCTCCCAGCACGCTCATCGGGCTATGATGAAAACTACTACTACCACTCCGACGACCATAAAAGACTGCGGCCATATCGCGACACCACGTCCGAAATCATATCTCTCTATGGTTCTGAAAGTCAGCACACTCTTTCGTCATCAGTGTCCCCAGCCAGTCTTGAAGATGATCCCAGGTCGTATTCAATGACTACAACCAGCTCAAAACGAATCCCTTCCCAGAAATCTACCGGTACATTACAAAGCCAATCCAGCGGAAGTGGCTTTCAACGTCCAAGATCCCCCTTTCCTTACCCAACCCGATTGAAGCGCCCAGGAGTTCGCCCGGCATCTCCAGCTCTGAGAGAGAATGGGGATATTGACTACAGTAGGATGGTTGAGCTAGAGCGTTTTTCTCAAGTAGGCCTCCAACTAGAAGCTTATAGAGGAATCTCTTCACTGACATCTTCTTGTAGAGAACTATTCACGGGTCATACAAACCTACCTATATCCACGGCTCTCGAAGGCCACCTCCGCTTTCCCTTCGTGCGGAAGCCAATAGATCAACAACCTCTCTGCCGTCGAGACCACTGCATTCGCCTCACTTTTATGCACCGGCATCTTACCATGCTAGGCCGCCCAATCCCTCCATGGCGTGGATGCCCAGGCAACCAAGTAGAAACCAGCCATATCCTACGGATCAAAGCACTCGATCGGCCAGTCTTACATCCATTGTTGAGATGTATGATAAACCAATAGCTTCAAATCAAAATTGTGCGCCTCCTCAATCGACCGGCTCTATTTATTACGACTACAGTGAACAATTTGAAGACCGGCCACCTTGGGATATTGACGTTGATGTGCCGCTTCACCCTATACCACAGAGAGCTGAAAATATTCGCCAATCTCTGCTGCTAATGGACAATATCCAAGGACGGTTTGATATTGGTGAAAATGATTCAGACTCATCAGAATCCATTATGCAAGAGGCTGAGAAAGACTTGATGGAGCCTTCGCACCTATCAAACACTAGGGAACGTCATTCTGAGGGAACAGAAGCAAAGCAGCTGACTCTCCCGGATGAACATGTTGCCACGGATATCGAATGCTCTGATTTATTGAATTCTATTGAAATTGCTTTAAATTCAATTTCTGATAAAGAGCAAAGTCAACCGCCAGCTGTTTCAATTGAAGCGTCGCCAGTTACAAAAACAGATACCGCTGATCTGGGTTCAATGATGAGCGATCCAGCTTCTACGAGGCCCATCTCGCCTGTGGAAAGTTCTTCTAAACTTTTAAAAGCAAGCTACAATATTGAGGAAGACCTTCGAAGCCAGCCATCGTCCCAAAATGGCCGTATATCGAAGCTACGGTATTCGCTAGATCCAGCACTGTCCGACTTTGCTTCTGTTTTATCATCTTTTGACCGCATAGCAAGAGTGTCAATTTCGAAAGACAACGAAGCCCAATCGAGTGGCGTGGAAAACAATGAATCATCTGTATACCAGCAAGGCGAGGCAGAGGCAGTTGCTTTGAAGAGACCGAGCGAGCGATCGCCCCCGCCGTCCTCAAACAAGGCTGGAACAGAGGAGAGGGCGTATCAAAGACGTCACCGACGACATATCGCAACAATGATGATTAGTACGACTGATGTTGCTTCAGATGGCTTTTCCCAAAATAGCCCTAGACGAAAAGACGACGTGCCAATTCTCTCGCCAGAGCCCATTTCGCCTGTACGCGAGCTTAGAGTCAAGGAGAGTATCCCTCAGCTAATGAAATCTTTGCCCCCGCTGCCGAGGGAAGCTCAAAAACTATCGGGTTACGGCACTGTAGGCTCATTACCACTACCTACATGCTTGGGAGACGAGCCTTTGATGCCGAGCAAAGGTGGACCTTCAGGTATGGGCCAGAGATTTTCGTTCGTTCCTCTGTCAGGAAGCTCGCAAAACATGCAGTCAAAATTCAGCACAAAGGCTGTGGCATCATCTCCTTCACACCGAATCATTGGTGATGCAACATGCTCTGTTGCAGCCAGCAGGCCATTGTACAATGTCTTGCAAGATTGTGGACATAGCCCAGCGGGGCAGCCAAAACTCAAGCTCAAAGCGTCACATAGCCAACTTGACCCAGTCCAAGTTAGTCAGGGCGGTCCTTCTCCGTATAGCAATCGATTGAAACAGTGCAACTCCCTCGCAGAGTTGGCACCCTGTGATAAGAATGATGGTGTGGATGAAAACTTTAATACAGCTATGGGTGGCAGGACGCAAGTATCGAACTGTGAATCCAACAGTGGCAGTTCGGCGATGGTAGACGAGAAGTCTACTCGTTTTCAGCCGTCTCCTCAGTTGTCAGATCAATTCAATATTCCCTATCCACCATCGCCCACTCAAACTGCAGTTCACTCAAGTCCTGTTACACCAAAACTGGGGGTAGTATTGGCCGAAGCGCATAGATACGATATCAGCTCGAGTGAGCCACGTGGGCTGCGAGGTAAATTATCGATGCTTCGGTTGCGATTTACCAGCCCACAACAATCAACTACCGCATCAGAGGAGAACATATCTATGCCTTGTTTGGGCGAAAACAAATTCTCGACGTTTCCCACCGTGGCCAGTAAGGGAACAGACATGACCTTTGGGGAAATGAGTAGCAATAAATACCTGCCACCTCTACCTGAGATGGATAAAGCAGAATGGCGTATAAAGAGGTGGGCACGAGATGTCAAAAAGGCTGTTCGACTATACGTGAAGAAGACATTGGATCGATCTCTCAAAGCAAACTCGTGAATTACGGAGCCATTAACAGCTGGAGCTTGGCAAAGTTCTAGATGCGGTGGTCAGCAATAGGTACTCGGGTGATTTTGGGCGCTTTGAACAGGGTTAACAGCAACACAATGCAAGTGTATCAACAATGTTAACGGAGATATCCGACCATGAGTGGGGGGATGGATAAAGAGGGGAAAAAGGACGAAAAGATAACGAACGGAGTACTACGGAGGGTTTGTAGGAATATGCATGTATTCTAGTTTACAGAAATATTTAGAGCAGTTATGTCTAGACGCTTAAGCTAATGATACACCCGCTTATTGGGCCTTGATAAGCAATATCACTTATTTTTTGCCCATTCAGTCGAGATTTAGTACTGGCGAACGAACTAGTTAGTGAAGACGGAGGCGCAACTCCGTCTCCATCAAGGCGATCCAAGATTTAGCATTAGCACTAGTAGGTTAGATACATGACACAGAGATGTGGATCTTGATATTCTGGGGTAAATAAGTAGCTATACTACTTGTATAAATGGAATTGCATGTGCTTTACGACGGGCCATGTTCAGAAATGCTTGTATATATCGTCCTATGAATCTAGACTGGGCTGCCAAATAGCTTTAACGGTTTCAATACGATCTACGCCTAGAAGCACATTTACAAGCAAATGATTCAAACCTTGATAACAACAGGGCAACAAGCCCGACTTGCATCTCGAAGCAACGCACACACAACATCAACATCAGGCTTTGCACCTGGATATTTACAAGCCAATCTTATCATTTTGCCGTCACGGTACGCAAGCGATTTCCGTAATCTTTGTGCCAGAAACCCCGTGCCATGCCCACTCATCGCGGAGTCTGAGACGACGGGATGCGGTGATGCGGTGATTTCTCATATCAAGACCCTTCGCGGCGACGAGATTCTTGGGAGAGGAAGCGACCTAAGGCGAGACGCACCGCGATACATGGTATACAAGGATTCGAAACTGGAGAAGAGCCACTGCAGCGATGTCACGGCGGAGTGGACGAGCGACCACGTTGCGTTTCTGATCGGCTGCTCATATTCCTTTGAGGCGGAGCTGACTGCGGCCGGACTCCCGCCACGGCAGCTGGTGCTGGGGAGAAACGTGCCCATGTATAGGACGACGCTGCGGCTGTGTCCGTCCGGGGTGTTTCGGGGAGGCACATACGTGGTGTCGATGAGGCCGTATAAGCGGCGGGACATCGAGATGGTGAGGGACATAACGAGGAGGTTTGGAGCTACGCATGGGGAGCCGCTGGACTGGGGGTGGAAGGCGGTGGAGAGGCTTGGGATTGGGGATATTGATGGGCCGGAATGGGGGGATGCGCCGCTGGATGGAGATGGGAGGCGAGCGTTTGGGCGGATGAGAGTTGAGGGCGAGGTTGAGGATGGAGATGAAGATGAAGAGATTCCGGTGTTTTGGGGCTGTGGAGTGACGCCGCAGGAGGCGGTGATGAGGGCCGGGCTGGAGGGGGTGGTGATGGCTCATGCGCCGGGGCATATGCTGGTGCTGGATGCGCGAGATGAGGATATTATTGCAAGCTGATGGTGATGGTGGTGATTTTGAGTCGATGGCTTACATTGAAGTCTTGTAAGTCACAATGGGGCGGCCATGTTTGGGTTATTTGGCTGCACTCTGATCTCTCCATCTCCGTTCACTGGCCTTTTTTTTTTTTTTTTTTTTTACATCATGATCATTGTTTTTTAATACAGAAGCACATTCGAGCGACATGAGACGAAAATTGATTGTTGATGACGTTGGATTCCGTGTCAATTCGAAGCAATGTGGGCGGCACCACTATTAAGCGACTTAGCGTCGGAGATGCTGGCCGAGATGCTGGCGAAGTCGACCAACGGGGAATCCGGTTTTCCTAGTGCCTCTGGAGTCCATTCCCAGCGAGTTGCGCTGATTTCAATCACTATCCATAGCGCTAGCAAAGGGCTGAAGAAGCGCCATCTCGGGACGCTGTTTAGGTCTAATCATCTGATGCATCTCTCGTCTCTCACGTGTCACGTTCTCTCTCTTCCTTTCCAGAGTTGTCAACTTGGGCGGAGCGGAGAAAAAAAAGAGATTGACAACCACTAGCCAAGACCTTCTGTCAACTATACTAGCGATTGTCTTGATATATCCAGGCACACTTTCTGCCAACCTGGAATCTGGCCTGTAGGCGATAGGAACGGCGCGATGGAGGAACCGCTCCTCGGTGACTACTCTGCCAAGGTGTCGTAAGTCTCAAACGTTGAGTCTCGCCAAGCCCGCTACTAACACGCCAAACTGCCAGCTGTGAGCGATGCCGTCGCCGTAAGGTCCGTTGTGGAATCTATTTTATGAAATCATCTCTCAAGCCCTTTTGAAGCTCATGTCTTGACTGTAGATCAAATGCGATCGAAAGCGTCCTTGCACCAGATGCGCCAAGGCGGGGACTGAGTGCGTCCTCCAGGGCATTGGAGAAAAGCAACGGTAAGCAGAGGTTGAGAAGAAACCATTTCCAGTTTGCTGACGACGGCATTCGAAAACAGACCTGTTTCAAAAAGCTACATTCAAGCCCTGGAAGGCCAAATCACCGCACTTGAGCAGGTCATCCGTAAGCTCGCCCTCGCGAACGGCGACGAGCGAGATCAGATCATCTCAGATCTATCCTTGACCACGGGAGCTCCCAACGGCTCCCCATCAGATGGCGGACAGGCCGATCCCGAGTCAGATGCCGGCCTTGCGGCTGCGCGGGTCAAATCTGGCCAGCTGAGGCGATTGAGGGGAGACAACGCGGCTCAGTTCTTTGGAGGCACAAGCGCATTGCAGATTCACTTTTCAAAGGAATCATCTTCGTCGTCCCCGGCTGCGGCGAGTGCCATAGGCCTAGATTCTTTAGCCATATCAACAGAGGGCCCGGATCCCAATACCAACCAGAGTCTCATTAACAGCACCGCGGGTCTGGGCGACCTGTATGGCTACCTTGATGACTTTGGCCTGAAGAGCGCCTCTTTCCAGTACGAGCCCCACCATGAAACTTCGCAGAAGCTCATGTCGACCTTTTTCTTGGAGATTTATCCATACAACATGGTCGTGTACCGCGAGTACTTTTTACGGGACTACGATGTCGGATCTGGCAAATACTATTCAGACGTGCTGTTGTATTCCATATGCGCCCTGAGCGCGCTTCAGTACGACGACATGCTCAGCCTTTCCGACGTCTTTTCGAACCAGGCCCAGACTCTCCTCTACTCTACCCTTGATAGTCCTGACTTGACGACTCTGCAGGCCCTTGTTCTACTTGGCTACCGTGAGATTGCTGTTGGCCGAGCATCCAAGGGCTGGCTGTTCTGCGGCATGGCTTTCCGCCTCGCGCATGAAATGGGCCTCCATCTCGATCCGACCAACTGGGAGGAATCTGGCGAGTCAAGTGGCGAAAGAGAGATTCTGCGGCGAGTCTACTGGGCTGCTTTCATGGCCGATAAGCAACTCAGTCTCTACTTTGGCAGGCCTCCGGCTCTGTACCCCGGCGAATCGGACGTGCGGAATACCATCCGGCTGCGATATCCCCCTGGTTGGCAGGGTCTCCTTGAGACGTACATTTGCAAGGGAGCGTCAGCAAATGAGTGGGATAACGGCGTTGCGCTCGTGGGCTCATTCATTTACAGGGCGGAATTGTCCAAGATTATTCACGTCATCATCACTGACCTGTTTGAGAATCGGAGAGGAGGTGCAGACCCAACCATAATTGCGACCAAGACGCGGAGAATACATGTGCAGTTGACCAAATGGCTCTCAAACCTCCCCAGCTTTCTGCACTGGAATCAATGGACGGTTGGCCAGGTGCCTCAAGTCGTTTTGCATCTTCAGTGAGTTTTTACTTTTGAGTTTTTCTTCTGCATTCATTCAAAGTCTTTCACGATGACTGACTATTATAACGTTTTTTTCATCAATAGCATGATGTTTCACACCATCATGATAATTCTCCATCGGCCTCCATCGCATATGTTTGAGAAGCCAGGTATTGCCGACAGCGAGGACGTGGAAATATGCTACGAATCTCTGCAGGCAATCCTGCGTCTCATGCGAACCTTTTCTCGCTACTACCGCTACAGGTCATTGCCCTTGGATTTCGTGCACACGCTGTCCACCGCCGCAAGCACAGTCATGATGAAGCGCTTCCTGCAGAAGGCATCGTGGAGCGACCCGGACATTGAGCGTGCGCTGTCGCTCATCACGCTGGCCATGGACGAGATCCAAAACACCTGGCCTTGCGTGCGAGAGGTTAGGGACGTGCTCTTGCAGGCGCAGCAGACGCAGGCGTCGATGCCACCGGAGGATCCTCTGGATGCGCCGGATTTGATGAATGGGCTTGAAGTGAACAATGAGTTGTTTGCAAATCTGGGAGACGGCGACATTGGCACACTTATGACAGACGAATTCTTGAGCGCGCAACTCCCGGGAATGGGTCTGGAGCCATTTGATTTCAGTCAGATGCCGGGGCCTTCTTGAGCAGCAGGTTGTTTACGTTGGGTCTTTGACTCTTGGAGGGCTAGATCTCTTTTGACAAAATCTTGCACAACCCCCCATCCTGATCTCTTACTTGCACATACTACTTGGACCCGTACTACTAGCAGTATACGACCACGGCACGTCACTTATGGAAAAATGATTCGTTCCGCGACAAGACAGTTCATTGCTGCTCTCAAAAGACCCATGTCAAGAGACGTTGGGTAATAAGCAGCTAGTAACATTACGAACGTTACATGGCAGTTTATAGAAGGCTGGACAGAGTGGTCAAAAGTGATGGATCGGACAAATTTGCTCAGATAGCCAGGAGGATGATGCCATGCGGAGCCGTGCAGATCTTTGCTTGGGGGAAGGGCGATTCACCGCTACGTGCGCAGCCAGACAGAGCTGTCGGAAGTTTTGAGCAACGAGCCGGCAGTGGACCTGACTTGGGCTGAATTGCTACAGTATGAGATGGACACTTGTTCCACTCGGAGTGTGACACACAGGCAATCATGGGCAATCATTCGGCACCGATGGCTTTGAAACAAAGTGTACCGACGGTGGGTGGTTTTATCTGCACTGGAAAGGGATGAAACGGGATACAGTGAATAGATGACCAAGGATTCATTTCTAGGCCCTGACGTGGAAATACTTTGCAATAGTATCGAGGCTTGCAGTTTCATACATGTACAGGCATCAATTTCATCGTTGTGCAGTAACGGACGAACAGTAATAACGTACCTTACAAAGTACCTACCTAGGCACCTAAGCAATCATCTTTTTATGATCAAAGTAACAAGTACGAAATATCATTGCCCATTAGCCGTAAAATTACTAATCCGCTGATTAAATCCGCATCCCTGCCGTATGCCCCAACCTGCACTCCATACGGAATATGTGCAGGGACTCAGTTAATGTTTTTATATCCTTTGTTCGCCGATCGTGTTCAACGTGGTGAATGTGACCGAGAGTGCTCAGGGTGAAAACACGGCGCTGCTAAATATAGCAAACGATATTGCCGAGCCGAGGCCCTGTGCATCCATGGACAGAGCCAGGCCTTGATACTATTGGTGTCGCTCCTTCAATGGTCTTTCGAGGCTTCTTTTTCGCGAATATTGTACCATGCCTGGAATCAAACCTGGCGATGTCTGTGTTGCAGCCTGGGGCGAGAGATGCAGCGATGAGTACATGTACGTTGTACAAGTAACGGTAGAGGCGATGCCCCCCATGTGATGCTAACTTTTTAGGTGATTACATGATTACATGAAAGGAGCTGTGGCTTTTCTCATGTACTTGCTACTAGTAGCTCAGCATCTGCCACGCCGGGCTAAAAAAAGGAACACGCCGGATTTGCTTTGACGGCACGCGAGGCTTATTTAGGTCACTGTCAATGAGATAGGCTATTAGTTGGGGACTCCTGGGGGAAATGAGGCTGATTATGCTCTTATTGATGGTGCGATTCTTTCGCGCGTTGGAAAGCATCTGGATAGGTGCGCCGCATCGTACAAACTGTTTGTTTATACATCTTACGATATCAAAGCGCCCAGATCTCTCCGGGTTGAGCAAAAAAGCAAGGGCCTTTTTTGGAATCAAAGACAAGACAAACAAAATTCAGGTGCCTAGAGCTTCCCCCCCCCCCCCCAGCGGGGACTGGCATATCTGCACGGCGTGCCCATCAATCGGCTTGTAACGGAACTCGCCCTGACAATCGGTCCCCCCCCTGGTCGTGGTCGCATTCTGGATGTAGCATGTCGGTCAAATCCGTAGCTTGACGGCCCCGAAAAGGATCTGCCGTGGGTGCTGTCTGGGCATCTGTGCATGCACCTGCAGATGCGCTGTGGGTGCGTGAAGAAAAAGGACTGGCCGGAGATGGTCTGGCTGCTTGTAGGGAACTCTGAATAGGCGAGTGAATAGATGAGGATGCTCAACCTCTCCGTAACCAGGCACCTGCAGTACTCATCGCCTTGCCTTGTTTTTCTTCGCAACATCAGGCAAATGCTGGTTGAGAATCGAGCATCATGTTGCCCTTTTCGGTCGTCATCCTGCTGGGGACCTGTCGTGTTAGCTTAGGGCCCCAGCGCTGCCCAGCTTCCACTGCTGGCAGCATGTTCAGCGCTAGCAGGGTGCCATGGGGCGCATTGCGGACGCTAGAATCCGGAGCTCAGCTTCGACGTCGGAGCCTTCCAGCGCGCTCATGTACCGTGCCGCCCGGTGACTCGTGTCAGCGCGCTGCAGGCGGAGTACCGGTACATGGAATCTGCAATGGCGGCCGTGCTACCGCCGTACGAGGGTAGGCGTTCCGGCGTGCGACTTACTTGTACTAGACGTCTCTCAGCCACGCTTCCTCCTCATCAGCGCTCCCTTTTCTGATTCTGCCGTCTTTTTTCGTTTCGCAGTCTCGCTTCTGTTGTTGTTATTGCTATAGCGGTTGCACAGTCGTTTTTCCCGTCTTCTTTTAGCGACACTGCGATTTTCGGCACGATATCTTGAGCATGCCACGTCGTTTCTAAAGGCTGTCCATCGATAGCGGAGCAGCGCCATGGACGACGCCTCGGCGCCGGCAGAGGCGCGACGGTCCAGCATCGAAAAGGCGCCCCTCGTCCTCGATACACCCCCGCCGTTTGACGGTCTGCCAGACGAAATCATCGAGCAGTGAGCATCTCCCCCTTTGAGTCGCAGATGGCGCGGGAACGAATGGCGGGTCGTTGAGACAGATGATGATGTTGTGGATGGAGATGGAAGCGGGAGTGGGAGTGGGAGTGGGAGGGAATGGAGAGAGGGCAGAAAAAGTGCTGCGAGACCAGACAAGCAGGAAAACTCTGACAGCAGCCTCATAGGATACTCCTCGCCACAGATCCCAATGGCTTCGCATCTCTCATGACCCTCAACCGAAAATGGAGAGACGTGTCCCAGCGCCCGCACCTCTATCGATACCACCTCGCACGATGCCCGTCATATGCTTCGTCCCATCACAAGCTGCCCAGTGCCGATGACGAAAACTTGTCCATCCTGCGACTGCTGTTCGCCAGCGAGATCAAGCGCAACCTCTTCGAATCCTACGTGCGGCCGAACGTGACCGTGTTCAAGCTCGTGTCCAAGGCAATCGGCTCTTCGTCATGTCCAGGAGGAGAAGGCATGGCCTTCACCACGTCGCCAAACGGTCATCATGTATTGGCGTATAACTCTTCTAGGCTGTACCTTATAAACACGCAAGGATCCAAGATCGACATACGGCGAGAGTTCAAACTGCTGCGGCGCCCGGTATCGGCATGTGTATCCAACGACGCAACCCTCCTGGCTGTTCTCTCCAACGAGATGCAAGTCGACATTTACGACCTGAAGCAGTCCCCGCCGAAACGAAAACAGTCCATGATTCTTGACAACGACCCACGAACAATTGCCCTGTCGCCCTGCGGCACAGTTCTCACTGCGGCCTATGACGGCGGCATCGAAGTCCAGTCCCTGAGCCGCGGAGCGTCTCCCACCGAAAGGCGTGCCGTCAAGTGCGACGCAGTCGATGCTTTGGCTTTCTCCTTTGATGGCACGCAGATTCTTGGGACAACGCTTCACTCATCCCCGCCGAGCACCGTCGTCATCACCGCACCATACTATGATCCCGGCGCTCTTGCAATGGACGAGGGCGAAGAAAATCTCAGTGCAATGTGGACCACGTCCATTCTATTTCCCAACTCGAGTCGAGACTGCAGCCATGCCGTGCTGCTACAGGATGGAAGCCAGGACGAGGCTGCCTGGGCATTTGCATACGATCGCAGCTTTGAAAGCTTTCGTGCCGTGAGAACCGATGATTTGAGAAACGGCACCACACATTTTACTGGACCGGTGCCCAAAACAGCCTCACAAGCGAAGCTTCTTCCTTGTACGCTGCCTTCGGCTACGTACCATGGCGAGTTGGTGTCGGCGTGCTTCCACGGCAACGAGGTTTGGGTTTACGGAGTACCCGAGGACCTGACGGCAGTACCTGATGCTGCTCTGGCGAATGGTGATGCTTCTGGGTTGGGTAGGAGGAACAGCGCTCAGAGCCACTCGTCGCGATCTCCGTCCATCAGAACGCAGGAAGTTGCTGTGCCCACCGCTGCCAGCGCCAGAGTTCCCCAGTGGCAGATTCTATGTGATAAGCTAAGGAACAACTTCGTGGCGGGGCACAAGACGTCGGAAGTTATCGGTGTGAGCAACGTAAAGTGGGTTTCGAAATTTGGCGATACACTGCTCAAAGAACGACTTATCGTCACTGCTACAGGGGTTACAGGGCCTAGGCTTGTCACCGAAGATGAGGACTTTGACTTTGTTGATGGTGGCAGAATTGCTCTAGTCGATTTTGGCTACGCCGTCACCGACGGAACTGAAACAGAGGTAATTATCGAAGTCGGAAGCGATGATGCCGAAGTCCTCGAAGAGGAGCAACGCGATATAGAAGCCGATGTTGCCATCGTGCGACGAAGGACAGTAGCCCAACGAGGGGGACGGGGAGGTTCACGGAGAGGCAGCTTGATGCGTACTGCAACAGTCGCTGGCATTCATACTTCTCCCACTTCGTCTGCTCAGTACATTGTATCACCCATCTCACCCATATCAACTCGAAGCGCCGATGACGACGATCCCCTAATGCCCAGGACGATGAATCGAATCCCCATCAGCCGCCCAATCATTCAAGAGCCCATCGACGATGAAGAATTCTTGTCGATTGAAGAGCAGGAGGCCCTGGATGCCCCATATGCGCACTCTAGCCCGCGATCAGGGACAACACTGCGCCGAGCAGCTACAGTGGCCGCTGCAAACCGTCGTCTAAACCCACGGACGGCGGACGGCCGGCCCATAGAATACCGTCGGGCAGATGGTAGGAGAGAGCACCCCCATGAGAGTGATGCGGACAATTGGGAGCCACCACCACCGCCATATCAGGCAGATGATCCAGGAGATACGCCCGCCTTTCTGCGCGGGCGTGCTGTGTTGGCGTCTGCGTCAATACCAGTACAAACACAGCCGTACGTACCAGTACAGATGCCTCAACCACCAACTTTGACGATTCCATCAAGCATTCAGCCAGTTCCGAGTTTCGGACCCGGTGTTGGTGCCGTTGATTACAGCGGATCGGCTCATGGGAGATCCGCTAGCGACTCAATATCTGTGGTAAGTAGGCTACGGGTTGATGAGGATGTGCCTCTGCCCTTATCAAGCACATCTGGACCGCTAGATCATGAAGATCTATATGGAGTATCTCCTCCAACCTCACCAGTCATGACTCACAGTCAAGACGGTCGATCTACGGCCTTGTCAGGAGATTCCGTCACGCCACAACCTACCTCAGCGACATCGAATTCTTCAACGGGGGCACACGAGGGTAGTCCTGCCGCTGGAGTTGCCATGTTGCATCCTGAATTTGATTTCGGTGGATCAGGCCTAGGGCTCGACTCTGCGTCAATTTCAACATTAGAGACCAACGACGCCTCGTGTTGCCTTTTAAGGAGGCCCTCTAATGCCCAAACCTGGCCAATGGCTGCTCCGGAAGAAAGAGGTGGCTCGAATGCTCAGAGCGAAACGGCCAACTCAGCTTTACCACCAGCCCCTAGTTCGGACCAAATGGCCAGGCTTATCAGGAGGGCCAGTCAGGGAAATCCACTCAACTTGTCGGGTAGCCTGCTCTCATCGCAAAGCCCTCAAGTACAGCGACCACAGCCGATCGGGGGCTCTTTGACTTCCACTGCAAACGAGCCCAATCCCGAAATCGACCAGCCTCTAATTATCAGTACGCCGGGAGGCGTGGGCGGTGTCTTTGATCCGCCAGGGCGCAGAACGTCTCGCCGAGGTGATATGCCGATCGTAGCTCCTGTACCCAGACGCCCTCGCGCAACAGGCGGCTCTGCCCTCCCTCCCACGGTAGAGAGGCTGGAAACAATCTCTACCGGCACCGAAGCACCCCTAGAAACCAGTACTCTCGCCTTGCCGACGTGGATGAAGGGGGCACCTGCCTCGCCGGGCAGGCAGACATCGAATCTAGTAAATAGACGACCCAGTCGAGCAGAGAGGAGTGCGGCAAAGAATATGCGAGACGCGAAGAAACGAGGCTGGAATGCCAACGCAAAGAAGAGAAAGGACGAGATGAAGAGAGTTACTGCCATCTTGGAGGATGATCGTAATGGCAGCGCCAGCGCCTGGGTGGACGTGGACGCTCCGGCCATTGCAAAGGACCATGATAAAAAATGCAGCGTTATGTGATGAAAGGGAGGAAATCTTTTTTTTTTTTTTCCTCTTTCAAGTTTTTTCTTAATACAGCACGCAGCCGTTCTATGGAATGACTACTGTCGGCATATAAAATAAACGAGCGGGCTGTGCGAGTTTTTATTGGTATTTTATACGGAAAAGGAAATTCCGTTTGTTTTCTGTTTGATATATTGCTTTTATGTGTTGGATATTGTCCAGACAAATACCAGTGGTTGGTCTTTGTAACAGCTTTTTGTTTTGTTTTTTCTTTTTTGTGTTTATTACTTTTTATATTGTTGAAACAATCTACTATAGTATCAGCAACATGGCGTGTCTGGGACGATTATTGAGAAGAAGAAGAAGAGGGATAAAAAGACATAGGAGGGGGAGTTGATTCACTGTCGTTAAGGAAAAGGGCTTGTCCGTCTGTTTATTTGTTACATGGGTTTTTGATTTGAGGCGATTTATATGTGATATATAACTGGCGAGCGAGGTATTGTTTGTGTGCATTTATATGTATATGCATACACAGCTGCATTCGTTACTAATATATAGCTGAGGGAGCATCTTGGAAGAATTATATTGATAGCGTTTGTGATTACGTCTTATGATTCCCCTGCGTTGAACTCAAAACTTTCATTTCTTTTTTTAACATGTATGTGTCATTGTGAATTATTCAACTGCTCTTCATTCTGTATACAAAATTATCAAATCAATCAATAAATACATTACTGCCACAAAGCCAAATCTCAGGGCCATCAAGGCCCGAGCAAATACATACAACCTTTAACCAATTTGATACACCACACCTCAGACTATGCCCTTCTCACCGGGCATGACGAGGTAAAAATCCACCCGAGAAATATCCCAAATTAAGCCACTTTTTACGGCCCGACTCTTTCTCGCTATCCATAGCTCTTGGTATATGCCTGCACAAAGGAGACAAGGAAATCGTTAAATGGATCTTGGAAGATCCATTGGTATCACTCATTCTTGTTGAAACAAAGGAAATGAACAAATATAAAGCAAATACCTCCCACTCTTTGCCCTCTTGCTGTCGGTATGCACATTTTTAACAAGCAGGGCCCCCAAAACAAAGGGAATTCGTGAATATGTAAACAAAAGGGGAGTAGTTAAACAGATGATTGTCGGCGACAAAGGGAACGTATCATCGTATAATGTTTTAGATGATGGGAGATGTACCATCATGATCGGCCTCATATCCTATTAGTGGGCATGGGATCATGAACAAGGTACGGATGTCCACGTCGTACATCGTCAAGATCAGCTTCCAACATGAGATCTGTAAAAGTCGTGCCCTGAGTGTGACGCCTGTCATAGTTGTTTTGCATCATGATAGGATCGGCAAACACATTTATGCTCTCACTCCCGCTAGGCTCTCTGTCTCTGGGAATGTCTTGCGGATAGATTCGGGTGCTGGAAGCTTTCATCGCCCTGATAGGAGCTAATCGAGACCCAGACTCAACGACTCCCGTACGAGCATTCAAGTCGTCCTCTGAGCAGACAGAAGGGTTGAAATTGGTAGGCGAGTGATCCGAAGTGTTGGGAGAGTCGAAAGGATTCGGGATAGAAAGTCGCTGTGAGTGTCGCTCGTGGTAAGAAATCCGGGGCGGTCTCTGGCTCGCAAAAGACCTGATGGAGGGGGTTTTGCGGATGAAATCAGCGCGATAGGAGTTTGGCTGAAGAATGGGGTCAGAGATGATACTGCCGCCGTGGTGGCCGGGACCAGGACCAGGACCAAGATGTTTGATGTTTGCCTTTTCAGTGTATTCACTCTCGCTGTAGCGGTTGCGGCGGCGGATAAACAGGAACGCGATGATTCCCAACGCAGCCAAGACGGCGCAACCTCCCACAACGCCAGCTACGATTGAGATTGTCTTTGGGTTCGAAGCTTTGGCAGCCGGAGTTGCAGTCTCCGTAGAGGAAGAGTCCGGCGATGAAGTAGTTGACGGGAGGGAAGACTCTTCTGCAGGCTGCGTCGCTGCTCCAGTAGTGACTGGCGCAACGACGATCGAAGTAGCGGGAGGGGATGTAGCTGACGCAGAAGCTGATGTAGCTGATGTAGCCGATGCAGGAGACGTTGGAGAACCAGATGTTGGCGATGTTGATGTGGGCGAACCAGTAGATGAAGAGCTGGCACTTGGAGACGTGCTCTGATCAGCGTCTTTCTGGCACTGGTTGCCTCCAACACAGGAATATCCAAACGGACAGCAGAGGTTGGCGCCACATTTCCCCAAAGAGACGTCGAAGACGCTGGTTTTGATCGGCGATTGTGAGTTTTTGCTTGGATCCTGCAAGCTGATGTCGCACGCAATGGGCTGGATCTTTTCACAAGTCTGGCCGGTAGGACAACACAGCGCAGTAGTGTCGCCAGCTAATGGTAGACAGGTTGTTCCCTGAGAACAGCAGAAGTTGTCGGGCAGACTCGTAGGGCAGGACTCTAAGCCAGCAGAGCACTGAGAGTCTCGGATGAAGAGGGAATTCGTAGGCGAGGCTGAGACGATCGGAGCCAATGCTGAACCCAGCAGCAAGAGGCGAGTAAACCGAGGCGAAAAGATCATTATAGTACTCGCAATAACGATAACTCCAGCAAGGCAACACCGATGTTGTCGGTTTGATGAGCTGCTGTGCCCCGTCGAAGACACGATGTCGCCTATGATTTGTATCTTTAGATCGATTAAGCCAAAGGAAGGTGAAGGTTGTACGTCGGCGAGGAAATTCCCCAAGGAAAATAGAATTCCTGGTAGCAGCACAACTGTTGGCTGACCAAGCAGTCGCCCAAGCTGTTGAACAGAATCTTGTGTAGAAGAAAGGAAGGAAAGGGCAAGAAGCAATATTAGAATATGAGAGGGGGTATGAAAGAAAGGCGAGCTGAGCTGTGTGTATTGTGTGTGTTTGATCAAAGAATGAACCGTGTGTGTGTGCTGTCAAGGCAAGTGACGCACATACACCAAGCAATAGGAAACAAGTGCCGAGTGATGGATTAGTGTGCTAAAGAACGTATCAATCATAAACAAGCAAATCGAGAAGAAGAAAGATGCAAGCAAGAGTAGAGAATTGGATTGGGAGAAGAAGAGAGAAAAAACTGGGTAGAGCAAGAAGGCCGGATATGGAGTCAGTCACGTCAGGATATGAGAAACGCTCCCGGGCGGATTACGATACAAGACGCACGAATAGGCGCACATCGGATGACTGTGGCATGCCCAAAGTGTCACCCAGGCGCGTCTCAGAAACGGCATCAAGCTGGCTGGTCCTCGATTGCGCTCCTCCTCGGCGGCATCCATGCTGCAGTCCTGTTCATTCCATCGAGCGCGAGCACGTTTCAAGGCGGCAGAGAGAAGCATCCACGGAGCCCGCACGCTGCACGCCACATGCTGCACCGCCAGCGAGTGAATGCAGGCGTCAGGCTGTCGAAACAGTGGCCCGGTGGCCTGTGGACGATCCAGGACCAGTCAAAGCGCGGCTGCTGGACGGCGGTGTCACTCGATACACGCCGTCATGGCCGGGGCTCTTGCGGAGGAACCGCTGGGGAACTCCAGGTTTGCTTCGTTTTTCTTCTGCTCGTTCGTTCTCACTAGAGAGCTGTTCATGGCGTATTCCTTAAAAGGACGCACGACCGGATGGCCAGAGCGGCATCGAGAGGCCGGGATTCTCACATGATGCTGAACAGCAAACAGCAAACGACTGGCCGTCCGCCAACGGCGCCGGATGGACGATGCGTCATGGCTGGGTCCAGATGCTCACGCACCCTTGAATGCCTTGCTGGGGCTTTTCGAATTATGCGCTGTACGCAGCAGAGACTTGCAAACGCTGAGCCTCGTCCAGCCAAAGATGTTGACGATGGTGGATGGTTGAGGTTTCAGAGATATGCGCGCTCGTCCAGACGGTTGGCGCTCATTGGGCGAGGCAGGAAACGAAACAGTGGAGGTCAGATGCGCTAGGCGCCCACTGTAGCCGCCGAGCAGGCGCTGTGAGCGCGTAGAAGCAGGAAATGCGGCGGTAGACTACAGGGGGCAGAGTGCGCTGTACTGAATGTGCCGCGGAGCATGTACTCCGTATTACAGCATCAGTCGAGTGCATTTTTGAAGCTGGGCGCCTAAGACAGACGGCGCCGAGTGCAACGAATAGAGAGCATCGGCTGTATCGAATTGAGCAATTCATGTTAGTACTCTGCAGCAAGGCGACGCATTTGGAAAATGTCGCTGACAAAGCCCGGTCAGAACAGATGAAACAATGGCACCAAACGAAACGCTCAATGACGAGATCTGCGTACCTACACGCATCCGTCTTCTCTTGGCCATCAGGATGCCCGATTGGTGATGCAGTAACCAAGAGGACATGTTTATTATTAGTAGCATAATCGTAGAAGCCAATATCAGCAGTAAGTTGTGCTTTGCTCTGTCCATCTTAGTCGTGTGGACAACAGCATGTTCAATGCAAGTTCACAACCGCAACAATCTGCACATGTCAAATTCCTACACAATCAAACCCTCCATCGCTTAGTTATTCAGTTGTCATTCAAGACTCCAGTCTTCAAGTCCCTCGGCTCTCTCGCTCTCTCTCTCTCTCTCTCTCTCCCCAACCCCACCTCTGCCCAGCACCACTCCAAATACGACTCTACAATACAACTGCCACCCATCCTGCTGCTACCTTGGGGTTGCAAAATATCCACCGGGTTATCTCTGTATACGGCATGCTGCTCCGTGTTAAGTCCGCTCCGCATCTGCAGAACTACCCAACTAGACTGCATTTTACGTTTATACAGCAAGTATGGAGAGCAGAAATAAGAATAAAAAGAGAGAAATGACCCAAAAAACAGAAGCTAATGCCACTATAATACAACAAGGATGAAAAGACCGTCATCGTAAACGGTTTTACAAACTTGTAGCAGCAATAAAACCGGCAGCATGTACATACATCGTCATCTTATCGCAGCAGAGTGGAACATCTCCGAGGATGCCCGGGAACAAGGTCCAAAAGATCCCGATGACACATCACTTTTTTTTTCCTTTCCCTTGTCATTCTCTCTCTTCACTCTCTTTCTTTACTCATATTTTTTACCTTCTTACTGTACTAGCCAATGTTTCCCGTCTTGCCGCGGTTTCCCCCTTGCTCTTGCAAAAAGGACAAGGGCAAAAGAAAACACACAAGGCAGTGTCCCGCGCACTGTCCTGTTCTCTTCCACTGCGAATGCAACCGTTTACTTTTGATGGAGCACCGTGAGTAAGTTTTCACTCCATGTTCCTGCATGCATGCTGCACTCACTCTCGCTCTTCCTTGTATTTGTAGCATTTTTCCTCGCTCTCTGTAAGATACGACATTGCGTATATCGAGTAGTATATAGAATCGGGCAGATGTTCCATCAGCCATGCTCGCAATTGCTCCAAAGGACCGGCAAGCTTAGGCTCACATCCCCTGACCGTCGTCCATAGCTACCCCTGTAGCTTTTATCCAAGAAGGAGAAAAAGCCCGATTCTCATTCCGTATTTGCCCTTTTCGGAGCCATCTCTTCCTCTGGCGGACAATCCTTCGGTCGCTTTCACTCCGTATTTACGAAATGCCATTCTCTAACCCGGTAGATAATCATTGATAATCTACTGTAACGGCAGCCCTCTATACATACAAGTCGTATTAGTGAAATCTCCAAGCATTGTTTCCAGAGTACCTGACCAACAGCAGCAGCATCAAAATCATAAAACATCTGCTTGTGTGCACATGTACATACTGTATCGTATCCATCTACATGATGTCTAATTTATCCATTTCCTCTATCCATCCATCCATTCTCAACACAATACAGCCCAAACATCTATTCAACCGTTCTGCCATGGGCTCCCTCAGACACGCATCTAGATCTCGTCCAGCTGGCCACTTACACCGACTCACGCCCAGCCTAGACTCAAAACGCGCCAACCACCCCATGTACGCATCGATAGTCCACCACAAGAGCCCATCACGCGGCCGTTGGATCAAAACTTGCCAATCGCCGCGTAAGTAACATCAAATCCAAATACCAGTAATTTACTCGTATATTATTCGCTGTGCGGCACATCACCAGCTCAGCGGCCACCACGTTGGTTCGCACCGCCACTACTAGCTAAGCCTCAATACGTGGCGACTTTCTTGTCATGCCAACAGCAAAATTTCCAACTGGCCCTTTCAAGTAAACAATTGGACAATAGATATCGAAAAAAATTCTTCAAACCCTGTCACTGTCTCTCTTTTTTCCCACCATTCCCAGCCCCAAAGATCCATCTCGGTCCATCTCTCTTCTCTTTGCCACGTTACTCCTACTCCCATCCATCTCCTCACAGTACAGTATGCATCCATCCCATCCCATCACAAGAATGAACACGCCCCAAAAGAAAACAAAACAAAAATCCCATGTGCCAGGATCGGGCTTAAAGTGGCTACACAATTACTGGCATCTATTGTTCCCCGGGGCATGCACGCTGTATGTACTGTACGCACTCGCTCCATACAGTATACAACCTCTTTTTCTCTCTCTTTTTTCTCTCCCCTGTACTCTCACGCCCTCCCCTCCCTAGCAAAGCCAGACTTATCTCTCAACCTTTTTTTTTCCCCTCCCCAGCCAAACTATTTTCGCTCGTCATTCGATTCTGATCTCACAGCTTCTTCTTCTTTGTCTGTTCTTTCCCCTGGTCCCTGGTTTTTTATCCGGTCAGCTGATCCCTCTGAATGCCATTTTCGCTTGGACAGGGGGCCATTCGGTGAGACTTACTTGACAGGTGCCTGAATCCTACTGTACCAATATCAGGTACGAAACAAGTAAGCAAACAAACAAGCAAAATAATGCATGTATAAGTCGAGTCACCATCACCGTCACCGTCTGCATATTTTCATACGTAGTATTTTCCACATCAAGAAAGACCAGTAATGGAAAATAACAATTGCTTCACTACTTCCATCTGCCCGATGTCCAAGCGTAAACTATCCTTATTTTTCCCATCTCTCTCTGCCTCTCTCTGTCTCTATTTACTCTGCACTACCACCCAAAAGTTCCCGTTTCCCCCCAATCCGGGAATTCCCCTTCCTTCCTCTCTCTCTTTCTTCCCCCGCCAATACCACCCTCCATCTTCCACCGGCTGCATCTTGCATATATTCCTAACCAAGTAAAATTTGGCAAAATCATTCTACCATGTAATTCACAAGACTCCGCACATGCATATCTCGTAGCATATAATAATGCATCGACATCACAATTCAAGCCATCTCACCCGAAAAACCCCCCTTGTCAAGAAACGTGTCGTGTAAAGTTAGGAAGAACCATCAAATTGGTATTTTTCAGCAAGTTCATCATCCTCCACGTAGAAGAATGATGATGATGACTGATGACATATACTATATATCCTTCTTTCAATCTCCTCGCTCTTGTAATCTTTCCGTGTCCCAAGGACCCATAACTATGCTAGATGCTTCATGAAAACCAGCCATCGAGGCTATCCACCCTTCCAAGGGCTGGAAACAAAACAAAACCCTCAAAGACGCCGAGCCCAATGCCAGCCTGGTATATAAAAGTATAGCGAGTGCATTACCACATGCTCGCAATTTCAAAGAAAGGGGGTGTAAAAGAAGAAGAAAAGGGGAAAATGCGTCACTCATCACCGTCCGCCATCCAGGCAGACTTTCTCCAAAATCTCGTTAGTTTCCTTCCAAGTATCCAAGCGTTTCAAGTATCCAAAAGTGTTTCCAAGTATCAAAGGCTTTCCCAGATTCGCACAATCTCTGTTTAAAATCCGCAATGAGCTCTGCTTGCCTTGCGGCATCCTCTAATAGTCCCATGCCAGTTGGGTATATGTGAAGTAAAAAGGCATAAAGGTATCAAACCTTTACACTGGTAAAGAAATTATAAGATGAAATAAATAAGATGAAAGATGAAAAAAAAAAAGGCAAATGCCTGCTTTGCCTTTGCGGCGGAAAAAGGAAGAACATGGAGCAAGTAGCTACTTACGCAGGCTCTCCTGCTTTGTCGCACCTCAAAGACCAGCTTAGAAAGATACGGCCAAAGCTCGCCTACATGAGCAGGTACTCCATGTTCTGCATCCGCATGAAATCTCGCCAGTGGATATATGGCTGGGCCACATCTGATCCGGTGCTGTCGGGCGTTCCTTGCCTCGACACATTGTCATTGTGAAGCCAGAGGCCACGCAGCACCATGACCATGCGGCCAAAAGAGCCACAGCTGGCCTGGTCGCCAAGCTGCGCAACACGATCCTCAAACAGCATGCGAAAGTCGGAGCCGGGAAGGCTGATGGAGCCACACAAGAGATAGACCCAGACCAAGCTGCTGTCATAGCCCTCGGGCCCAGAAGGAATAAATTGCAAGACATTCGTAAGCTTGTCAACCAGACTCATCGGCGAAGGCTGGTTGGGGCTGAACCCAGGCACCAGACTGCACAGGTAGATGCGGGCCGCAAGGCGATAGGCGGCCGTGATGTTCTTGGAAAGCTGCTTGGGCGACAGTGTGCCGTTGGCGTTGTAGGGCATCTTGGCAGTGAACTCATTGACCTCGGTGAGGCTAATCTGCTCGCCCAGGGCAGACACGTGCTGGCAGAGGGTGAAGTCATCCATGCCATCCCTCTTGAGCGACTCGAGGCACGCAATCTCAGAGATGAGATACATGACTCGGTCCTCGCAGCCCATGAGCTCGCGCAGGCCCATGTAAGGGTTGATTTGAGACAGGTGCTTCTCGCGGTACGTGTGGGCAAAGGTAGGAGACGTTCCCTGCATGGTGGCGCCAAGGATGTCAATCCAGGCGGTCAAAGTCATGTTGAACGGGGTCTGGGTCAATGGGGTGGCAGGGTCCAAGACTTGACGGGGGAGGTCTAGCTTGGTGACCAGGTTAATGGCAGCTTGGAAATGCTGGTGCCACGCAATGTCGAGCAGCTCTTCGCTGTCTGAACGGCCAACGACGCACTGGAAGAAGATGAGCCCGAGGGTAGCCTCGAGGATCTGTTGGTAGTTCTCATCCTTCTTCAGGGACTCGCAAAGCGACCAGATAGTCGCATAGCGATGCCTCATGATGTCGTGATCAAGGTCTTCGTTGGGGCCAGCTGACAGAGACTTTAGGTGCTGGGCTGCAATGCTCAGACAGCAGTGAAGGTAGGTGTTGTTGGACTGCAGAGCGGGGAGAATCAAGTCGGACGCGACTGATCCATGCTGGTTTGTCTCGAGGATTGGGAAGATGATTGGCAGCACAAATTGGATAAAGTGGTCAAACAGACGCTGGTCGTTCTCATCCAGCTCAATCTTGACTTGCCGAGAGTCATAGGACGGTCCGTGGGCAAAGTCGAAGAAGTTGACATTGAGCGTTTCCTCAGCCAGCGACTCGCGGCGCTCCTCATGAACATGCTCGGTCCAGCTTCCGGGAAGGGTGCCGGCCGGCAGGACTGTGCCTGCTGGAGGGGGCGGGCAGTAAGTGCTAAAGGTAGAGACTTGGGATTCCTTCAATGTGGGCACATCATTGATGAACATTTGTCGCTCCGTCTTGACATCAATCTCGTACGGTGAGTAGGAGCCAATCATGAAGTCTGGGGGCAGCTGAGAGCTGTAAGAAGAGTAGTCGGGCTGGTGCATCGGGCCGTTGAAGTTGAAGCCGTTTGAGAAGTGAGAGTCGATGGACGCAGACCTGTTGCGGTCCATGGGGTCGGTGTATGTTGCAGATGATGGCACGGAGTGCGACAGGCCAGGGGGCGAGGAAGAAGCAGAGTTGATGGAGGCGTGCGAGGACTTTTCCGAGAGCTTCTTGCGCTTGATGATGCCCTTGATGTCCTCCTTGTGTTGCTTTCGCGCATCGTTGTTGCTCCACCACATGGGTCGCTTATACTCGCATTGCAGGCCGAGGTGTTTGCAAGCCGTGCAAAGAGGCGAGCCCTCGTCGCACTTCTTTCGTCTTAATCTGCACGTGTAGCAGCCTAAAGGGAGTCGCCCGTGTTAGTCTGCGAGGGTCACATTTTCGGCAGCCTCAGTTTGCAGATGAAGATGAGAAGGAAAAAGACGGGGAAACAGAAAGGGAGAATCAACCAAAACAAGGTATGATTTTCAAGGCATGTTAAAATAAAAATGACACGACTCTTTCTGTCGCCTCGATGTGTAGATGATTCGGGGGCAGCTGGATTTGCAAGTATAAGCCGTGACATACCTGTTCTTGAGCGGCGATGCATCTGTGTTCCTCGTCGTGAAGCGCCATTGCTGGTCTTGGGAGCCGTCTTGGCCTTCCCAGACTGTGAAATCGCCATGTGTACGGAGTTCATTGATGCTCTTGACAAGATATTGTGGTGATTGGGGGGCAGGGTAGACATTTGTAGCTTGCGATGCTCAACCACTCGAGGTACCTTTTTGCTGCGACCAGGGGAGGGGTGTGACACTTGCACAGTGAGGCAGGGGTGGCAGTTGATACTGTGCTGGACCGGGAGATGCCCGCACTGTACGTCTTGTCTGGTCTGTGGGGCTGGGCAAGGAGCGGGACGAAGAGCAAATCCAGTCAATGCTGCCGCTTTGGTGTCCGGGGGCCAGGTCTCGGACGATGGGCGCGATAAGGGTCCGTATCGGTCTGCTGGAGGGAGCGTAGCGGAGTGAGGCTGTCCTGCCAAAAGCTGGGGGGCTCGGGTCCGAGGTTGCAAATATTAAATTACGTGTCTGTGTCTTCAGATCTGAGTGGTCGGTGTAAGTCGTGGCGGGCGGTCGTATCAAACAACGGCGTCGCTTCGTTTGTCCGTCAACGGAACTGGGTGAAATTGCGCGAAATGAAGGCTGAAATGTGCCTGTGTGTGTGTGTGTATGTGTGTGTATGTGTGTATGTGTGTATGTGTCTAGAGAATGACTGGATCCAAGCAAGTCCGGCTTGCTTTTCACTGGAGATGTGTAGTAGGTAGATCAGAGGAAGAGGAGAGCGGAAGAGGAGGGGGAAATGGGGATAAAAGAGAAGGGGAAAAGCCTTTTGGCAACAACACTTGGATACTCGCACCTTTACGCCAGAAGAAAGAAAGAAAAAAGAGGGCTAAATTCGACAACGACAGGAAGGGCCATGACTTATATCATGGCCGCATCTTTGACGGCCAAGTGTTGCGCTGGCACGAGCGATTCCGCAAGGGAGCTCTCGCAGCTCAGGTTGCTATTTTTAAAAACAAAATGGCACTAATTATGTCCATCTGGCAGCCAGCACGCTTGTGCCCAGCTCTGCGCTTAGGACAGCCAATGGGCGTCGTGTAGCCGCCGAGCACCGCTGCTCCCTTGGGCAATGAGGGCGGTGGATGTGCGGATGAGCGAGCGACCGGCCGGGGTTGGACCAACCACAGAGACGAGAAAATTCCTTCTGTATGCCTGTCCGGACCCGCGTGGATGTCACCCACACCGAACGCCACAGCGGAAGGAAATGGACGATGCTACTAGTAGTACTAGCAGTAACGCAGATGCGTGCTTGTACCGATTTGTACAGACTTTGACAGATTTGCACGCATGGGCGTCGGGGCCGCGGTCAAAAGCCGTTCAAGCAGGTCCCAAGACCAAAGGCCAACCGCTTCCTGTGGCCTAGCTCGCGGACGAAGGCTTCCCGAACAATGTCCCGTCTTCACCAAAGCGTGCTGCAGAGAGGGCCAACACCGAGTCCCTGTAGCCGGTATATCGTCTCCGGCGGGTGGCCGTACGTGCTCCTGCGCACTCCATTGTGCGTGAATGTGCACCATACAAAGGTCGCACTTGTACACTTGTAAATGCAGGACAACCGTGGTCTGCACCAAGAAACGCCGTCAGAAATGCGGCTGTGGCTCACAATGCCAGGATTTACTGAACAGGAACGAGGTGCTACATCGTACATGGCAGTACGAGTGGATGCAGCTAGAAAAAGCTTTTGGGCCAGGGTGAAGCTGTCATGGTTGCTTCGCTCTCCATCCTCTATTGGGGGACCTAGCCTGCATCGGGGACCTGAAAGCAAAAGCGATACTATCGCACCATGCAAAGTACAAGTAGGTGCGTGTTTACACAAGTAGAAGTAGATATCAGTATAGCATTTGGATAAAGCAGGCCGCAGATCAAAGCCCCCATGCGAGCACTGAGGATATCCTCTTCATGGCCAGGGAAGATCAAAGTCTCTGCGGCCATGATCTGTTGACAGCAGTGTATGTCTGCGCACATAAACCGTGATAAGCCATGGATCCGACAAGGTTGCGAATCTGCAAAAATAGACGTCCAAAGATTAGCATTCGCACTCAAAGGAATTGAAGGTGTGGTACGACTTTGGTCTTTACGTGACTAGGGCAAGGTGCAGTCACCCGGCATTATTGCAGCTACTAACAGCAGGATTGTTGGTGCGGCAATACCTGCATGCCGAACAACATAATAGTACCGACTGCGACCTACTAGGGCAGCGTACAAGCAACGCTCGCACTAAGCAGGTACAGGACTGGACGGTCAGTAGCCGAGTGGGATGAGGAGAAGGCCGGGTACACGCGAGTAAGGTGACCTCACTCTGCATCGACAAGTACAAGTACAGACATGTTGGTCCGCCAGACAAATCGCCCAGCCCAGAGCGCAGCGGGTCTCAGCAGCAGAGAGAGACGCTGATGCTTGCTGAAGGGCAAGAATGCGCATAGAGGAGCGGGGATGCAGCAGTTCCCTGTGGGCAGCCGGTCGACCTGCTGTTCCCCCGCAGCTGCCGAGCAATGAGTACAGGCGGTGGTCTGTACCACAAGTACGAGTACACGGCCCAGTGTAGCCACACGGCGTCAGGTACAAGTACTCTGTACCACTCAGCGACTGATGATCCTCGTAGTCGTGGTACCTGCTCTGTACGATGATGCCCGCGAGCTGCCGGTCCAAGCAGGCACCCACAGCAACTTGCGGGTCGAGCATTTGACAAGGTGAGGCCTGCTTTGTGGCGGCAGAGTTGCGAGCTAGTGGCCTGGGCGCCGCGTGCAGAATCCCCTGCGGCCACGTTGATTCGCCAGGTCGCTGTGACGAAGTGCTGGCTGGTGCATGAAGCGGCAGGGGCCGCGGGACCAACCGACTGTAGCGCCTGCACTACGCAGGGAGCCATCCCTGCCAGCAGACCACCTGGGGATCGAGATTGGCTCATTTCTGCTAAACGGCATGGCCAACTAGCAGGGCTCGGATGGAATCAGCGCAGCCAATCGCGGGCGCTGGCCACGCCTGCAACGCTCCGCTGCGGGACCCAAGTCCGCACGTTTCGACCGATCTCGAGGAGCGCAGCGCAGAAACGACTTCCTTCTCTAGCCTTTTTGTCGACGCTGGCCTTTTGTGGCTGCCTGGCAACCTGGGTGAGTGAATAAAGACGGCAAGAGTGGAGCGGCCTCCTCATGCGAGGTAGCATTGGAGCAAGTCCAAGTTGCTCTGCTCTTGCAGTTTCTAGCTGATGGAAATGAGTGGTCGCATTTGCCTATACCGGCTGAATTCGCTGCCGCTCCACCTCGCCGGAGAGACGAGACGAGATTTACGGTGGCCCAAGGCAATAAATGTGCATTCGTTATAGAAACGTGTTTGTTCTACATCCAAAGAAAGGTAATCTAGATACTAGAGAAGTGTGCATGTTACTAAATCACTGAGAGGGTGGTCTTGACTGCGAGATGGGTGATCTGGACCTCCTCCATCCAGAACACTCGAAATGAGACAAAAACGGCTCTGGTAGCATTCGAGAAAATGACAAGTAACAGCACTCATCGCCAAAGTAGGCAGGCGGGCAAGACATCCCCTGCTCCTTCAAAAGAAAATCAATTAACCCCTCACTTCGGCCTTTTTTTTTTTCTCTTCCCAGGGCTAATTTTGGCCACGGATCGCTTCATGGCCTGCCGGGCGCTTATACAAGCTGTTTGTCATGACGCGGCAAATCACACTATTGGCGCTATCGCGGTGCTATCGCCCAGCACGTGTAGCCTGTAGGCAGATGGCCGCGTTGCGAGAGACCCAAGAGCTGGATGCTATTTTTATTTTAGCCCACAATCCTGCGTCTCTTGCGGCTTTGGTCCAGTGATTCTGGCCAAAATCCTTCCGCTGCGGACTTTTATCAGATGCCACATCAGATTACCTACTGTACAGTAGTCAAAGGCTTGCGCTTGTGCATCTGCGTCTGATCTCGGCTGTCGCGAGCCGTTAAGCGCCCAGGCCAAGGTAGGTGTGCTGTTCATCACACTCTGATATTCCAAAGGCCGCAGGTTTCTCATGATGCAGAATCGCTTATTCTCGTCACATCGTCGTCTCGCTTCTTCAGCTCGTCTATCGCGGGAGTATAAAGGCTGACGGGCTCGCTGGTGTACCACGCCTTTCCAAGTCTTTACTTGTGTTCATCTTGGACGTCTCTACTGTACGTAATACTTCGGCTCTCGTGGAAGCCCCGCGTCTCCCAACAGCTGTTGGTTGGCCTCATGCGGCATGTCGTGCATCACTGGTAAGTTCCAGTCCTCGACTAACACCACTAGTTGCGGTATAACCAACGACTACTAACAGTACCACTCAGCAATAGTAATAGTAGCAGCAGCATTACACAAACTATAAGAATTCTTGGAGCTCACGACTTGGACTTTTAAGTTGCAAAACTGAAGTGATTTTCAAGACATGCTACAGGGTATGACACGGCACCCGCTTCCTGATCTATCGTCAACACTACTACTGTAGGTATCTTAGCACAATGACTCCTTCTCCTCTTCTTGGACCGGAGGCTAGGATCGATATACCGTCCTTGCGCAATCTAGCTCTATTCCGGGCCACCGACGATAACCCCTCACTCTTCGATCGGCTATTGATAACAGCAGCAAGATGCATGACTCTGAAGTCCGACGCCAACGAAATGCCTCTCGAATTTAATACGGACATTTTGCACCGATGTGGACATTGCGGCTGCCGTTTCTACAAACGCCGTTCTCCTCTATCCGCTTTAGCAGTTAAAGGCTAGCCTCGGCACTATCATTTTAGCTTATTACAAAGACGAGGAGCAGACACTTGCGCGATCTCGACATTCAAGGTAATGTGGCGTTTCTCCGTCTCCCGCTACTGATAAAGTAACCATTTCACGTAAATGGCAACCAGTATCTACCTTGATGCAGATACGCACGCCTCGACTAACGGCTTAGTGCTCAGCGCCGACTCAAAAGGCCGTGCTAGTGCATGGCAGCTTCGAGTCAGTCGTTGTGAAGGTACTGCTTGAGGAGCAATGCGGATCGATATGTTGCGATAGGTACTGTAGGTAGTAGGGCAGGTTCTCGCACGTCCGGGAAAAGAACTGGGCATTTATCCGAAAAAGTCGATTGATCAAATCCACAATACGACTTTTAGAGTAGTATCCGTCCAGTTCCAATAGCATCGCCCTGTCTTTTTAAGATTGCTGGGTGACTTGTATTATTTCACAACCAAAGAAGGGGGGTAAAACGACGGCGCCCCAGGAACAAAGCCGAGATACGTGAGTGGAATTACTACACGTAAAACATGAGAACAATCTCTTCCCGAGGCATGCCAGGCCACATCCCCAGATGCAGACACAGTATATGCCCACGGAGTACAAACATTCACGACGCCTTATTACTACAATGCTAGATACCGCTATCTTAGTGAGCGTTGCGGTGGATCTCTCGGGTAGTGTGCTTCCGAAGGCCTTGAAAATTTGTCTCTGCGTGTGCTCCGTGCTTTGGTGCTTGAATTATGGAGTTTACTGTATGCTTGCCGGCTTGAAAGGGTAGATTTTAGCGTTGCAAGCTGAGAGCCGTGATCCATCATTCTCTTGATCCAGAATGCCCCCATACAGCTAGAGAATCACTCCTCCGTATCTACTGCTCCTGCTTCTCAAGTACCTCTGAAAGTACTCGGGAGTCGGTCGTGATAACAGGCCGATCGCATTGGCTCGAGTCACAACACACACCAGTTCGACTAGGCTCGTCTATGCTGTGGAACTCTGGGCGAGTTGCGCACCATTCACCACGCATCGAATATTGGGGCGCATCAATTCACGGCCATGTGAGCCTTTGAGAATGGGGGGTTCACGCAGGTCATTGGCCGGGCCGTTTGATGCTCTGGTGTTTGAAGCCAACTATTGACGGGGTGAATGGAAATTGAGGAACAATGCCAGCCAGTGGCTGCTGCTGCTCGTCTTTCCCTGATTCCTGTTTGGTGTTTAGTAGCTAGTGGCTGGTGGTCGTAGCACGAGGAGCTTCTTCCCCCCTCACAGCCAAGCCAAGAAGAGCCCAGACTAGGGACTGATTCCTTGTGCACTTATGTACGTCCTGCCGCACTGTGACGAGCGGGTGCTATTTCCTAGCTGGTGATCATCAGGGTGCTATCAAAATTGGCCTGGGACCCTTGGGGTGTGGGCTCTGCAGCTCGAGCTATCACACTATTCGGCCGGATCGGATAGGCTCATTGCCCACAGCACCTACTCGCATGGGGTAAGCCGAAGGATTTTGTGCTTGTTCACCTGCTTTGCAGCAGCCCTGCGAGCGTCCTGCAGCTGGGCCGCGGCATGTCAACGAGCTTCTCTCCTCTTGCTCCTGCTCCGTGCCTCCGTCCGTGTACTCACTCCCATTCGATCTTCGTCCTCCGTTATGAACTTACGACGGTCCATCCGTCCTCTAGCGGGCGACCTAGCGCCGTTAGTGAAGCCCGTTGATTGAAGTAGAACCGGGCCAACATTCTCCGCGCCCGTATGGCTTTCTTGGCTTTTTAACGTCGCAACTGTGTAAGACACCACGGGAGAAGAGAGAGAGGATTCGACATGGTTTCTTGTTTTTTTTTTTTTCTCTCTCTTCCCGGCACGCCGCACGCCACACCGGCCAGGGGGGGGCTTGCAAAAATTTTTCGTTTTCTTTTGCGTAATGGAAGCCAGGACTGTACTATCGCTCTCCCTGGCCTCCCCCGCCTGGGCAGAGACAAAAGAGCTCCGTTGCACGATAGACTTGTCGGTGAGCAGCGACCATGCTCAAGCCATGATAGCTTCCTGGTCCGTGTACATGCTAGTCGCTGTCTTGCCGGCGCCGTTCCGTTGCCTGTGGTTTCTAGATGCAAGGCATTGGCGGAGACTGGGGGGGGGGCTGGAGACGGGAGCGAAAGCACTAGCATGCGTCTTGTTTTACTTTGTTGGCTGCTAGCTCTGGAGTTTCGGCGACATCTGGCCAGAATGGCTGCGAGCCGCAACTTGATTGTTTGCGCTTCGTATAATCGAACGAGCATAGCATCCAAAGCCATAGCAGCATCAGCTAAAATCGTGCAAATCAAGGTGGGCTGTACAGGCACGTTGCAGGGCACGTCCGTTGCTCGCTTGCAGTCTTGAAATGACTCCAGGACGGCCAAACGATGCGATTGATGGAAATCTGGCCAATGGGCGGCGCTGAGGCCGGTGTCGCTCGCTGATTGGGTCTCGGAGGTAAATTTGAGCCGTGCCCAATTGGTCTCAAGTGCTGCGTGACCTCGACAGCACGTGGAGTCTCTATCGTCGCCGCCCTTCGGCCCTCTGGATTGGCTGCTGCCACAAACACCATTCAGTTCAATTTCCCTCGACTCGAAATCATCCATCTCGTCTGTACTGTACCGTACTGTACCGTACTGTACTTTGTTCTTTTCCTCGTTGCCTGATGCTACGCGTGCCGCCTGGCCCCGTTCTATCCCCGACCCCCGTCCTCTCCAGCCATCAATCGGGCATAAGGTAAGACATACATGTGCGCTACGCAGCTTTGCTCTCAGCGAGGAGCCATTATCGTGCCATCCCCGACCCCCATCCCTTGCTCTTCATCTGCACTCGCAGCACTAGTCGCACGAAATGCCTCTGCCGGCCTGATAGTCGCATGCACAGTAGCGATACAGTATGCACAGGGGCCCTGGCAGAGCTGCTCGTGGTGGCTGGCCCGGGCCACATCGCATGATGGCCACCCCCCCCTCTTCAGGCCGACTCTGGCCTTGGCCATGCTCTTTGGCCCTCGTTTTTCCCTCATCAATCACCTTGGCCGTCGCCAATTGGAGCTTTCCGGCCCTCGTCCTCTGTCTTCTGCTGGATACGATGTGGGGTAACGGCTGCAAAAGCTGACTTGATTCCGAAAGAAAGATCGGCTCCCTGGTCCTGGGTGTCACGTCGCATCTCTCATCTCCCATCTCTCTGCTTGACCTGTGCAGGTCGCTAGCGTATCGAGCTTCCCTGGACGACACCGGCGGACGTTGTCGTGATACCCTACCACAGAGCACGGTGGCTTGCAGGGCCGTGGAGGAGATGCTGGTAAAGGTAGTCGACTACTGCTACCACTAGCACTAGCATTTGCCTAGCTCTACGACTACTCACCATCACCACAAAAGTGTAGTTACGAGCAGCTCGTTTTGAGCTAGCTGCGGCGGACGTGATCAAGGTTGCGCAAGCTCCAGATGCTCATGATGCGCGAGAGCGGCACCGCACATGGAATCTACAAGTGCTGTACTGTGCACGCTATGGGCATGGTTGGGCTCATCATGATTGACCGCCGTGCGGCCGAGAGACGTTTTGTTCGCAGGCCACATGGCTAACTTGTGCCTCGCGCAGTCGTCATTGTGCTAGCATTGCGAAGCCGGCAGCCGAGACTTGCCAATGTCTCGCAATGAAGTCACCGCTGCAAGGGTCGAGCAGGCAAAGACAAGCACATAACTGAGATCTGCAGTCCGTGCAGACCGAAGCAGACCGAACAAGGCAAGCAAGGCCTCGACGCGCCCATCTACCTGCATATGCTTACATCTGGCCCTTGTCTCAAAATTGGGTTCCTGATGGATATCACATCTAATCAGTGTGACGACGTCTGGCGTTTTTTTTTTTTTTTTTTTTCCAGCCAACTCCGCAAAATCAGAGAAGAACTTGAATCGCGAACCGGACCGTTCCACTAGCTCGCCCGAGTTCATCACAGCGCGGACAATGTGATTGATGTGATGATCGTAGCTAGACATTCATCAACCTTTTGCCAACCAACCGATTACCCAAAGAGGCAACCGTACGGCACGGCGTCAAAAGACAAGCCACGGTAGTAGCCGCTAGAGAAACCTATGGCCAGTTTGGTGGGGTCTTATCACACTGACAGAACCGACAGAACCAACACGCATGTGCGTACCGTTCGCACTTACAAGCACAGGGAGAACAAGGCTACACAAGAAAACTCTGTAGAGGCACAGGAACATGCAAAGGATTGTCGTCTTTCCAGCGTGACCGTTTATCCATTTAGCAGCCGAGACAGTCTCAAGCCACTGGCCGGGGCTATTTGCGCTAGAATGCTTTTCGGCCTCACCGACTTGCTGCATGTATCAGTTCCTTTTTCAATACGGAGCATGGGAAAGAGAGAGAAAAAAAAAACGTTGGGTTCCAAGACGGGTCCGGGATGGAGCTTTTTTCGCCTGTTCTGCGAGGGAAAGACTCGTTGAGTCACGAGGCCACAATGACGGCGTCAGATCTTCCACCGCCTATCTTCTCTCGAATGATCTTTTGTGAGGTCTTGGGGCTCCTAGTCCTTGTCTGCCGTGTTGTTTGTTGAGGACCTCGCGATGCTGACGGAGGCGACTCCCCGGGGTTGGCCGGTGATTATGCCGTATCTTGAAATCTCAGGACGCCAATGCTACCTGGATGCATTGGGCCACCGAAGCTTGACAGGTCTACCAGAGCCCGGGATGCCTACACTTTAAGCAAGTGCTTGCTTCTGCAATTCACCGTGCCTGCGAGACCGAGCGGGGATACATGGATTCTGGACGATGACAGGAGCAAGACAGATATGATATGATACCTCACTCTTCTATCGCCTACCGTCTCGCAGCACTGGAAGCTCTACCCATCCTCCCGTGCATACAAAGGTACATGGGCTACATTGAGAATCCTTGCTTGTGCATAAGTGGCCCGCCATTGTCGACCAGGGGCTGTCTCTCAACCTTTTGTCCGCGTCCTAGGCCTATCTGGTCTGCTTGCAAAGAGATCACGGCGCCTAAGCGCCGGCTATATTTGGACGAGTACCGGCGCCCAAGGTTGCTCGTCTCCAGCAAATCGCATGGCCCAGAACCCTGCGAGGCTCCACATATGGAGCTTGTGCGGCAGTATCCATGGGTGGCCACGGCCGTTGACTGGCTGGAAGAAACGACACCATCTGCGAGTGTTTGGCCGTCTGTCCAATTGTTCTCGTCGTCTTCGCGCCGAGATCATGGCAGAAAGCGCCAGCCTCAGGCGCCAATAGGAGCCAACACGGTCGACTCTAGCACTGCGGCCAGCGGTGTCACCCTGTTCTCGTACCGGCCTGTGCTTTGAAATATGCGAGCAGCGCCCTGCCTCTGTTAGGCGGTATTATAGAGTGCTGTGGGACTGCTATTCTTGTCCCCCGCAACGTCCTTTTGCGAGCCGGATCGGTGTGCTCATCACATCGCATTACAGACTAGCTCTGGTGCTGACTACCGGGTGGTGGTCCCTGGCTCAAACGTGCAGTCGTATGCGAGGTTTCGCCCGCAGGACCTCACGGCCGCTCTCATGAGGAATACTTATCAACCGTTAGCCGCCCACCGAGATGCAGAGTTCTCTTGCCCCTTTGCGACCTCTATCTCGTTTACGTGACATCTACTCCGTATCGAGATTCTAATTCCCCTGCTTGGTCGTTTTCTTTTTCTTGCGTCTTTGATTATACCTATTGTCACGTTATAGAGTTGCTTCGATCTCTCTAGAAAGATTGCCGGCGACGGCTACATTGCAAGAAGCAACTCTGCTCTGCTACCTTACCTTTTGCAGGGCCATCTCCAACCTTACCCTCGCTGCTTCTATGTATTAAACAACCCGTCTGGGCGGACAGTTCATATAGAGACAAGACAGCATCGAGTGCTGAGAAAAAAAAATGGTATGGTAGCAATTGTTGTTCTAATTTGCTCTTGACACGTTTTGTCATTCGGCCCCGTCACTTACTTGATATCACCTAGAATTACACATCCTTTCAAGCCGGCGAGAGCCGCACATACCAGGAAATGCGCCAGAGGCCTGCTCCTCGGGACACCTTTTTTAACCTCAAGCAAGAGCCCCAGCAGTTTAGACCGACGTCTGTGGCTACAGAATTCGTGGATACGGATTGGGATGGAGAAGAGGATGAAGTGATTAGTGAGGCGGAAGATAACTCACCGCGGGTGAGCTTGCAATCAGTAAGTGGACCATCTTTTTTTTTTCTTCTCTATTTTCAATCCCTTTCTTTTAAAATCAGAAGCTCGATGCTAACGTCGGGTTCGTGCAGTCTGGGCAGCCGAGTTTCACAACCCTTTCTTCGTACGACGAGGCCCCCACCCCCCGTTCAAGCAGAGGCCCGCAGGTCTATCTGGAATATTCCCCAAAGCAAGTAGAAGGGCCTCGCGGGCCGCACCTCTTTCGATTCCCTGCGGATCAGTACATGAAGTACCCACCAGACGAAGATGTAATCCTAACATTGTCGCCCATGACTCCGCAAGTGCCTCGACAAGTTGTAGCTCATCAACTATCTCGCCGCAACACCCCCTTCCAGTACACTGATGAAGACCTCGACACATCAGAGCTGGCATCATGGACTCCCGAGATGGTGGCACAGTCGATGCTCGATGCCGGTTTGGAGCTGGCGGTCTCGGACCGATTCATTGAGAATGACATTACCGGAGCTATCTTGATGACGCTGAAGTTTGAAGATCTAAAAGAGCTGGATATCTCTTCTTTCGGAATCCGAACAAGGGTATGGCATCAGATTCAGGCATTGATGGATAGCAGGCCTGCCTCGCCCCGAGCCTCGACTCCAATTGAAGATAAGCCGAGCCGCGAAGCTAGGAAGGCAGTGAAGAAGGATAACTGTGGTTCCGTGCGGCGCCACGAGAGCAAGCGCAGACAACGCCGCGGCGTCAATGACCCCATTACGCCAATGGAGTCTGTGTCCATCATCGGCATCGAACAAGTCATTCCAAAGCCTCACAACTGTTCCAAGGGTGAGAAGTGCTCGAAGTGGAAGAAGCAGCAAAAAATCATTGAGGAGTTCCAGAGATTGAATCCCCACATCGACATCAATACAGCCAGCGGCGCGGTTGTCATTTATGGCGACGCAGGAAATCCTGACACGGCCAGGGCCTTGGATCCCAATGAGACGATGCGGCCATTTTCTGATTCGGTTCCCTCTGTGGTGGCATCTTCCGACATCCTCGGCCCTGGTGGCCTGCCGCCTCTTCAATATCTCCAGGAAGCAACTCTTCGGGGTGTACAGGCTCGCGATCCTCAGGACAACGTCCGACAATTCCTCACCTTTCAGCAGACCAATGAATTTGGCGCTGAAGTGCCAATGACTCCCCCATTTGAAGTTACGCCGCCTGCACAGCCTCATCAAGGCTTGCGACGTCTGCCGAAGCTATCTATCCCAGCAGGGCCTCAGGCTGCACGACAAGCGGCTCCTCGAGCCTCTGTGTCACAGCCAACACAGCACCAGCAGCACCAGCAGGAATCCCGCCGCTCTTCTCCCTTGCAACAAGAGTTTGTGCCATACCAGATGGACAAGGTAGATCCCATGTCACCTGACTTGGAAACTGCTAAGAACCCGTACCGATTCGGGACTCCATTCTCTGAGATGGATGTTCCAGTCACTGCCGTGCCCATTGGGCCTGTAGCTCGTGATACCTCTCAGTCGGTGCCTCCCGACATGAACTACCGAGCTGCTCCCACTGCACTGGGCCACACTCGATCCCAGTCGCGAGCCTCTGCACGTCGCCCATCGTTCCCTGTCCTTCCAGCTTTGGACGAGAACAGGGCTACCCGCAACTACCACAGGAACACTTCGCCGAAGACGGCCTCTCCTAGAACCCCAGTTCCCTCTCAACACTTTCAGCAGCAGCAGCAGCAGCAGCAGCAGCAGCAACCCTCTCAAGCTCCTCCTCGCTTCCACTATCCCTGGTCTCCTGTTGACCGTACTACATATGAGACTGCTATCCCTCCCATGCCTTCACTACGCCCCGGTGATTCCCAGGAAGCACCTGCTGCCATGTCTACCAACGGCGTCAGCTTTCAAGGCCCCATGAAGAAGCGCAAGATGCGCATGCTCCGTCATGAATGGCAAGACGGTTACTTTACCTTGAAGGGGACCCGCCTTAACATGCACAAGGATGCCCAACAGATGGACCGTACACTTGAGTATGTCGATATTGATGACTACGCAATTGCCTGCTCCAGCCTCGCATCTACATCAAAGCTCTCTGCTGCGTTCAAGGCTGTCTCCATTTCACACAACCGTGAAAAGAGCGACCCTGTCGGCGCTTTCAGCTTCCAGCTCATCCCTCAAGATAAAAACGGAGCACGCCTTCGTAAGCGTGAGAGCTCTCTCCAGCCCAATGCCTCGGCCGAGGGTGTCAACGGTACCGGCAAGACTCACCACTTCGCCGTCAAAGGCCGTGATGAGCGTATCGACTGGATGCGAGAGCTCATGTTGGCCAAAGCACTGAAGCAGAAGGGAGATGGCTTTGAGATCAGTGTCAACGGTAACATGATTTAAGCTACTTGAATCAAGCTTCGATCCTTTTTTTGATGACTCTCTTTTGTCTTTAACGATTGAATGATTATGACCTGTTTCTTCTATTTGTTCGCTTTATCAAATCTCTCCCTTCTCAATCTCTTTGATTTGTATTCTTCTCTTGCGTGTAGCCAAGCACTAAAGTTGCCTACGTTCATGCACCCCAGTTTTTTTTCTCCTTTTCATCTTTGGCTTCTCTTCTCCCAAAACCTCTTCTTCTCTTCTTGCATAAGACAAAAAATCTGGTGTGTGTATATGCGCGTGGATTCGCAGCGAAGGATTTGATATCCATTTTTGTTTCTATTTGAGGGTTTTAAGATTGATGATACCTAGTTTTATATGTTAGAAACCTTCCTTCAAGGGATTATGATGACTTTGGAAACAAAAAATTATTTCATGCTGTTGGTTTGGAGATTTTTTTTTTTTTTTTTTTCTTTATTTAGCTAGTGGTAGCTGGGTTACATAAATTGATGAAAATAAAAAGAGAAAAATTAGCATGAAAGCTGTAGTGCACGTTTGATGTAAATTGTGAATATTGTGTTATTTGTGACTGTAAATGGCATAGGTTGGCTCTTTAATGCGGCATTTGAAGCTTTGCGCTGATGAAATTCTTGAAGACTTGAGATGTTTGTCTGGCTATGACATTGTTTTGGTAAGAGGTCTGTGAAGAAAAAAAAGGATATAGTAATGACAGTGAGATTATCAAACGTTATACATTGAATATATCTCTTGGACAATTGATGGGCAAGAATTTTGTTTTCAAAAGATCTAGGGTATGAGCCCTTCCATACTTGCTCAGAGAAACTCTATTGACCGGCATCAACTCAATCGCAAAATACTCACCTCATCATGTAGGGCAAATCTCTTACTTTGTACTGTTATATATTTTTGTAGATAGAGCATAGTAAATATATATATGTAGTACTTTTACACTATCTTACATCTATTCCAGCCCGCATCTTTCATACGATATGCTTCCCAATATCGTATACTGAGGGCAGGGCCTGCCGACCATATATCTCTTTTTGTTTTCAGTAATGACACATATATACGTTAGATTTCGCTCCCTTTCCCTTGCTTCTCCGACCTCTTTGATTTCTTTTTTTTCGTCCTCTCCTGACATCAACCACCCCATCACGTCTCTCTCTCTCTCTCTCTCTTCATGGAGATGTTTCTGACATGAACTCGGGGCGCGCCACGCCAGATCTCTGGTGCACCTTTTCCCAATCAATCAAATTCCACCAAGACTCGACAAACGCAGCCTTGCCACCATTTCCACCAGCTCCCACGCCCCAATCCAGCAGCCAAGCATGCTCCCACGTATTAAGACACAGCAGCGGCTCCAGCTCAATACCTCCAGGGGGCAAATCGCCAACCCTCCTCCTGGCACCCAGCGCCTGGCTGGTGTAGTACTGCCTCGCGGATCCCTCGTTGCCAACGGTGTTCATGTCCGTGGACTGCACCCTCCAGTGGGCACCCGGGTAAGGCGAACCGGCGAGATAGGTGGGCAGCAGGCGGTAGTCGCCGGGGCCGGCCTTGACGAGCCACAGGAAGCCCGGGCCGAACATGGCGGAGGCGGTGGCGACGAACTCGCGGCGCAGGGTGTCGATGGAGGAGAAGGAGGCCTCGAGCTCGCGGCGCAGGTCCTCGGGCATGGGCGTGCCGGCGGGGGCGATGCCCTGGAAGAAGAAGTGGTTGTTGTGGGCCATGGAGGCGTAGTTGAAGATGGCGGCCTGGTTGGGTTCGCGGGCGGTCATGAGGAGGATGGTTTTCATGTCGCGGTCTTCGAGATCGGTGCCTGGGAGTAGAGTTAGCAGACATATAAATATGTATATATCGAGAGAGAATATATGCTCACCAGCAACCATGGCGTTGAGCTTGTCCAGCATCAGCTTCATGTAGTCTGTCCACGCAATGGCGAAGCCGCCGGCGCTCATCAGGTTGGGCACACCCTGGGAGTAGTCATGAGGCAGCGCCGGCACCGAATGCAGGCTTCTCCGGGCAGCGTTGAAGCCGGCGCTGAAGCTGGTGTTGAAGCTGGTGTTGGCGGACGATGCGCGCAGGCCCAGGCCCAATGCCTGCTTGGGCGTCCGTAGCAGCCGCGTGCGGAACATGATGGGCTGTGTGTGGGAGAAGAAGGAAAAAGGAGGGTGGTGACCGAGGAATTGGGACGAGGCGGCCACTTTCCCGGGGAAGATGCGGTGGTTTGATATACCAATTGGTGATACTCGAACTTTTTCCCGCCAAAAGTTGGTTGATTGGACTGCCCCACCACTAGTAACAGAGCAGAGCAGAGCACCAGCCTCAATTGCTTCAAGCCACAGATGTGGCTGGTGAACTCATCTCAAAATTTAGAGACGGAAAAAAGGTTAAACCGGGGCCAGCTGACAGGCGGACAAATCGAATCGAAGCGTCATCTGCATCCCCCGCCGCCTGCGCCAAGCCTTCCAATGTACCCGGTACGTAGCGCCTGCCCCGTTGTCGCACCTTGTCCCGTGCGAGGGCCCCAAGTCTCAGGTACTCCAAAGTGCCGTGATCCCAAGCAAGCGCCTTTCTCTGCGCTGCTTAATCAGTGATGTAACCACAGGCTGGCTGAGTCTGCGCCTCTTATGAAATTTCTCCCTGTTTCTGTCTTGTTTTATATTTGTGGTGTACTTGTATTTTCTTGTTTCTTAATTCATCTCGTCTTTTGTTTTTTTGTCGCTTTTGCAATTCGTTTCCCGTTTTGGTTCTAGAGCAACTAAAACTTTCCTCTCGTGACTCAAATTGAGCTGCACGACATCAGCTTCGAGGCTGTCACTGGACGATCATCCCCCCGTTCCTTTCGGCTATAGTTTCGAAGGCGCACCGCCACTTCAGCGCGACGAGAATCCGCTGACCTCGTCTTTTTGTCTCACCTCTCCTCTCCGACGTCCTCTTCTCCCCCGTCCACGTCCATTCTCTTCTCCTCCTCTTTTCCTACCATCTCCACGGCATGCAGTTTGCTCGTGATGCGGCGATAGGCGTCGACGTCCCTACTCCCGCACTTCTCACAGCCATGGCGACCCTCTCCACGTCCGTCGTCTCATCGGCCACGGCCACCGCGACAGCCTCGCCCTCGGGCCCCTTCCACATCGACTCCTCGTCGGGCGAATGCCAGCTGCTCGGCCCTTTCGCCCTGGTGGTGCAGGCGGCGCTGGGCGGCCTGGCGATGCTGTCGCTGGTGTACAAGCGGTGGAGGGAGCACCCGCAGCGCCCCGTCAAGGTCTGGTTCTTTGACGTCTCCAAGCAGGTCTTTGGGTCGGTGTTGGTGCACATCTCCAACATCTTCATGTCCATGTTGACCAGCGGCCGCTTCAGCATCAAGGTCGAGCCGACCGTGGTGGAGAGGCTGGTGGCGAGGGGCGATGAATACGCGCCGAACCCGTGCTCGTTCTATCTCTTGAATCTGGCGATCGATGTGAGCATCTGACCCAAGCTTTTCTTCAAATCTCCGATTGCCGACTGCTAACCATTGTCCAATCCCTTAGACCACCGTTGGTATTCCCATCCTCATTGTTCTCTTGCGAGTCTTCACCGCCCTAGCGTCCTTCACGCCATTTGGCAAACCCAACGAGTCTATCCAGTCAGGCTACTATGGCAACCCTCCCAACGCCTGGTGGTGGCTCAAGCAATCCTTTATATACTTCGCCGGCCTCTTTGGCATGAAGGTCTGCGTCCTCGTCATCTTCATCATGATGCCATGGATCTCCCGTGTCGGCGACTGGGCGCTCGGCTGGACCGACGGAAACGAAAAGCTCCAGGTCGCCTTTGTCATGATGATCTTCCCTCTCATTATGAATGCTCTCCAGTACTACATCATCGACTCCTTCATCAAGAGGAAAACAACAGACCACGAGGTTCTCGCTTCGCAAGACGATGACGCCGATGATGATGACTATGAGAGACGAGGCTCGAACTCTGGCGGCGTCGGTCGAGATAGCGAAGATGAGATTCCTGTCAAGATCAACGGGCGGTCACGCAATAACCTCGGCGGAGAATATGACCCCGAGGTGGACGGAGACGCCCCGACAATTACTAGCAGCAGTTCAAATCAACCCGCATCCAAGCCCAGCAGTGTCTCGGTTGAATTATATCCAAAGGAGTAGTAGCATACTTTTTTACTCAAGCTTGTACATAACCGCTACGACCAACACCACCACCATCACCTCCATCATCCTCACCACCACCACCACTCGAAGTCGTCTGGCACAGGGAGCTTTTTTTGGCACGGACTCAATATACCTTCTGGCGTTATTTTCCTCACCTCTCTTGGAGTTGTGACACTGATTTTTTGGGTTTTCTTTTTCTCTTTCTAACCGTTGTCGGGGTTTTCATGTCATGTAGCGCTTATAAACGATAGAACGGTTCTTTTTGCAAGAGAAATACAACACCTTTTGCTTTTGTTTTTCCCGTTCAAACGTTCGAGCTCACACTTACACTTTAGTATTAGTTGATTCACGATTTGTCCCAAGTCCTTGCTTGCCTTCATCTAACGTGTTTGGACGGCGAGAACCTCAACACAGCTTAAGCTGGGCGGATGGTTTAGTGGTATAATTTTCCCTTAGCATAGTGCAACTTACGAGCTGCATCACCGCCTGGGAAAGGTCCGGGGTTCGATTCCCCGTTCGTCCAACAAAGTAATCTTTATTTTTGGCTTTTTCTCTCTCTGTGGGATTCAGTTTTTTTTTTTGGGTCCAGCTACTAGTATTCTTCTGTGGTTTGACGTGCTTCGTAGTACCTGCTTGGACCTTGATCTTGCACGTGAAATTTTCTGATACTGCAAAGTGCGAATAATCATCCAAGTCAAAGAAACCTTTACATCGAGGAACTGGGGGTCCATTACACAAGTGCCAAAACAATGTCATATGAAATACTTTCTTCATCATATAGTTACGGTATCTCCAATAACTTTAGGTCATACGTATAAAAAGCCCTAAACTATTAATCTCACCCATTCGCACCTCCATAAGTGAACATGTTATAAAAACGGATCCAGGCAAGCAATGCCCTTCAAAGAATCGTAAAAAGAAAACAGCCCAAGCAATCATACCCCAACCAAATATCGTCATAATGTGAGCAATCAAGATAAAGCACCGAAACATGAGGCTTTACTATAACCAAAAAAAAACTGGACCTCTAACTGGTTGCCGATTTGCCCTTTAAAAAACGCCACGCAACAAAAATGCCCTCAAGATATATATGATACACCAACATACGTGTCATGTAGATAGAACCGAATTTAACATGAGCGTCCCATTATCAAGCGGAAGCTCTCTTAGATACCACTCCAGCCCTGTGGGGACGGGCTGTAAGGCTTAAAGCCTGGGTATCCCTCGTGCTCCTCATGTTCGTGGGATTCGCTGGGGCGGCGATCGTAGTTTGGCTCGTCCTGAGGTGCGGGACGAGAGTAACCCGAGTTGAAGTCGAATCCCCCATTGTTGGTGATGGGAGAGGCTTGGCCGTTGTGAAGAGCATTCTGCGGTCCAGGGGTATACGTCCTGAAAGGGACGGGCTTGTTTTGAGGAGTTATGGTGATATCGTTATTGGGGCCCGGAGAACGTCTCTGGTTCAGACCAGGGCCAGGAGACTTTCTCACGTGTGGGTCCGTACCATACGCGGTTGGCGAAGTCTGTCCATCAAGCTCATGAGGAGCTGTTGGCATACGCACTGGTCCGGGGGTCATCTGTCTTGGAATGCCATAGTCATGCTGGTTGGCGATGGGCGACTGGTGTCCGGGGCTGTGCATACCGGTCGTAGGGGCTGCATGATCGTAGGGTTGACTGGCGCTGAATCCATCTGCGACGTGGTTATCGTAACCCTGGTTGGCTCCATTATAGTGTTGATCATGCATGCCGTAGGCTTGGTCGTGTCCATTGAATCCTTGGGCATGTCCGTTGTAGCCTTGATCGTGTGCATTGTAGCCTTGATCGTGTGCGCCATAAGGCTGCTGCTCGTGGGCACCGTAAGCCTGATCATGTCCTCCAAAATTCTGTTGTTGCGCCCCATAGCCTTGATCATGTCCGTTGTAGCCCTGGTCATGCCCGTTGAAGCCTTGATCATGTGCATTGAAGCCCTGGTCATGTCTGTTGAAGCCTTGGTCATGCTCGTTGAAGCCTTGATTGTGTGCATTGTAGCCCTGGTCATGCCCAGAAAATCCTTGATCGTGTGTGCCATAAGCTTGATCGTGAGCTCCGTATGGGCTAGCAGCGGGCTGTTGGCCGTAGGAGTTCATGTAACCAGGAGAGCTGCTTTGCTGTCGGTTGTAAGGATCATTTCGACCCATGGGCCTCTGCTGTTGTTGCTGTTGTCCTCTGAATCCGGGGCTGTTCATGTTCTGAGGAGCAACAGGCTCCTTCTTGGGTGGCAAAGTGTCCATTTCGACCTCCTCTTCCAGCACAATCTGCTTGGAGTTGGCCGTTTCCCAGCTCGGCATAGCAGGGAGGGCATCGGCATTTTGCTTGGAGACATCGAACTCGGCATACTGCGGAGGTCCATGAGAAGCTGGTGTAGAGAAAGCAGGGACCGTGGAGTGTGATGGCATGTTAACGGCCATGGGTGCCTCCTGCCGGTATCCTCCAGATTGCTGAGGAACGTATGGCGCATCGAGTTGTTTGCGTGCCGCTCCGCCGGGAGCATCGCAGCATCCGCAGCAGTTGCCGCAACACTTGAGGCAGTAGCAGCAACTACAGCAGCATGACATTCCCAAGCAAGTGCATCGAACAATGCAAATAATAAGACTTAGAAGGATAAGACCGGCGATGATCATGAGCGCAATAGCAGGCCACCTATAAGAGGAGTAGGAGTTAGTAATGCCATTGTTGAGATGACCATATTACGCGGGGGTTGCTACACGTACTTGCAGTAAACGTGGGCCATGCACCCATCCCAGCTTGAAAAGGCTGCTTTGACGTCTGAAATCTTGTTATCAGCATCCGCGACAATGTCCCTCCGGATGACTTCGTTGGCGAGACTCCTGGCGATACTGTCTTTCACAGTCTCCCATAGGCCGCCCCGAAGGCTTCGGACCATGGCAACATCGACGGCAGGCATCGTGTATGAAACTGATAATTGTTCGTTCTTCTCTCCGGATATAAGATGAATGGTATTTGAGTTGGTGGATCTTGTAGCTCGTGGTGGATGTCGTCCGTTGTCAACTTAAGGACTGTCTAAGTCATGCTCAAACTGACAAGGCTTCGAAGCGAAATTAGAAACACACACAATGCGGCTCAAAATACGGTCGTTGGTCGTAGCAAAGGTTTTGATTTCGAATTCGATGGCAGAATGATGGATGATGAAAACAATAGGCTATGCTCTCGCGAAGAAAGAATGATGTCGCACACTGTATCGATTGTTTACAGCACCAAGGGTAGGCGTGATTCTCTACCCCTTGAAATGACTGTTCGCCTGTGTTATCGTAGCACAAAACGCTAGATTTCTCTCGACGAGCAAAAAAGGATTGTGAAGACGGTCGAAAAACCGCCAAGCAAAAAACGATTGGCTTTAAAGCTCGCGCGTAACGGCGAAGCTCTCAATGTGTAAGAGAATGAAGGGCTGTGCAGCTCAACGTCGCTCGTCAAGACGGAATAAGCAATCTTATCCAACGGAGGGCGCTGACGAGGCGGTGGTGGACTAAGCGCGCGCACAGTCTTTTTCTCTGTGGCTGTATCGTCGTCGTGTTCGTTTCGGTCTCTGTCAATCCCTTCCCAGTACTAATAAAGATGGATTTGAAATGAGGGGCGGGCAATTTGACAAAGAAATCAAAAGTCCAAAAATAGGGAATGAATGTGGCCGTTGGTGCAGCTGGCCATGAAGCAAAAAAGAAGGAATGAAGCCTGGGAGGGCAGAAACGACGCTGCAAAAAAGCAACCAAAAGGAAAGACTTTGGATATGAATCCAACGGGAAAAAAAAAGTTTGCAAGGAGCAGGGAAGAAGAAAAGAGAAGGAAAAGAAAATTAATCTGCCATCGCGCCGCATTGTCCGGGTAGGAAGGGGCGCCTGTCGCTCCAGCTTTTTTATCACGCATCATGCACGTTTAGGACCACGTTAAGGGCCCCGAACCGGTACCATGTACTTGCGTTGTCCTGCTTTTGGGGCCTCTGCTCCTGGTACCGTTACTTGGGCACGCTCTTAGTGCTGCGAAGCATGCAGGGGCAATCGCGGGAACGTGCGTTGCAGGGGTCGCAGCGGCTGGACTGCTGGGCTGCTGCTGGTTAGCGGTCGCAGTAGCAGTACCGGGCGACCAGCTCCTCGCCGCGAGCTGAGCCTCGTACCGGCTACCGCTGCCGTAGCACTCCATGCCCGTCAGCAGCGCCTGTACTCCGCAAAGCAGAGAGCTCGCCATTTCAGGTACCCGAAGGCGGCGACATGGTCTCGTCAGCTCTGCCCGCGCCACCAGCACTTGATACCGAAGCAGACCAGGGACGAAAAGCCAGAGATCCACCCGTCATCACGCAAAATAAGCATCGGCAAGGCGAAAGGTGAGAATAAGGGAAGACCAGAAAAGGAGTTTCAACGTCATCGGTTTCAGCGTATCATGATCCAAGCAAAAGAGATGAAATGACAAGTTGAAAAAGGCTACATGGTAACGGATCCATCAACGTTCTTGCGTGAGCCGAGAAGGGCAATTAGCACCAGAGGATCCCAATTCCTAATGGGGCCGCTAGCAGAGACGGTCGTGGGGATGACAATTTGGACCCTCTTTTTCTTTCTTTTGTCTCTTCTTTTCTTGAAGCAGCTCTTATTCTCTACTTTCACTCTCTTGCCCCAAGATTTGTTTAATGCTGGCTGCAGAATAGTCAATTTCCTTCGTACAGCAGATTTGGCCGCCACACTCTTCAGCTCTCATCCTTTGCAACCTCAGCTCCGACCCCAAAAGCTCTGCTGTAGCTCTGCGGGCCGTCGAACCCGGCCAGTGCTTTTGGCGCAGGCGCACGTCCTCACAAACAGCCCTACTATAACGGACTGAGGCTTGTCTACTCTGTCTTGATTGGGCCAGGCAGGAGAAAAAAAGAAAAGAAAGAAAAGCCACAACTGCTCCCCCCCTGAATGGCTGCATCAGCGTGAAAAAAATAAAAAAGAATAAAAACAAAAATAGATATCTAATACGTAAAAGGTGCTGAGATAGTATGCAAGTGGCAGCACTATGTTATCCCTACTGCTGCTCGAAGTGGGCATCTGAGACCTCAAAAAGGAGAACAGCGAGTGCCCCTCGCGTTGCTAGGGAGCATATCAACAATCAAGGTCGATTTTGAGAGTAGAGGGAAAAAAGTGCGTTGTAGTAGAGATACTTTGAGTTATGGGTAATGTTGGTGCCACTGAGGATAGACACTCGTAACGAGCATCAGGTAGACACTTTCATTTAATGCAGTGGACATGACCACTCAGCGTGCAGAACACAAGCTGACGGCTATTACACGGCTATTGATACTTGATATGGACTCATTTAGCTGTATCGATTAGAAGTACTTGGATATGTAGGACACAGAGCCTATATTCGAAGTGGTACAGAGCAGAGACTGGACGGGATCTGTATGCACTCGGCGTCTGATGCATCTTAGCCACCACGCAATCCCCGCTTCTGTGGCAAGAGAGGAGGCCTCCAAACACCAACAGTCTTGGCTGTATCACTGCAAAGACACCCGCGAAAATCTCTGCGTATCACAATTTCGTCTGTGCGAGTGTCGATGCTGTCGAGCCACAAACGCTTGCCATAGCTACTGCACAATGTAAGGTGCATATCAAAGCCCGATTGTCAGGCACAAATGAAATTGTACTAAAATTAACAAGACATATAATACAGAGTAGCCTGGCTCGCTGCAATTCAGCCGCTAGCTTGGCGCCGTCTCATCGTCTAGGCATATCATGTCCGATCACAGCCTTCTTCCACTTCGTAAAAAATAAAGCAAATTTGGATATCAATCCCCCGTAGTCCTCTTGTTCATACCGAAACGCCGGGCCGACCCTGTCCCCGTTTATCTCTCTCTTTTTTCTCATGTTTTCAGTAATTCTTTTCGTAAACCCAGAATCAAGTCTCAGCTTTCTTCAAGTCGCGACTGGTCCATGTCTGCCTATTTTCCTGGAGGCGGTCCCGCAGGAGGTTGATATTCACCACCGGGGTGGTATGCGCCCTGAGGCTGCTGAACACCATATTGATGGCCGGTGTTGTATCCGTCATTGGGGTTGAATGTGGTGCCCGTTGTCTGGTTGCCCACAGGCTGCTGGCCATATGGCGGAGGGCTGGTGAAGCCTCCGTAACCCTCGCCGTAGGCAGGCTGCTGATAGCCACCTTGGTTGTATCCAGACTGCTGGTAGTTGTTCATCTCGTGGGCATTGTTGTATTTGTTGTTTCCGTTGTTTCCAGCAGGCTGGCCTTGAGGAGCGCCGCTGAACCAACCAGTGCCGTACACGGGCTGCACACCGCGCCTACGGTTTCGTCGTGTGATGCACCTGTTGCGATGAGTGTGAGTATGAATTACGACCAAGAAAGATTGACTTGACATGGACAAGGATGGAGGCGAAACTTACAAGCAGCTGAATAAGAGAATCAAGGCCAAAATGATGGCAATACCGGCGAGCACCCATCGTCCCCAAAAGTACCAGCCGCTCTTGCGGCGACATACCCTTCCATCAAAGAAATATCCATATCCGCAGCCGTCGTCTCTAGCGAAGATATCCACGGTCGGAGCCATGGCTGAATAAAGTAGAGGGAAGACGTGCACCCTTGGACGCAAGTCGATTAAAAAAAGAAGTCCAATAATATCAGTTTTGATTGTTTCCCGCAGGAATTGACTTTCTTCAGTGGCGAAACGGTTGATGTATGAGTCGAATGTAGATGGAGGATGGATGGTGGAAAGGAAAACAAAGGGAGCAGAGAATTTAAAGGAACAAGGAAAAGAAGAAAAGGCGGCAAGGTTCCGAGGGATGCCCAGAGTTTAAAATTCGTGGCCTCAGTCCGCGCCCTGCGAAATTCTGTCTTACTTGGCAGCTGCGACGTGCGTTGGTTGCGACTCTGTATGACGTTGGGAATCGTTGGGGCCCTTGTTAGGAATCAATCAGAAGCCGGGTCCCGTCCGCCACCTTTTTTTAGACGCAAACGCTGTGGCAGCCACTGGGTCTCTAGCGGTTGAGGGTGCCTGTAAGCAGCTTAAAGCTTCTTAGGTAGGTAGGTGCCTGCTTATAGAACAAGGGACGCACAGACGAGGAAGCGTGAGTGAAGTGAGAAGAGAAAGTGAAAGAGACAAGGAAAGATGAAGGATATCCTCATGCCATTATATGCATGATACGGTGGACTGCAGTACATGCCACATGTCAGCCAAGCTGCGTGTGCTCCGGTCCTGTCGGTGTTCTCGCTTTCATGTCATCGCCAAGCATCCAAGCCCAGCAGGCAGCGCCACCGCACCCACCCGCCACGCCAGCGTCGAATGTGGTCACTGGGTCCAGAATTCTGCCAGTTTCCAGCAGCACTGCCCACTGACACAAGATAATGCCAGCAGCAGCGGCATCGTCAGGGCCCCTAGCGCCGGCGCTGCTTATTGCTGATGCTCCGTCAACCGCAGCTGGCGATGTTGGGTTGTTGCTTTTTGGAATCCTGGTGCCTCCTGCTCTTCCATGTTATTTCATTTGAAGGCACAAGGGCGAATATCAATTTACTCGCAGAGTGCTGCGGTCAACGCAAATTCATCCAACGGGAGTGACACGAGACAGCTAACCTATCCAGCAACACAAAAGCATCCAACCAACCAGGCCACGCCATCGGCAAACAAAGCCGCACCCGACAAAGAACGGACTTCGGCAGCGGACGATTCCAGCCGGGACTTGCCTGTCTCGACGCCATTCCACGCGCAGCCATGTTCCCACTGCCGCTATTCACACACGAAGCAATAAGGTTGATGTCTTTGTCTGGGCCCTTGTTCGCATGCAGTGGCTGTGCAGAACAATTCCTTTGCCCACCAATCGGCGCTCTCTCTCCAGCTAAACAGCTTTCCCCAGTTCCGTCTAGTGGATCCCCCAAAAGGCTCCAGGTGGCGTTGTGCAGCAGCAAGCAAAAAGACGGAACGGCGCCATCAAATCGTATTACGGAATACGGAATACGAATGAAATGCGCAGTGCATAGAAATCCCTTGTGGAATCTCCATGTCTGATTCTAGAAGGATAATCCACCTGAATGTTGACGTAGTAAGAAGCAGCTGGATTCGAGGCTAAGCCCTGCAAGAATGACAAATTCCTGCTCCTCTTGGATTCTTTTTCTATTTGGAATGCCTACTTTGGGAAACGGTGGAACAAACGCAGCCCTCGAGGTAGAGATACAAATTGAAGTTCAATAACTATGGCAAGACACATGTTTCTAGTTATAGTTCTACCACGATGGATTAGGAGAATAAAAGTCGGTGCAATAAATCAGAAATGGCCTAGATAGCTAGCCACCTAGCTGTCAGTCAGATGAATGCGTCACTTTTTCTCGGAGCCATAGTCTGCTGACACCAAAGCACCGGTCACAGCAGTCAGAAAGACATAGTATAGTAATTATATATTCCATTTTTTAAAGCTTCATTCCCAGCGTCTATATAAACTCCCCTCCTCGCCTATATATGGAATCTCAGACTAAGTAGGTAGGCAGTATACATGGACGCCATATTACAAGCCTACGTTTCTTTTTGAAAAATGCATTCTTCTTAGCAACTTAACCTTTTCCCACTCTTTCGTTACAACCTTAAATGACGCGTCCTCCGATCTTAGATTAGCACTACGAGTGATGCGCTCATCAAGCTAAACTGGTAGTCTATACGAACGGGCCCTGGAGGATATCCATCTTCCGGTGGCAATACCCTTCGAATTATCACTTGTCGTTGGAGCCAGCAGGAGTCTCCTTGACCAATTAATAGTACCGTTTTTCAATTGATTGGCAAAAACACTCGACGAATAGACGGTGAAATGTTCGAGATGGCATGCTGTTGAATTATTTATCGTATATCGTACAAGAGCTCCAACAGTATCCATTCTACAATTAGGTAGAACAAACAACAAAACAACAAAATTCGTTGCATCGTTTTCGCAAGGAGGCAAGAAACTCCGCCCAAAAAAGAATAGCAAGAAATATAGGAAAAACAGATATGCCCCAGTCAGAGTCCAAACAAATTGACCGTGTACCGACATTGAAGGCAAACAATACGCCCTTTTCTCCCGTGACTCCATGCTCGATCCCGCTTGCGTAAAAGGAGAGTGGCTACAAGGTAAAACTATCCCTTTGCCGTGCAATCAAAGGCCCAACAATATCATCCAAAGATACCAAAAAGGAGGGTATAAGAAGCAAAATCCATCATTCCCGTACCAAACAGACACTGGCTCCCATCGTTTGAGCCCGAGTCGTCCATCCGTCATTGAATATACCGTATAATTTTTTTAAGCCGTAGGTCATTTTGACAAAAAAGAATGGTGTATCGTTATTTGCTTTCATTATCCTTATTTCCTCCTTGCTCCATAGAGGGACCAAAAGGAAAAGCAGGAAAAAAAGAAAAGAGAGAAGAAAAGGATTCAAACAATGGCCTGCAGGATCACTTTGAAGGACCAATTTTGGCCGTAGCCCGATCTATTTGTTTTGTGCACAAAACAAGAAGAAAGGAAAAGGTACAGAGTCGTCGACAGCGTTGGCATCTTAAACCTTGGGGAAAGAATAGCGGTTTCGTCGCATTTCGTCGGCCTTTTTCATGTTGAGTTCGGCAAATTGTTGGGCTTGCTGGCGTGCAGCTAGGGCATTGATCTTTTCGCGCGCTCGCATGAGGCTGCTATTGTCCTGTTGCTTGAGCTTGGAGCGAATATCGTAGAGGGCCATGAGCATATTAGCTCGCTCAAGGTCCTCATCGTACTACAATATCAAGCCAAAGTTAGTTCTGGAATTGACCAAAAAAAGTATAATGCTCCCAATAAACTTATGGCGCATCTTACATTAGAAGGTTGAGGCGTGCCGGGTATAGAGTTGGCGGCTGAACCAGACTTTGGTGAACTGATGAGAATGCGCCGACCCATCTTGTCGAATTTGGGCTGCGAGCCAGCTTCCGACGACCATGCCCGCCTCAAGCCAGATGAGGGCCTCTGCTGTTGCTGGGAAGGCGCATGGCTGTCGTCTTTGATAAGCTGGGTCTGGATAATGGGAATGTTGGCATTGACAATGGCAGCGGCGGCCGCAGGTTCCTGTTGATGCGAGCGTCTGTCAGGAAAAGGAATGCAACAGAATTTTTATGTAAGGGCCGATTGCAGAATGTTTAGGGAAAGGAGAGAGGGCATCGGTATTATATGACGATAAAGTAAGACATACAGCTGCGCCGAGATTGCTCAAGTCAGCGAGGACCTGTGATAGCTGCAGGCTCTCCATTTCAACGCTTGGTAGCGGAAATTTATGAAATATTTGTTTTTGCTCTAATTGCTGTCTCGAGGGAGGAGGAGCGGAAAGAGGACGAGGGACGAGGCGGAATCTAGTATGGAGCGATGGTGCAGTCGGTGATGTTGGATTTTGACGTTCCTCTTAGCGGGCGCATAAACGAATAAGAAGATCGCGTGTGCGAGGGACGACGGAGCAGCGGGACCGGTAGAATCGAGTGTTGATTCTAGCGCAAGATTTGCAAGCTTGACGGTGGTCAAATAGGTGCAGTGTTTTTTCAAGGAGAGAGGAGAGTCGAGAGTGATGAGCGGAAAAAAAATAAAAAGAGTTTGAAAGCAAGAAAAAAAAAAGGCAAGAGGAGAAGGCCAGCTGGACGGCCACAAAAGTTAAGAGCAAATCCCAGCGCCGCTGAAAACAGGAAGCCTAGAGCGGGGATCCGGCAAGCTTGCCACCGAAAGCATCTTGTAGCCCAGGAAACTGGGGCTTTTGCAGCAAGGCCCGGCGTCTGTGCAGGTCAAAAGCCCGCTAAAGAACCCCCCTGCTAGACTTTTGCCCTCTCCACAAATCCCGCGCTGGGGACATCTCCGGGGTACTGCTAGGAAAGGCAGTTTCACGCACTTATCAGGTACATGCTGCGACATGTCTTCTATAAAGAGTTCGTATTAAAGCAAGGATTTCCTGCGCGGTTCCGGAATATCCCCTTGGACCCTCTTGTTTTCCAGTCGATCCGATGCTCATCTTGTCATTCATTAATTGGATCTGAGTCAAGCGCATGTCCAACTCTGGCCAAGTTGGATCTTCTTAAACGGCAAAAGATCTGGATTGGATTACTAAGGTGACGAGTTGTGTACTCTTGGCCAACATGCAAGTACAGTGTCCATTGTTAGCAGGCGATATTGCAGAACAGAGCGCGTTGCAAACGAGTAACAACACTGTGCATTGCTACGGCAGGGCGGTCTTCGCCTGCATCCTAGAGGCCGTATTACAGCACCAGTGAATCTGACAGACCGAAGCGAGAGGCTTCAGGGGGGCTTGCTGCAGGATTACTCCGGCCGTCTACGAGCATGTTTTGGAAGATGAGCCGGCGGCACGAGACCACTTCCTGTAAGGAGTACCCGTACAGCACTCTGTACAGGTTTCCAGTATCGTATTCACCGAGAGGTATTACAACACTCTAGGGAGTGTAATATGGTTTGAATCAGAAGTAGCAGATGCTTTATTAGACTTCAGCTGGACGCGTACGCAGTGCCTCGAGACCGCAACAAACAAAATCAGCCAACCTCGTCTTCTTCCTTGTCCAACCCATTCGCCCATGCCATCCATTCATCCCATCCATCCACCCGGATCGCTCGCCAAAATGCGGGTGCTACAACTGATGACCGATCAAATCAAGTCCAAGTCACTTTACCCCAACTCAAGCAACCAGGAATGGATGAATGTCAAGGTTTCTACTCCAAATCGTTCTTCGCCCATTTATCCGGCTCCAGGGCAAGCAGCAACTTCCCCTCACGCAACTGTCTCTTTGCTCCGTCCGTACCGCGCCGCACCGCAACCGCAACCGCTAGAATATGCATAGCGCACCTACTTGCATCTGCGCCGACCGAATGGCTGCATGAGATTCCTGTTCATGCGCCCATCCGCCCGTTTCTCTTGTCATTCGCTCGCTCACAAGTTTTTTTTTTCATTTGAGCGAAATATTTGCGCAAGAACCGCACCTATACAAGCTACCAAAAAAAGCCCTCCTCCTCCTTTGCGCGCTGACATCAGCCCATCTGCACAAAACGCTCGGACAAGCCTAAGCTGCCTTTTCGATGATGGCACTGTGACGAGAGATGTGGTGGCCCTGGCTTCTTTGCATATTCTTTTTCTTGGGGGGATCCAGACGTGCCCAGATAGCCACCACTTGAAGCGATAATAATTGTTCACTGCTTTACTAATTGTCAAACAGCCCAGCGATCCATCTTATCGCGCATCTGATCTCCGTCTCCATCTCATGCTTTACATCATTGCATGTGGTGCAACCCCAACGGCACTCAGCTTGGAGAAGGGGGGAAAAGAGAATCACGTGTCACTCACTGCTACATGAAAAAATGACTGGTATATTTTGAGCCGCCAATGATAAAGCAGTCGTAGACTTTTGTCGTAGTGGTACTTCCAGTTACTCCGGAGTGCCTTGCTCAAGCCTGCTCCTGCAACGGTGAACAGTCGACGTCCGTTTACGCGCTACTGAAAATAACAGAGCTTTGATAGGCGTAAATAAATAATTTAATTGGTCCACAGTTATCGCTGATCAGATGTGAATTACGCTGTTTCTCCATAGTATACGTCATATTAGGCAAGGGACCAAATACATCTCTCTCTATGAAGCTGCTTGAGCTTATCTGGTCCGTGAATTTGCAACAGACAGAGAAGAGCAAAAGGAGTGCATGTAATGGTATGCCTTTTTTCATATGCGTGTTTATGGCTGAACTAAGCGGTCTAGAATTCATCTCAATAAAAGCCACATCAAGCACCCTCAAGCATAATGAACCGTATCTGCGTTTGGTACTTTGTATAATTGATACTTTGTATAATCCTACTGAATAATCCTATAATCGGTTCCCTACTCTGCACACGCCTGCTGTGCCATTGTACAAGGAGAAACACCGTTTTGTATGTTTTATGTCATCTGTTTGCCCGGTCCAAACAGCCCGCTAGTAAACACTCTTAAAGTTCAAACAATCATTCTTTTCCTTCTCATCGACTCTTGACAAATGATCTAAGCCTTGGTAATTCTGCACACCAGATCAGAGCCATCAACAGAGTCGCCCTCCTTGACCTGGAGACTGGCCACCTTTCCGCTATGGGGAGCTGAGATAACCATTTCCTATAAGCATAGTCAGCAACATGCATTTTTTGCTTTCGCAAGAGAGAGGCAAAAGAAAAACTTACCATCTTCATGGCAGACAGAACAGCAAGAGGGTCACCCTTCTTGACTTCGGAGCCTTCGTGGACACGCAGCTCAACCAAGACACCAGACATGGGAGCGCCAACCTGGCTGGAATCGCTAGCATCAGCCTTGGGGCGGCTAATGTTCTCAACGGCAGCCTTCTTGTCAGCGACGGTAACCTGTCGGACTTCACCGTTCATTTCGAAGAAGACTTCACGAAGACCGGTCTGTTCGCTCAGAGGACCGATAGCAAGAAGCTTAAGGATAAGGATCTTGCCCTTCTCCAGTTGTACGTTAAACTCCTCACCGATTTCTGGTCGAGAAAGGAAGTATCTGGTGGGCAGGACTGAAAGGTCGCCGTACTCGGCGGTAAACTTCTTGTAATCCTCAAACACCTTGGGGTACATGACATGAGAGGCAATGTCGCACTCCGTAACAGGCGCGCCAAACTTCTTGCCCAGCTCGCGCTTGACCTTGGTGAAGTCCACAGGGTCGAGGAAGAGACCAGGACGCTTGTCGAGCTTCCGTCGTCCACGAAGGGCATCTGTGCGGAGAGGCTCGGGGAAGCCGCCGTAGGGTTGGCCCATCATACCCTCCAAGAACTCCAGCACGGAGCCGGGGAAGTCGAGCTCGGAAGCGCGGGCCTTGACGTCTTCCAGGCCCAGCTTGTTGGAAACCATGAACTGGGCGAGATCGCCGACGACCTTGGAAGTGGGCGTAACCTTGACAACATCGCCAAGCAGCTCATTGGCATGCTCGTAAGCCTTCTTGGTCTCAAGCCACTGGGATCCAAGGCCGAGCTGAGAAGCTTGGAACATCATGTTGGTCAGCTGACCACCAGGAATTTCGTGCTCGTACACCTCGGGATCGGGTCCAGCAAGGTGGGCTTCGAAAGGAGAGTAGAGCAGACGCAGCTGGGACCAGTAGGTGTCCAGAGCTCGGACTTGCTTGTGATCCAAGCCGGGGTCAAACTCGCTGCCTTCCAAAGAAGCCAGCACAGCGTTGATGCTAGGCTGAGAAGTCATTCCAGACAAGCTGTCTGTGGCGGCATCGACCGCATCGGCGCCGGCCTGGGCACAAGCCACCATGGAGGCGACACCCGTACCAGCGGAATCGTGAGTGTGAACGTGAATGGGCAGATCAGGGTACTTCTTGCGAATAGCACCAATCAGGAGTGTAGCTGCGTGTGGCTTCAACACACCAGCCATATCCTTGATACCCAGAACGTGAATGTCCAGGGCAACCAGCTTGTCAACCAAGTCCAAGTAGTAGGGCAGGTTGTACTTCTTCTTGGGGTTCAGCATGTCGCCACTGTAGCACACAGTTCCCTCCACAACACCGCCAGCCTTGTGGACAGCCTTGATGCCAACCTCCAGCTGGTTGATGTCGTTCAAGGCATCAAAGACACGGAAAATGTCGACTCCGTTCTTCTTAGCCTGCTCAACGAAGTGATCAATGGCATTGTCGGGCAGCGAAGAGTACGCCACACCGTTTGCGCCACGAAGCAGCATCTGGAAGGGGATGTTGGGAATCATCTGTCGCATCTTTCGAAGGCGATCCCAAGGATCCTCGTAAAGGAACCGGTATGCCACATCAAAAGTAGCACCACCCCAGCACTCCAGACTGTACAAGTTGGAAAGCGCATGGCTGGTCTCCTTGGCAATGTTGAGGAGATCAATGGTTCGAACTCGGGTAGCCAGCAGAGACTGGTGAGCATCTCGCCATGTGGTGTCCATGAGAAGACATCCCTTGTAGTCGCGAACAGCCTTGGCAAAGGCCTTGGGGCCCTGTTCAATGATGATGTTTCGCCAACCCTTCTGGCAAGGCTGGCTGACGTCGACCTTTTCACCAGAGGAAGTGAAAAGCTCGGGGGGGATGATTTCGCCCTTGAACTTGGGCTCGCCAATCTGGCCCTTGATAGAGCTACCGTTGACAGCGACATCTCCGAGGTACGCCAGCAGTTTCTGGGCACGGTTCTGGCCACCTACGAGGTCAAACAGCTGCGGGGTATCGTCGATGAAGGTTGTCCAGCAATTTCCATCAATAAAGGTTGGGTGAGTCAGAAGAGAAGCCAAGAAGGGAATGTTGGTCTTGACACCTCGGATACGGAACTCGATAAGAGCTCGCAGCACCTTTCTTCTGGCAATTTCGTAGGTGCTGCCCTGGGCAGTACACTTGACCAACATGGAATCGTAGTGAGGAGTGATGACAGCTCCAGCAAAGCCGTTACCACCATCAAGACGAATACCGTTACCACCGGCGGATCGGTAGACCTCGATCTTTCCGGTATCTGGTCGGAAGCCCTCAGCAGGGTCTTCAGTAGTGATACGGCACTGAATGGCAAAGCCACGAGTGGAAATTCGGTCCTGAGTAAGACCAAGCTGAGCCAGAGTAGCGCCAGCGGCGATCTGGATCTGGGCGGCGACAATGTCGATGCCAGTGATCTCTTCGGTAATGGTGTGCTCGACCTGAATACGAGGGTTGATCTCGATGAAGTAGTAGCGGTTCTTCTGGTCAACCAAAAACTCCGCAGTGCCTGCATTGCGGTAGTTGACGGACTTGGCCAGCTTGACGGCATCGTTTAGGATGGCGTCTCGGGTTTCCTGGGGGAGGTCCTTGGCCGGAGCAATCTCGACGACCTTTTGGTGTCGGCGCTGGACAGAGCAGTCACGCTCATACAGGTGCACAATGTTGCCATGGTTGTCACCGAGCAGCTGGACCTCGATATGCTTGGGCTTGTCGAGGAAGCGCTCTACGAAGACGGTGCCGTTGCCAAAGGCAGACTTGGCCTCGGAAGTTGCTCGCTCAAAGCTTTCCTGCAGGCTCTCGGGGTCGCGAACAACTCGCATACCACGACCACCGCCACCATAAGCAGCCTTGATGATGATAGGGAAGCCATACTCATCAGTGAAGGCCTTGACCTCTTCGTATTTCTCTACAGCTCCCTGGGTTCCAGGGACGACCGGGACGCCGGCGGCAATGGCAAGCTTGCGAGCCGAGACCTTGTCGCCAAGAGCATCGATCACATCTGGGGTGGGGCCGACAAACTGTGAAGCGTGTTAGGTTGAGATAAGAAAAAAAAAAGCTCCGGCTATAGAGATGGGGTAGTAGCCGACGAAAGCCGAAAACTTACAATGAGGCCAGCCTTCTCGACGTTGCGGGCAAACTCAGCATTCTCGGACAAGAAGCCGTAACCTGATGGAGTTGGTTAATAAGTGAACGAAGCTTATATAGGAAAAAATAGACGAAAGAACGAACCCGGGTGAACCAGTTGAGCGCCGTGCTCTACGGCAATCTTGATGATCTCGTCGCCGGCGAGATAAGCTGCGACAGGGGTGTACTGGCCTCGCTTGCCAATGACGTAGGCTTCGTCGGCCTCTGTGAGAAAGCAGTCAGCAAAAGTAGAGTCATGCGGCGGGGTGCATATCAGGGTCGCAATATCATACTTTGGCGATGCATAGAGAGTCGGTCCTCATAACTGGGATAAAAAGTCAGTCATTTTGCGCAAAGAGCAGGCAGAAGTTTATTTTATCGGGGCGTTGCTCACCTGAAGACAGCGATTGTGTGTAATGAGAGCTCGTGGGCCTGTAGGAGGGGTAAGTATGCGCCCGAAGTCGGCACCGGCGGATAGAGGGCCAACTGACTGTTCTGAAAATCTATTCGCAGTGCGCAAAAACAAGGTTAGTAAATCACATTATGCCGCTCATAGAGCTAGATGATTGAATCGAGGCCGGTTTGCTTGTTCGACATACTCTGATAGCTGGTAAATGTTAGCGAGCTGCGACAGGGTTGATGGCGGGGTTGTTTCGACTTACGGATTTCACCACGGTTGGCAACTGTTCAGCGTAGCAGCCAAGAGTCAGTAATACGCTCTCGTCTATGACTTGTTCCGCGCCAATTGGCTCCGATAAATGCCTCAGACGTCGCGACTCACCAAGGATCTTCTTAAAATTCATGATGCTGGAATTGGCACGGATGTGGTGGATGGTCTGCGCCTCCTTGGGCTCATCGACATCATCCTCGTCGAAGACATCGTTGAAGGTCAGCGCCTGCTGCGGGTGAGGGACTGGAGTGCCTGCCATGACGGGCAAGACGGGCTCGAGCAGACAAAGTGAAGATGTAGGCTCGAGTTTAGGATATGGGAGAGACAAAAGGAGAGCAGCTCAGCACAGAAGAGAGCCCGAGGGAGACGGCCGGATGCGCTGCCTTTTATGAAGCAGCAGAAGCTCGGCCAAGATGGACGGATGGGGGGGCAGGAATTGACGGCGGGGCAGCTGTCGAAGGTGGGGGGTGGGGTTGCGTTTAGGGAGGTTAGCAGATGCTAGCAGTTGCGTCCAGCGCTTGTGACAGTGCAGGCACTAGCTAGAGGTACTGAGGCAATAGGCGTGTAGCAGGCAGGAATGGTTCATGTCGGCTGCTTGACTGCGTCTAATGCTGCGGCTATCTCGACTTGTACTGTGTGCCTCTTTCGTCTGCTCGGCTCAGCAACAATGATCGGCAAGCCGCTGTTAGCAGAAGCTGCACAAAGGGAGGTGCAAGCAAGAAAGGGAGGTGGGAGCTGGAAAGAAAAGAAAGGAGTTGATTTCTTCTCTTCTCGAAGCCAGGACAACGGCAGGGAAAATCTCCGAGAGAGTGCGAGGAGCAGCGAGAGTGGACCGGGCCATGCGCTCAATCTTGTCTGTCTGTCCCCTTCTGCCGGACCTGAGTTGTGACACACGCTCACCCTGGTGTGCCACATGGACACATGGACACAGGCAGATGCATCTTTGCGTTACTCGCTGCATTGTGTGCTCTGCCCTGGGGCACCGGGATTGGCGGCGTGGAATACGGCGGCTACGGCGTTGAGGCAAAATGGACCAACATGGCGGCGCATAGGTGCTCGTACATGAAGCTAGATGGAAGATCTTCCCTCAGCATCTCAGGCCTCTTGTCAGCTGATGGCCCAGTCGGTGAGACAACAGAAATAGACCGCTCTCGTTAACGCAGTGCGACGACTATATTGTACTAGGTAGCAGCTAGTTGAGACACGTTGTGTTTGGTGGACTGCGGTTTGACTGCAATAAGCAAGAGGGGAAGCTGGTTCTATAAAAAAGCTCTCTGCGTCTCAGCCGGCCAACCAAAAAGTTACTTTTACTGCAGCCAATTTGTCTTGGAAACTGATTATTCGGTTTTTCTTTCCATTTTTCTTTGTTGCTCTTTTTACTACGTATAAACAGTCACAAGGCTTATCAAGTACCGGCTGGGCCGTATTGCCATCCAGAAAGTCATTCCATTACATACCAGATTTTACACCCGCTATTTGGGGGGGCTAAAGTCGGTTGTTACCATGTATCACCATTAGCTCGTTGATACCAGCTTAACGGGCGGAGCCTTCTCTTTCGGCCAATCAGTGGCCCAGGATAACGCAGCCTCTTACAAGTTTGGCGCTGTTATATTAAGCTTCGTTCCATGAGCGGGATGTCTTGGCTCTTTCTTCCTCGCTGGCTCTTTGGAATGGACGCCGTGTACTGGCATAGCGGGCTTCCGAGATGCGTACCCACCAGGCTGCTACATCGAGCAGCTCTCTTTAGCTCCTGAGGCATAATACCAGCCGCAGTTGTCGCCCGCTTTGGAGGATAAACTGCCATCAATCGCCTTTCCCCGGGGGCCAGAACTGCTTACCGCCAATTGCTGTCATACTCTATTCTAACACGATGCATAATCCGCAAAGCAGGCACCCAACGAGATCTGAATCATGCCCTTGCCTTGCATTACATGCACTCCATTACCCCATGCGCGCGAACTAGATCACGCTCGCCGCGTCTTACCAATCCCTTCCTCGCCCTTGGTCCATGAGCAACCCCTCTCCTCTCGTCTTGTGCTCAGAGAGAGGCGAGGGCTGGTGCCGTAACCGAGGATCAGAGCAGTTCTGCCTGCGAGGTTCGCCTAGATGCGGCTGATGACAGCATCAAAGCACCATGGAAGCAATGGAAGCAGGGCTCAGTCGGAATATCTCGACACGGCTTCAGTTCGTCGAGTCCGGCCATTCTCGCCGTTTCCACGTGATGATCATCCGTTCCAGCACATCGTGGGCCGGCCATGGCCGTGCTGAGTCTGATGGTGTCCTTCTCGGCTCGGAGGAAGGGGCCCGTAACGTAATTGGTCTTCGTATCGCCGGCCCGAGGGTGTTGCTGGATCCGAAGACGGATCCGTCGCATCTCTGACCCCAGTATTTTCCCAGCTGGCGTGCAAGGCCGATCTGGCAATGGCGGCTCATCTTGCAGATGTACTCCGTGTGCAAGTGTGTAACTCGAGATTGGGCGAGCTAAGATCTGGAAGGGCCCCCAAACTTGGGTGCTGACGAATTTGGACGCCCCGCCTAGCTCGAGCTCGGCGCCCCAAGCCGACTGGCACTATTTCCCACACCTTACTCTATTTCGTGCGCTCATCGCCATCTAGCGCTGGGCTCGCCCTGGATGGTGCATGGCGCCCTCAGTCGGCTTACTGGCTCTGCTTGGATCTGAATGGAGTTGTGATGAGCCAGAGATCCGCCGGTTTAGCAGAGGAATTTTCTTCGCCTTCTATCGCGTCCGGCTCTCGCACGCCACTGACGATATAGTGTGCCTGACTATCTCGCTCAAGCCACTGTTGTCGCCCCAACCCAGTGAAATTGTAGTCATCCGTCTTGCCTTTCATCTTATTCCCATGTTTTGTCCGGTCTCTTGTTATATTACTCTTTTTGGACGCGGTGCCATTTGTCAGTAATGCGCCAAAGTGACCTTTCTCCGACACCGGCCGGGATAGGGGTCCTGTAAGCAGTGATTTGGACCTTTAAACACTCTTGCGATCCAATTCGGCGATATCTCTTCGTTTTGAAATAAGTATTAGTTCTCACTTTGAGATACTCTCTGAGAGGTCGATTGATAGCACAAGGTGCAACTATTCTCATGCTTGTTACTACTAGTAGTATGCAATATACTGTAGTTATCCTCGGCTGCGAGAAGATGTTGCCATCTCATGCTTGTTGATATTACGCTAATACGCAATATCCAATTGTTTGTCAACTTAACCCCGGCTACTAAAGGAAAACCTCGGCAGTCCATTGAACGAGTGCCGTCGATTGCCCCTGAATCGCGTCTTCCCAATTACTATTTCCAGATTGACCATTATTGTTACGGCTTGTCCCGCATGACGTAAAGCTCAGAGAGTCCCTGTCTAAATGCTAGCCTATCAGGACATAGATCGAGGCCGAGGCTCTGGCTTAAACAATCACGTTGCTATTGTATTGTTACCTCCTGTCTCTAGGGTGAAAAAACCAACCTATCATTACTGCTACAATTGCACTGTAACCGGGCTGCTTAGAGGCCTGCAAAACCTTGTGTTCCCCGCAAGATGATGAATCAGTTGCTAGGTGCAAATAAATCTCCCAAGCTATTATTATTTGTCCAAATACCTGAAGCTCCAGATCCCTTCTATGAAATGGCTCGGAGATGTAAAAATGTATAATACAGCAGCTGCAAGCTTCATCAGACGTGGAAGAGCCTGCACAAGCCATCGAAATCCTCTAGTCTTGAGACTTTGGCCTCTCTTCAAATGAACTTTCCTTTTCAACCCTGATCTACCGCAGTGCTCATCGTCCCTCCTCCTATTCCACCGACTTTTGTCCACGCTTTTCAGCGTCTCAGTTTCCATTTTGTGCACCAAAATTTTTGTTTCCCCAAGCTGATTTATTTGCTAGGTGCTGACTCCTTGCCAGCCTCAACGCCCTGGTCCACAGCCGTCAAAGCCGCCTTCTCCTTTCCGCCCCAGTGGTGGTATGACATGTATCGGTAGCCCTGGGTGAGCTGAGCGCATGAGTTGACAACGTGGCATCCGAACAGGAGGTAGTTCTTGGGGGAGACAGCAAGAGCGTATCGCATAAAGGTCAAGGAGTAGACGGTAAGGGCGGCGGTCATCTGTCCGGAGATCCTATATAGAGAAACGAGAGAAAAAGAGGTAAGCCGTCGGCCGGTATCGGCGGGGGTGCAGCTTGGAGTTTGGGGGAAAGCTTCTTACAGATCAGGGCTCTTCTGGGTATCCAGCACAGCAGCAATAGGAATGCCAAAGTTGGAAACAGGTCCCCAAAAGTCTGTTTGCGACAATTTGTCAGCTTCTGGCTCTAGGTATAGGTGTTGGATCCAACAAGCGCGCCAGCTTTCGGTCACAAAGGCCGCATCTTGGGAAGGGGGCGCGGGAATTCCCGAGGGAAGAGCGCAGAGAACAAGGCAATAAACGCTTGACGCGAGGATTGTCAAGGCAAAAGTATCCTTCAGTCGCGCTCAGGGGCTTTTCGTAGCTTCAACGCGAGATATTGGGTAGGCTAGTACGTACGAGTTGTGCAGACATAGCTCAACATCGGGTTGGACCTGATCTTGGCGTTGATAGCCTTTGCGAGCGCAGCCATTTTGAATAATCGTCGGAAGATGCTTATAATCGAGGGAGGGCACGGATGGTCGCTGCGGTGCTTTGGAGGATGCTGGGACGTAAAAAGACTCCAATCTCGTTCTTGTCAGCGGCGTTGATTTGCCCTTGTCGGCCAAAATTTGGACGCCGAAGTGCTAGTTGCGATGTCACGTGCCCCTGGCTCCAGCTCCAGCAACAACGCAACGTGCACTGCAAGTTGGAAACGTCAATTGCTTCTGGTGATGGTTTTTTCCATGATGTTAATTTTACAAGGCCAATCTTCCAGCTCTGGGCAGCTTGGCTATAGTAAATGACAAAAGTGCGAAAAATTACAGCTATTTGGTGAACGCAGATGAACCACTACCTACCCCAACTCGCAGATCCAGGCACTGTACGAAATGACCTTGGTAAGCCAGCCACAATTTCTACTCTTGGGCAGAACAGGTTCAACTAGATAGGGCAAGAACATTAAACAAATGGTGTCAGAAAACAAGACGCACAATCCACACAAGGATAAGAATACTAGCTTCTCGATCGTCGCCTGTAAACAGCATTTAGTGCCTGAAATTGAGAAATACGACTTCACTAAAAGCCATGTGTCGACTTGATGACAACGATTGAAATGAATGATACCAGGTTAATAGACACCACGTATGGTATAGTAATAATCCTAACTATTACTACCTTGCTCTTTCTGGTCCGTTTCCTTTCTCCGCTTGTTTATCATAAGCTTGCCTTTATATCCAAATCAAGCATAACAAGATCCTTCGCTAACCGATTTCTACCAAAAGCAATAATACATCAAGAGAACACTAAATACATCATGCAAACAAGAAAAAGCGCTCTTAAAAAAAACGCAAAGACAATACGTCAAGTTGACTCAGACACCTGGAACGGCGAAGCCAGCGGCCTTGGGCCAATTACCAATCTGGCCTGGGTCACCGCCAACGCGAACATACACGCCCACAGCCGGGATACCTCCATCTAAGATGAAGAGCATATACCAGGTAGGAGGGGCAATGTACTGGCTGGGAGGAGCAGTAACGGTGCAAGTAGTGCCGGCGCAAGAGATGTCAAGGAAGAGGGTACGCGCCCCCATGGAGTTACCGTGGGTGCTGGTAACAGAGCCAAGCAGAGTAGCTTGGATGGCACCGTTTTGAGCAGGACCGCCAAGGTTGACGGTGATGGTTTGGCCGTAGCTCCAATCTTTGTTGGTGACGGTGAATGAGGGACGAGGCTTGCCGCTCTTGAGGTAAGGCGGAGTGAAGGACTCGATACGGTACTCTTCGGGGTTGACGCTATCCTGGGGATCCGAGCCGGAGACGAGTACGCGGCCGTCGAGCAGGGTGATGGCCTCGGAGTGGTACATGCGAGCCACGGTAGTGTTTGCCATGACGGTGATGCGGTGGCCGAGTGGCTTCTGGGGGTCGTAAAGGAGGGCATTCAGGTTGGGGCTGTCGGCGAGACCGAATCCAGCAACACCGTGGTGAGCGCCGTTGAGGATGAGATAGGTGCCGTCGGGAAGAGGAGCCATGCAGGATATGACGCGCTGGGAAGGCATACGCTCAATTGCCCAGGTTGCGTTGTCGACATCGGGATAAGTGCTCACACAATTATCCAGAGCATAAGACGCACCCTCGGAAGAGCCACCGCAGATGAGGACACCAAGAGGGTCTGTGAAAGGAGCGTGCATGGGCAGCAAGACAGCAGATCCCTCAAGGGGATAGGTTCGTCCAGCCATGGGATTATTGACTGCGCCGGGAATGTTGGGCAAGACCTTGATGGTGGCAAAGGTCTTCTCATCCAGAATACGAGCCTCGTTCCAGTAGGCTACGAAGATGCCTTTGGAGGGCAAAACGCTGCAGAAGGGGTACAGGTTGTTCGGATCGGTGCGCTCGAGCCAGTCCATGTAGAGAGGCGCGGTACCAGTGTAAGGCAGGATCTCGAGGGTGGGGATAGGAGCGCCGTTGGAGCCTTCTTCGCCTCCAACGACGAGAACGGAACCGTTGGCCATGTTCATGGCAGTTGGGTACCAGCGACCGTCTTGAAGTTTCAGAACATCGACGTTCTCCTGCCAGTCATTGGTGCCGTTGACGCCGGCGGAACCATCTGGTGTGTATAAACGGACACCGTAGGTAGAGTCGCCAGACCATCCTCCTACATTGAGCTGTCGACCGGCCTTATCAGGGAGAGTGACACCTCCAGAGCAGAAGATGTCAGTCTTGACGTGCATCTCTCTCCAGGCAAGCTTATACTGGTTGACGAGACTCAAATCGAGCTCATAGGCACCAGTGGAGTTGGGTTCACCAGTACCCCATTTCTCGAGGAAGACGACCTTGCCGGTGACGGCTTGGGTCACCATCAGAGGCACGCAGACGCCGCCCATGAGCTGCTCATAAGAACCAGCCGCCGCGGAGCCCGCTGCAGGGAAGCCCCAAGAGTAGAATGGGGTTCCAGTGTAGAAGTAAGTAGTGAGGCGGGAACCGCCGCCGCAGATGGCCGAGCCATTGCCCGGGCAGGGAACATTGCACTCGGATTCAGGCCTCTTGGTCGAACCAGCCGTCTTGATGTTCTGAGGGTCGCCGCAGTAGCACTCTTGGCCATACTCCAAGCCGGCAGCCATGTAGCCGTACTCACCACAGGCGTTGAGGCACATCTCAGGGGTCATGGTGTTGGCGAAAATGTTCTGCCAGAAGAAGGTGTGCACCTGGTTGAGGTTATCCTCGTAGCAGCCTTGGTATGTCCAGTTGCCCACCACCGGCACTGGTGCCGGAGGTGCCAGGACGGCCGGTGTTCCCTTGGAGATGATGGACATTCTGCCGCCGCCACCGCAGATTTCGGAAGAGTCGCCGGCGCAGGGAGTGTTGCACTCTGTGGAGGAATTGGCCTGGACGCCGCCGTTGACGATGTTGTTGCCGCAGAAGCACTGCTTGGAGTACTCGGCACCGGCGATGGTGTAGTTTTGAGAAGCGCAGGACGCGGCACAGGACTCGAGGGTCAGGTTAGGGTCGTCGGGGTTCTGCTCATTAAGAATGCGGCCATTGACGCCATCCACATAGCAGCCATAGCTCTTCCATCCCTGCGGGAGACCCGTTGGTTGCTGAGTGGCTGAGGTGGTGGTGCCTGACGGAGGAGACGAGCCCGAGGAGCTACTACCCGAGCCCGGGGCGTTGCGCGAATAGACGGACAGACGATTTCCGGCACCGCAAAGCTCACAGTCGCTGCCAGCACAGGTCATGCTGCAGTCTGATGACGTAGTGAGCTTGGAGCCGGCACCAAAGGAGTTGCCGCAGTAGCATTCTCTGCTGTATTCGACGCCAAAGTACGTGTAAGCCGCGCAGAAGGTAGCACAGCTCTCCAGAGTCATGGCATCATCGGAATACGTCGTGGCCGCAAGAGCCCGAGACGATGTGCCCTCGGTATAGCAACCGTACCAGTTGTATTTGCCTACCAGGGCGGGCTGGGCAGGACAGGAACCCGTTTGCGCGGGTTGCCCTGCAGAAGTGGTGGCAGTCCCGGAGCTGCACCATCCATGTTAGCATCACTCCAATACGAGATGATCTTCACCGCAGTCCTAGCTTCTTTCTTTCATCAGATTCATGTCTGTGCTTACCTGCTGGCGCCATAGGTGTAAAGGTTCAGCAAGCTTGGTCCTCCACAGTACTCGGTACTGTTGCCATTGCAGGTCATTGTGCAGCCACTTGCAGCTGGCTTGGCACCATTGGAGAGAGACTTGCCGCAGTCTGCACGCCGGGATCGATGCTCAACTGGTCAGCTAACTGGAAGCGGAGTAAAGAGGAATGAAACGAAACAAAGCAAGGAGTCACACTGCCTCTCGTGTGATCCGTTCAGGAGGAATTGGGGGCCACTTACAGCACTCTCCACCAAACTCAACGCCAGCAAAGGTATATCCTGCTGCCTTACATCCTGATGTACAAGCGGCCACGGTCATTTTGGCATTAGCAACGCTGCCGAGTTGATATGTCAATGCACGACCAGTGGTGCCCTCGCTGCCAGTCATATGTTAGCAAGGCTAAGCTAAGCTACAGGCTTAGAAGTGAGTATCTCGTATCGTAAACTTACGCATAGCACCCCTGAGATACCCATCCATTGGGGCCTGGATTGACCTGAGGGCCAGTGACATCGGATGACTTATACAAGGTGAGACGATTGGGGCCACCGCATGCCTCAGTCGAGTTGCCGCCGCATGGAGTATTGCAGTCGGTGACGGTGGCATTTGTGCCGCCCGTTGCAAGGCTGGAGCCGCAGTAGCATTGGGTATAGTACTCTGTTCCGGCATAAGGGAAGCCCAATCCGAAGCAGTAACTCGTGCACTCTTCGTTAGTCATGTCAGCATCAGTGGTGGACGCTGCACCAATCGTCCGTCCAACATCGCTATTTGCCCTGATCAGCATATATGCAAGCTTAGAGTTTGCCAAGAGAAGCAGGAAGAGCTCCATACACATAGCATCCCTGATACGTCCAGCCATTGTCAAACGAAGTTGGCGCAATGAGAGCCCGCTTTTGGAGGATCTGTGCGTGACACGGTTTTAAGGATAGTAGAGAGATCGACAGCAGCGAGGCTGCCGGAAAAGGTTTCATGGCTGCGGTCTTTGTGGCTCTCGCCAAGGCAAGCAGCAACAAGTGAGATGGCAATCAGCGTATCAGGCCCGCGCGCGCTCTCTAGACCGAATGAGAGCTGGGCTGTTGGCTGATCAAGGAGAGAGCCGTGAGAAGAGGGAGGCAGGAGAACAAAGAAAAGTGGTCAATTGCCGCGGACAATGCCCAGCTTCTTGTACTCCGTGCATGAGCATCCTGCCTGATCGTGACCCAGGAACAGATGAGCCCTACCCAGCAGGACTAATGGGGCCGGAGAGACTTGGCATAGCTTGCCATGCCACCCACACAGCAATAAACAACAAAGGCCCTGGATCAAGACTGTGATGGTCTACGCGGGCCACAGCTAGGCCTGGTCTCTCGTGGACGGTGGTTGCGATGGTCCATGATGGGAGGCGCCACTCACACGGATAGACATGCTGGATCCGACTAAGAGCAAGCGTTGCAGGGGGGTACTGGATGGTGCTCGTACCGTACAGGCTTCAGATG